ATGTTATGTACAATTGACAACTGTACAACAAATAAAAATTGTCGATTGCGCAATCGACTATGGATTAACTGCATTCTTGCTACAATTTCTTAAAATCCATTACCTACAAATGGTGGCGGGATACACAGACAGCAACTTGATAATTCACTTACAACACTTATCACTACATACTTATAAGGAGTAAGACAACATACATAATGTAAACTCTACATGTAAATGTAATGTATGTAAACATTATACATAATGTAAACTCTACTATTTTGTTCCCTAGAAGAACTTCTAGGGATCCAATAAACATACTACCAGGTTCTTCAGTTCATCGTAGTATAAAATAAAATTAACGATTAACAGTCAAAACAGGGAAAATAATAAAAGGAACTTTTCTATAATATTACAAAATGTATAAAATTGGGCTGCATAATAAGACAACTCAACACTCATCACTTATATATTTCTATTCAAATAAATTAAACCCAAAAATTATGCGCCAGCACCTGTAATGTGCCAACTACTAGCTAGTACTATTATATATTTATCATGTATATTGGACAACAATAAAATTAACATAAGTTATGCATTAGATTAAATCCGTCGCAATAATAACGATACTACACCTGATAAGTCAGAGCCCATCAAGAAACCGTCAATTACAAACTGAATCTCTCTTTTTAGGTGAGAGAGCGACCACTGTGCCATCTAAATCCACAATATCATCAACCAAAAGAAATCGCCTCATGAAGAGAAACGCTATAATAATTTTAGAAACTTCCACAGTCCTACCATTCAAATGGCATCGCCACAATTATCTGTGTTTCTATTGCCATAAAATGTTCAAAGACCCTCATACACTTAAGGAACATACTAAAAATGGGCACGAAAAGCGGAATATAAAAGCCGCAGTTTCGTATTTGAGGCGGGATGAAAAAGTAAAAGTTGATGTCTCAGTATTATCTTGTGATCTATGCAACATTAAACATACTGATATAAATAAACTAATCGATCATTTAAAGGTAGTTCATAAGAAAACGTTCACGGAAGATTGTGGGTACGGATTGATACCTTACAGATTGGAAAAGGACACATTTCAATGTGCCGTCTGTCAGGAAGACTTTCAATATTTTATTAAGTTGAATCAGCATATGAACAAACACTATGGGAATTACATTTGCGAGTTATGTGGCAAGTCCTTTTTAAGTCAGGATAGATTGAGATGCCACTCTTTAAGCCATGGATCTGGTTTTCGTTGCGATTCATGCTCGCTGACCTTCGATTCGTTGACTCAGAAAAATAATCACGATTCAAAAATTCACAATAGAGATAAAATGCTAAGATGCTACTTTTGCGCTGAGACATTCCCGAATTACGCTCAAAGGAAGCGGCATCACAATATATCTCACAACGTGGAAATGCCCGAATTCAATTGTCCTGTTTGTGGAAAGACATTTCGTATTATGAGCAAAATGAAGGTGCATTTAAAAGAAGTTCATATAAAGGAGAAGAACTTTTCGTGTTCCATGTGCGAGCAAAAGTTTTTCTCAAAGACACATGTGCAGAAACATATGGTGAAGCATTTTGGCGAAAGGGTCCATCAGTGTGATGTGTGTTCGAAGTCCTACGCGAGGAAGCAAACTCTAAGAGATCATATGCGCATACATAATACTGATAAGCGCTTTATTTGTTCTGTGTGCAGTCAGTCGTTCGTGCAGAATAACAGTTTGAGATTGCATATGCGGGTTCACCATCCGGATGCAGTGAATGTATAATATACATAAATTAAATTTATAGAAAAAGAATATTAGTTTTGTTTATCTCATCATCAGTATTTCCTAAAAAGTATTCTGCTGTTTCATTTTAGATTTCGTTATTGTTTCAATTTATGGTCAATAGATAGATAAACGTTTTATTTGCCTCTTCAGCACATTAAAATACACAATAAAGACAAAAAAAATACAACAAAAATATTAACCAAAATATATAAACAACTTTTCGCCAGAGCTGTGTGCTGTAGCAGTGCAAAAAGACCGTAGCTCAGTGTGAAATATGTCCAGGGAGCAAACACTGATTTTCACCTATAGACAACACTAGGTTTGAACCTGTAATATCATAATAATAGTACAATAGTACAATTTCTTATTAAGTTTAATAAGTCCAAAATGTCATAAATAGCCGTTTCTTTTGTATTGGTATCTCATTAAAGTGGATAACTTATTCACTGCATTACTTACTTTTGCATTTTAATGTGATTTGTTATTTTCATTCATTTATTCCTAAGTTAAGAGTCACGCTGTTGTCGGTCGATTTTTGATTGTTCATATCGGCTTTCAGTATAGAGACTTTAAATGTACCCTGTTAAATTAACTGTGTTTATTAAACATCTACATATTTTTTTAAAAAGATTTTAATTTTTTAAATTATTTTAGTATACAATAATAAGGGTACATTTACAGTTGAGCTTTCATTTGCAGATCTAAAACTGCGGAAATACAAGGGCTGCGAATCATCTTCGATGCGTAGAAGGAAAAACCTACAGATTGTGTTTAACAACACAAGCATACTGCCGTTCAAATGGCGAGGAAAGTATCTATGCTTCTACTGCAGCAAAGATATCGCTGAGTATGCAGAATTAAGGAAGCATACGAAATCACACGGCAGCTGTTCTACCAAAGATCATTCTCTGAAAGTTTTAAAAGGCGGTCAAAACATGGAGATAAAAATAGATGTCTCAGAAATTACATGCGAAATCTGCAACGAAACATTCCCTTCATTTGGCGAGATTATAAACCACTTATACATAAAACATACACTAGAATACGATAGAGACGTAGATATGGCTATAGAAGAATACAGATTGGTAGATTTAGCTTGTTTAGCGTGCGGTGAGAAATTTTCCTACTTCGGTTACTTAGTGTCACATGTGAACAATAATCACCCGAAGAACTGTCTCATTTGTGACAAATGCAATCAAAAGTTCAATAAGAAGAGAGATTTATTCTCCCACATGAAGAATTATCATCGCGAAGGGGGCTATCAATGTGAAATGTGCCCTCAAACGTTTAGCTCTTTAAATATCTTGCGGAAACATAAAAACAATAGACATTTAACTAGATGTAATATTTGTCAATTGAAATTACCATCGGCTGCTTTGAAGCAAAAGCATATAGAATTAGAACATCCTGATGACGGATCTCTGCAATGTGATAATTGTTACAAAGAGTTCCACACGAAACATGGTCTAAAAATGCATGCAAGGAAGTGTAAAGGAGAAGGCGATATATTCGATTTTACGATAAAGAAAGAGAGCTACGATGTTATGGATCTCGACGATTGTTACGAAGATAAAGTGAAGCGGCCCAGTGTTAAGCAAATTCGCGAAAACATTCTCATAGTTATAAACATGTCGACTGCTGTACCCTTTAACTTTTATAAAAACAAATTTAATTGTTTCTACTGCTCTAAAGATTTCCCTGATTCAGATACTATGAGAGAACACACAGTTATGGAGCATCCAGTGTGCGATATAAAACAGAAATGTATTAGAAAATGTAGGGAATCGGTTGCTTGCGTGAAAATCGACGTATCTTCTCTCGCTTGTAAGATTTGTTTCGAATCTATGAGTGATTTGGAAAACTTATTGGACCATTTGACTTTGAAACACGAAGCTAACTATGACAAATCTATCACCACATGTCTGCAACCGTTTAGACTTATCAAAGACCATATGGAATGCCCTCACTGTCCTGGTGAAGTGTTTCGATTTTTCGGAACACTTTTGAAGCACATGAATAAGAAACACACCAATAACAATATAATATGCGTTTATTGTGGTCAAACTTTTAGACGCGATCAAAACTTGAGAGTTCATATTTGGAGACACCACAGGGACGGCCGATTTAAATGTAACATTTGTGGTGCAGAATGTAATATACCTTCTAGATTATATATGCATATGGCGAAAGCACACGGTGTTAAAGCAGCTAAATGTTCAAAATGCCCGGAAGCGTTTGCCACCCAATATTTAAGACAAAAACATTTGATCGAAGCCCACGACTCAGGGCATAAATGTACGTATTGCGGGAAACTATTCACCCGTAACTCCTTTATGCGTGATCACATAAGAAGAACGCATTTAAAAGAGAAAAACGTGGAATGTTCTATTTGTAATATGAAGTTCTTCAATAATATACTGCTAAGACGGCATATGGTGAAACACAGTGGCGAGAAAAATTTCCATTGTGATGTCTGCGGTGAAAGATTCTTTTGGAGAAAGAGTCTTCGGACGCATATGGCCAGACATAACAAGCATTTGCATTCTATGCAATTACTAAATTAGTTGGCTACAATTTAATATGAATTTTAATAAGACTTGAATATATTGATCTCATATTACAACACGAATTACGTATTAAGACTGTAAATATATTATTAGTTTTTAACAGCAAAATTTTATTTTTTAATATTCCATCTAATTCCTTATAAAAATTACTATGAACAGGACAGAAAATATGGATAGGAATATCACTGAGTTCGCCATTCTATGCATGTAGTTCACTTGTCATTTTTTTTCCAAATCATCAGAAACATCAGAAATGGACTATGTAAAAATATTATGCGTGACTATAATGTCAGTCTGTACGGAATTAACAAACAGTATAACTTTAAAATTTTACCATTTAAAAAAATATTGGTACTGATTCAACTAGAACTTATAAGACTATTGAGATATCTACGAAATTAATCATTAAATATGTCAACTGATGACCGATTCTTTGAATAAGAGTTGTAAGTTCTTAATAACCTCTTTAAAGGCGAGTAACGATCTCTTAGGCGTATTTCAGCGTAGTAAACATAGGTTACGGCGCTCACAAACAAACAAACTTTCATACTTATAATAGTAGTTAGTATAATATATCAGAATTTCCACAATTGTTCGGAATAATATTTGCAGATTTTAAACATAAAGTCGATGCCCTGAAATTACAAACTGATTTTCATCTTTTCAGATGAAATTGGGCCGGCAAAAATTGTGAACGCCAATAAACTAAGGCGGCGGAATCTGCAAATATTATTCAACAATACCTCGATGGTGCCATTTAAATGGAGAGGAAAGTACATGTGCTTTTACTGTGGCGAGGACTTGACTAATTATGCGGATTTGAGGAAGCATACAAAAGCCCACGGCTACTGTTCAGACCGGGATCGAGCGCTTAAATTAGTACGCACCAGTGACGCTGAAGTGAAAATAGATGTTTCTGATGTTACTTGTGAACTGTGCAATGAATTTTTTAGTAGCTTCGATGAAATAGTAACTCATTTGGTGTCTAAACATAAACTACCTTATAACAAGGAAGTAGAGTTGACAATATCCACGTACAGATTAGTAGATTTAAAATGTTTGTTATGCGAAGAAAGTTTTAAATACTTTAGTAAACTTATAACTCATGTTAATAATACTCACCCAATCAATTGTTTCCTTTGTCATGAATGTAATCAGAAATTTAATAAAAAAAGAGATTTGGAATCCCATTTAAGGACACATCATAGAAAACAGTATCAATGCACGAAATGTTCATTACAATTTTCAACTAATGCCGCTCTACTGAAACACAAAACACACTCTCATTCGTCAACTTGCAATATATGTTTCGCAACATTCTCCTCCAGTAGTAAAAGGCTTAAACACATGAAACTCGAACATATATCTGACGGGGTTTTACAATGCGGATTTTGCCTCAAAACTCTAAGTACTAAACTAGCTTTTCTAAACCACGCCGCGAAATGCAATGTTAAAGATGGTTCTGAAATTGTAGAAGAATGTATCACGATTGATGATACCGAAAAGAAAGCGTCTGTATCTGAAATTAGGAATAATATCGCTTGTATTTTAAATATGTCTACTGCTATACCATTTAAATATTTCATGAACAGATTTCGATGCTTCTATTGCCCGAAAGATTTTACTGAATGTGATGATCTCAAAGAACATACGGTATCTGAACATCCAGTTTGTGATATTAAACTGAAATGTTTAAGACTCCGTAATAGAGAAGACGGTATTAGAGTTAAAGTAGATATTTCCTCTCTGTCCTGTAAAATGTGTTTCGAACCAATCCCAGATTTGGACGCGCTAATAAATCATATTATTACGGAACATAAAGCGCAGTACATAGAGTCTGTCGACAATAACATGCAACCTTTTAAGTTAATAAAAGAAAGTTTTTCATGTCCTTTCTGTGAGCAAGTGTATAGATATTTCGGAATACTCTTAAAACACGTAAGTAGAAGTCATACTGATAACAAAATTATTTGTGTGTACTGTGGAAAGGCGTATAGGACTGATCCTAGCTTAAGAGCTCACATTTCACGACGTCATAGACCTAACAGTTACAAATGTGATTTTTGTCAACTAGAATTCTCTACAAGTAACGCCTTGCAAATTCATTGTGGCCGCGTCCACGGTTCTAAGATAGCTGAGTGCTCCGAATGTTCAGAGAAGTTTACATCTCAGTATTGGATGCAGAGGCACATGATAAATGTTCATGGTACAGGCCATAAATGTTCGTACTGTAACAAATTGTTCACTAAGAACTCTCACATGGTGAATCACGTTAGGCGGACACACTTGAAGGAGAAAAACGTACAATGTTCAGTATGTTTCGAGAGATTTTTCGATGTGCAAAATTTAAGAACGCACACCGTAAAACACATCGGCGAACGGAACTTCCATTGCGATTTTTGCGGCAAGAAATTCCTCTGGAAGAAAAACCTTAGAGCTCACATGTCATCGCATATAAAAAACTCTAATCCTGACACGCAAACCTAATTATCTTAATAGATATGTAAAAAACTAATGCAGTGATATGGTGCCACTATAGCAAGAATAATTTGTTTTCAGATGAATATGCGCCTGGGCCTTACGAAGCGTGTGCCTCTGAGAGAAGGCGGAAAAACATGAAAATACTGTTCAACAACACTACGATAATACCATTCAAATGGCGCGGAAAATTTCTCTGTTTCTACTGCGCTCAGGCCTATATGCAGTATCAGGAGTTTAAAAAGCATACAAAATCACACGGACATTGTACAACTAAGGATTACTCGTTAAAAGTTATTAAAGGGAATCACATTGAAATAAAACTAGATATATCAGAAATTGCATGCGAAATTTGCAACGAACCATTTGATAGTTTAAAGGAAATAGTGGACCATTTGATCGGAAAACACAAGTTGGAGTATGATAAAACAGTAGAGATCCCATTCCAAGAATACAAGCTCGTAGATTTTCGATGTTTATACTGTGATGAACAGTTCAGCTATTTCGGATATCTGGTTAACCACGTGAATGTTATGCATCCACAAAACAGTTTTATTTGCGACGATTGCGGTGCAACATTCAATAAGAAAAGAGATATGGCATTACATTTAAGAAATTACCACCGTCAAGGTGGTTACCCATGTGATCAATGTACACAGAACTTTGAGACTTATTATCTATTGCGCACACATCAGAACACAATACATTTTCGAAGGTGCAAGAAATGTAACATGAAATTTGTATCGCTTACCCTTCTTCAGAAACACATTCGGATAGAACATCCTCAGGATGGTACTTTAAAATGCTCATTTTGCGCAAAAGAGTTCCGTTCTTCTCAAGGTCTCTCACAACATATAAGTAAGTGTAAGGTCAAAGCTCCTCAAATAGAAGTGCAGGACAATACTGCATTTATCTCAGAACATAATCAAGAACCGAAAAAGAAACAGAACATTTTGCAGATACGACAAAATATTCAATGTGTCCTCAACATGTCCACAGCTGTGCCTTTTAAATTCTTCTCCAAATACACTTGTTTTTATTGTTCGAAAAAGTTTATCGAGTTTGACGAATTGCGAGAACATACAACAACGGAACATCCTGTTTGTGATCTTAAATCGAAATCTATGAGGAAATGTAAAGGAGAGAGAGTCTGCGTCAAAATTGATATTGCCTCGCTAGCTTGTAAACTGTGTTGCCAATCAATATCCGAATTGGATACACTTATAGATCATTTAATATCAGAACATGATGCAAATTACGATAAATCTGTCACTGGTTGTTTGGAACCATTTAAAGTTATAAAAGATAACATGCCGTGTCCGGTGTGCCCCGAGAAAGTATTTCGATATTTTGGTATCCTTTTGCGTCACATGAATGCAGAGCATAGCAATAACAACAGAATTTGTGATTTCTGCGGACGATGCTTCAGAAACGTGGCCAATTTAAACGTGCATATATCGTATACGCATACCGGCTCGTGTGAATGTAATATTTGTGGGATACAATATAAGAATCAGTGGTGTCTCGCTCGACATCGAGCTAGGAAGCACAACGCGAAAGATTATAAATGCCCGAAATGTCCAGACAAGTTCCCTTCTCAGTATCACAAGCAGAAGCATCTGATTAAGGCGCATGATATCGGCCACAAGTGTAGTTACTGTGAGAAGATGTTTACAAGAAACTCCTTTATGAAGGATCATATCAGGCGGACGCATTTAAGGGAGAAGAATGTACCGTGCTCCGTTTGTAATGAACGATTCTTTGATAATTATCTACTGAGGATGCATATGGTGAAACATGAGGGGGAAAGGAAATTTGTTTGTGCAGTTTGCGGTAAAGCGTTCCTAAGGAAAAGTAATCTTCATTCCCATATGGATATGCATAAAAGATACGGTCACCTTCAGTCGTAACTGTTTGCGACATTTGTTCTGTTATAAAATACTCCAAACCAATAATCTACTATAAATTTAATTTATAATAATCGCCCCCTAAAATTCAGGTCCTGTAAATTTCTATTTATGTTTATCTAGGATTATATTCTGACTACCAAACTTCATTCATATCCGTCCAACCATTTAAGCGTAATTGTGTAACAATTTTCCAAAAATAAAGCAACCGTAACCGTACGATAAAATTTAATAGAAAATATTGGTCCGAAATCTATAAAGAACATGTAATAAAAAGTTTAAAAGTGAAAAAAAATGTTAATGATAAAAGAAATTTGTATTGTTGTATTTGTACTCTGCATATTAGTCCTAAAATTTAAAGCAATATTGAATTATATCATAGTCTACACATATTTAATCATACACATAAATGAATTATTGTACGAGAAGAGAAAAAGTAATCTGTCAATGTTAATTTCGAAATTCCGTCTAATTTTAAAGCTAAATAATGAAATATTATAATAACTCTAGAAGTAATAGTCATGTATATTTATATTGTAAACGTTTAATTACAATTTACCAAACGTAATAATCTGTTTCTTTTGTACCCATTACACCCATTATTATATTTTCATTGTAAGTACATCAATAGATAACTGGTACTTAAGAAACCATGGGTTGCAAAATCAATTTTGTAGCATTACATGGTAAGATTTCTAACACAGAAATTCGTCGTTAAGATGCTTCTGACAATTTCATATAATGGTATTATGATGACGGTATTTATTTGTAATAAAAAAGTTTAGATTGGCTGATAACTATATGGCAGTAATTCGTAGTTTATGATCAAAAACAATATAACAATTAAAAAGTATACTATAAAATTTTATATAATAAAAATATTAAGTTATCTATTTTTATTAATTATGATGAAATTAAAAATTGGGTATTTGCATGTCATATCATTGTCATTACATCAGAAATATTAATTCAGATTCAAGATTCAATACCTATTATAGTATTAAAATACGTAAAGAAGTAAGAGCATATAAAGAAACTAAGTAAAGGCACTGAATAAAAAATAATCAACAAATCGTTTAAATTTCACTTAATAGTAAAAATATAAAATGTATTAATAAAATGTATTAAAAAGTTAACTGAAGAATGCAATTCTGACTTGGTATCTAGTAGTCTACATATCTACATATATTACTGTGCTGTTTACCGTACTGCATCATTTACTACTTGAACTTAGAAAGCTACAGAAAAAACACGAAAAAAGAAACATACCTGTATAAATAAGGATTTATCGAAGAAAAGGAATAATTGCAAGTAAAACTACCAATTTCTTTGCAGGTGCAAAATTAAACACAGTGGAAGACAAATATAAGAAAATGGAATTGGCGCGTAAACTAATGATAAAATGCAGAAATATCGAGTATGTGCTGCAGTACAGCAACGTGACGCCATTCCTCTGGTACAAAGGGAAATATAGGTGTTACTATTGCTCAGAACCTATGAAAGATCCACAATTACTTCGTGAACATACAGCAAATTCACACCAATTGGAAAATCTTGAACTCATCGTACATGATCGAACTAAGAACAATAGAAATAAAGACGCCGCAGTTAAAATTGACGTAACAGATATTACTTGCAAACTTTGTCATAATGGTGTTGCAAATTTGGAAGAATTGATACATCACTTAATTATAGCTCACGACGCTGAGTATGATGTAAGCGTTCCCAACTGCTTGTTGCCTTTCAAACTCGACAAAGATCAACCTACATGTCCTACCTGTGATACCAAATTCGTCTTCTTTGAGTACCTCCTTCGGCACGCTAACAAGCATCATTTGTCACATGATTACATCTGTGACGTGTGCGGTACAAGTTTCCAAGGTGAGAATCACTTGAAGATGCATAACCGTTATTACCACAGACAAGGCGGCTACACCTGCGATTATTGCGGCATAAACATGGCAACACTATCAAAGAAGATACTCCATGAGAAAAACGTGCATTTGGTGAACTTATCCACTTGCCCCCATTGCCCAGAGACCTTCAAAAGTCCGTATTTTAAAAAGTTACACTTGGCGAATGTTCATGGTGTTGAAGAGTTGAAGATTAAATGTCCTTATTGTCCAAAAGTTTATCCCCAAGAGAGTATAATGTCCCGGCATATGAGAAGAGTCCATTTGCGAGAGAAGAATGTGGAATGCGAGGTCTGCGGAGATAAGTTCTTCGGACCTTACGACGTTAAATTGCACATGGTTAAACACAATGGCGATAAGAAATTCATATGTGCCGTATGCGGAAAGAAATTCTCGAAAAAGAGCAACTTGAATACGCATTCTATTCTACATACGGGAGAGAAGAAATTTGTATGCGCCATTTGTAACAGAGCATTCGCTCACCAAGCCAACTTTAAGATGCACATGAGGAATCGTCACCCAGAGTTTTCTGAAGAGCTACCTGAGGTGGTTGAGGATATTGATGAAACAGAACTTGTACAAATGGAATTTATAGATGGTGCTGAAGTTATAGAACAATACGTGAGTTAGTGCTAAAACTGAAAAGAACAGTGATATACCTTACTCATATCAAGTACTTATATTATTACCTATATTAATATTTATAGTCCAGTGATACCAGTATTTATTAATCCTCTTAAATAGTATGTAAATGCACGTTTAGTATACTCTGTAAATATAATCTGTTTTAACACAATATGATATTGATGACATGTAAAAATAAATAAATGACGTAATAATATGTTCGATGGACATTAATGTAGTTTATAAATAAACATATTATGTAGTACACTATACAACGCTTCTTATTGTTGCTATCCCGGCTTATAAAATAGAACTGATAGTTATAGCAAAAAGAGTTTAAAAGAAAATAGAAGAATGGGTAAACGATCTCATACTCTCTTTCCAGGATTGCAAACCAAGAGAGATATGCAGAATACAAAGCGACTCTATATTGCAAGGAAGAATGTTCTCACCGTACTGCAGTATGGCAAAGTGATGCCGTTCAACTGGAATACATCAGGATTCAGGTGTTTCTACTGCGGGAAAGTTATGAGGGATTGTATTACACTCCGTGAGCACACAGAATCGAAACACGATTTAGTAGACCTGGAAAATTGTATACCAAAGAAAATAATAACGAAAGATGTCCCCGTTAAAATTGATGTCACCAATATATCTTGCAAACTGTGTCCAAATAATACACTGAATAATCTTGAAGAACTTATATCGCATATAACAGCAGTACATGAAGAAGAATATGACGATACAGCAGGAGTTTGCTTCTTCCCCTTCAATCTAAAGAAAGACATTATGCATTGCGTAATCTGTGACACTGAATTTGACAATTTCACCTCTTTAATGCGACATATGAACAAGGAACATATCACGCATGAATATATTTGTCAAGTTTGCGGATTGAGTTTCATTGACAGTATACGCCTTAAGCGTCACATTACCCATTGTCATGTTGGACATCGTTGCAGCTTATGCGGGAAACTCTTTGAGGCTTCTCATAAATTGGATTGGCACAGACAGAGGATCCATGGTCAAGTCAAAACTCACGAATGCAATCTGTGCAGTGCGACATTTGATAATAACTATCAAGTGAAAGTGCATATGGGGAAAGCGCATAATGTAGAGAAATATAGGATTAAATGTGATTATTGCCCGAAGATTTGCACGACGAAAGGCGCTATGGTGTTACATGTGCAAAGTCTGCATTCTGATGTGCGTTATGAATGTGATCTGTGCGAATATAAAACGGCTATTAAATGGATGATCAAACTCCACAGGAGGAAACATTTTGGGGAGAAGAATTACGCTTGTAGTATTTGCGACAAAAAGTTTGGTAGATCGAGCAATTTGCGTGCGCATATGAAAGTACATACAGGCCAGAACGGGCGTGTGTGTAGACGGTGTCATAAAGGATTTACCGATTTTGAGGCGCTAAGTAAACATGAAATGGAGCTACATTATTTTGAACAAGTGTAGTTTAGTATCTTTACGTATAAAAGTTGTCGTCGCTGTCTGGTTGCGTATATCATTTAAAATACTTAACGGATTTTAATGCAGTTTTCAGCAATAGATAGAGTGATTCAAGGGGAAGGTTTATATGTATAATACATGCGTGTTATAAGAAGCTGAGAGATTCAAAGATTGATAAAGCATCCGTACGAAGCCGGGTGGGGTCGCTGTCCATAAATAATAACCCTGGATAGAAGAATTACACAGCACCAGTACTAGACATCTGATAGAAGTACTAAAATTATTATTTTTTGTTACATACATATATACATAGAAAACACCCAGACCAATACAGACAATTGATACTCATGACTACAAATGACTCATGTTTGATCGAACACGGGATCGTCGGAAGTGATTGTTAAACCGCGGTACTATAAGCACTTAGGTATCCTACATAAATCACGTCACACTAATATCACGATCCTTGTCACACTTGGTCACAATTCTGTTCTAATCGAATATACAAAATGGTTGATTAATTGTAATAAACAATATAGAATTCATAATGTTGTGAACAACCTCTTTACAAGCAATTGTATTATAATATATAAATTGAAAAATAAAATTTACATATTGTATTAATAACATCAATAAAAGTTAATTAATGAAGCTCTTTTATTATTAATTCACATGACTACTAATATGTTCACGCTATGTCTGTTACGGGATAGGCAGAGTGTTAATCTGTATATATTAAATGTCATACATACAGTAATAGCTTCAAGTTGAAGAGTTTGGTTGAACGCTCCAATCTCAGGAAATACTGGTTCGCTTTGAAATATTCTTTTAACCTTTGGAATGTCCGTCGTCTGTCGCAGCAACCGAGAATGAAGGTGGTATGCGCGCGCGAGTTGTATTTTTACAATTGCGTATTATTTTATTTTAAATAACGATAAAATTGGCTAAAAAGATTTCACGGTTTTGCGGGCACAGATCTGTGACAAGGCGGTAATACGGTTTAAGAGGGGTTCACAGATCTGTGTCAAAACGTTCGAAGGGGTAATGTTGGAAAGCCTATAGCCTATATAACATCACTCTATGACCAATAGGAACGCAGCATCAAAGAAAAATGTTTTAAAAACGGCATAAAATTTAAATCCGCAAGAAATCACTTCAGCTTAATCTATATTATCATATATATGTATAAACATAAAACGTATGTGTATGTTAAATGTGTTTTTTAATTCATTTCAAATTCAAAGAGTTTTCATTAATTCATTTATTCATTCAAAAAATTATCTCAACTATGTATGTTATGTGATGCAAAAGTTGCGCAGGTCAGCTAGTAATAAGGCAGAATTTTTAGTAATTTTATTTCTAGCAGTAACAAATTTGTATAAGAAAAGAACTATAAATTTGTGTTATACTACACTACTGATGAACGTTAATACACTTATACTTTGAAGTCCCAACTTGTATGTCCAGTTCCAATCAAAAATATTGTCGTAAATAGGTTTGTTAAGTCCGAGGAGTCGAATTAATAGATTTTTTGCGCGTTAGGAATTTAATTTCAGAAATTACATGAAAGTTCTAGAAAATTCTAGAAATATTCGTCGTTCCTCGTTCTAGCGTTTAATTACTCATTTCCCACTCGTTCATTCGTTTCCTTTAACTTCTATAGCCATTCTCTCGTCATTTAGGTTTCAATTCATGCATACGACATTCATTTAACAGTTAACACAGTCGTTCCGTTACATACCAATGCCACACTTATATAGAAAAAAAATCCCACATCGAATATGTTTATGAATATAATATTGTTTGGAAATATAACTATTGTTCCATTGGAAAGGTAGGCATCGTGTCAAATTGTTAGACATCGTTGTATTGTAATAAGTAAAATGCATGACAATTTCTGGCTGCCTCTATGTCTCCGGAAATTATTAAAACCTCTATAAAGATGATGTTTTCCTTTCAGGAGAACCTAGAGGTGGCCAGAAATCAACGAAATCAAAGAACACACAAAAAATAGACAAGGCAGAAGAGAGCGAGACAGTTGTAGACACCACAAGGAAATCGCCACTGACATCAAAGGAGAAACAGAAAATAATGAGATTGAACGTGATTCAAGTATTAATAAAGACAACAGTAATGCCGTTTCGTTGGTTAAAGAGTTCCTATAGGTGCTTCTATTGTTACGACATATTTCAAGAAGTAAATGAACTCAAAAACCATCAGCAAACGCACACCGGTGACGAGATAAAGGAGCAAACGATGAACAACTATTGGGAGCCTATAGTATACGTTGATATATCAAATTTATCCTGCAAACTGTGTCCTGATACTATAACTGACTTATATGACGTAATAGATCATTTAGTCGATAAGCATAATGTCGTTTATAATAAAGATATAGGGATATGCATGGTAGCATTCAAATTAGGTAATCTCTCAGTCGATTGTTTAGCGTGCGGCGCTACTTTTTACACTTTCGGGCCTTTACTTCACCATACAAACAAAGACCATAAAGGCACCTCGGCAATACTTTGCGATGTCTGCGGGCAGCATTTCAAAGATGCCCATCTTTTGCGTCTTCACGTGAAATCTGTACATGAGAACACAGGGTTACTTTGTCCGGAGTGTGGCGAGAAATTTGAAACTAGATCAAAGTTAAGAACCCATCAGAAGAACCAGCACGATATGAACAGTAAACATAAATGTTTGGTGTGCTCCCAAACGTTCTCAAGTCATTACATGAGGTCTAGGCATATGGCTGCTGAACACAAGAACCGCGAGGAAGTGAAGTGCTTGCACTGTCCGAAGACGTTTGTCTTTCGGAGCATGATGATGACTCATGTACGCGATACACATTTAAAAGTGAGGAATCACGTTTGTGGAGTGTGTGGTTGGAAGGCTTTTAACAGTCATCGCCTCAAGAACCACATGTACAAACACAGTGGCGAGAAGAACTTCAAATGCGAGGCTTGTGGGAAAGCGTTTACAACTAAAAAGATTATGCGGGCTCATTACCTGCGCATGCATAAAAATACACAACCTCAAGCGATTGTATATGAAAATTCGATAAATCCTTACGTTGCACCTTAGCGGTAATAACATTGTACTCGAGTTGGGGTATAATGGTGCTTGGTATTGTTTTATTAATGAATTCGGACGGATATTTAACAGAAATTTCAAAAAATATAAAAGTTAATACACACACCCGCTTGGATATTGATGTCCTCTATAAAACTGTAGTATATCACTTTGCTCTGTTATTCATAATTTCTGCAGCGTTAGCGATATAAAGATTTTTATTGTATTTTTGCCCACGTTAACCTACAATCTCGGACTTTTCAAATCGGTCCATTAGATTCGGAGCCTATTCATTGCAAATAAACAAATAAATCTTTCTTCTTTATAATATTAGTATAGTTGATAATGGAATGGCGCCTGTGCTAACGGTATACGCTAGCGGCGCAACTTTGGACTCTGATAGGATGAGCTTAGCCCAATTCATTTGAAATTAACCACGACGGTCCAGCGAGGACAACCTGACATGGTGCATTACTAGCAATGAGGCCATTAGTCCCCATTATTAAGAATCCCCTCCAATCCATCCCCCCCTTGCATTTTAGGCATGATAATGTAAATACAATTAAAACCAATTATTAACAATACCTTCGTTATCAACATCATACATCTTCATCTGTATGAACGCCTCCTCATACTGCAGAACCTGTTGTCGGAAACCAACCGCCTCCCGAAGTCGTAGTACGCATGTAGCACACACCAGCCTCTCAGATGGCTTCCCATCCAATTGGCATAACTGTAGTAACATAGTAAATTAAAATTAATATACATATTTACTAGCTGGCAATAATGCAAGTTTTTGCATGTCACATCTTCATCATTTTTGATCACAGTTCATCTCCTTTTTTTAATTAATAATAATGGAATGGTGCACCTGCCTGCGCTAACGGTTTACGCTGTCGGGCCACCAGTGGAGGATGATAAAATGAGAATGAGGTCAGGTCAGTTAGCCCATTGTGACAAATTCACCAGGAATTTATCACGATTTCCAAGGTTTCCCTTTTTAGATGTAAAAACTATCACTACCAACTACCAAGAATTTTTTTAATTTTTTTATTTATTTATTAACTTTAATGCACACAGTATAATATATAGTACAGTACATTTGGCGGACTTAACACCATGCGGCATTTTCTAACAGTCAACCATAGGTGGTGCAGAGAATAATTTTTGGCAGTGCAAAATTATAAACGTAAACAAAATGCAACAAAATATAAACAGAACAAAAAAAATATATACAATATATATACTTAAGACATACAATAATATATAACATAAATATATACAAATATGATACCTATATACATATACTAGCTGTCCCGGCAAACGTTGTTTTGCCTTAAAATAAAATAAAAATTAGGGGTGGACTACCCCTAACATTTAAGGGGATGAAAAATAGATGATGGCCGATTCTCAGACCTACTCAATACGCTCACAAAATTTCATGAGAATCGGTCAAGACGTTTCGGAGGAGTATGGGAACGAAAACTGACACGAGAATTTTATATATAAGATATGCAATAAACTTAAATATATACCAAATACTCTGACAGTCACAGAACTAAAGAGAGTTAAATGGAAAAAAAAGAGAACTCAGAGAAGAGAGAAAGTTATAAATTCAGATAATATTCCAGTAGTTTACATTTAAAAGAAAATTTATTCGTAGCAGTTTTGATATCAAGAGGTAAGTCATTCCAAAGTTTGATTGCCTGAATTGCGAAAGAATAGTGGACGAATCCGGACAAATGAGCCGGGATATGAAGTAAAAATTTTCTGGTTGTGCGAATACAGTGATTGATGTTGTCCCAATGGAAATGAAATTTATTCTAGTTCACAGTCCTTCATTTTATACTTTTCGTCTTTATCAGGGTGGGCTAACCCACCGTTGGGTGTATGCCACTCTATATTTCCTATTTATGTATGTTATGTATCGGTGAGAAATTTGTCCGAGCATAACGATTTTAGTTTGAAGAAGTTTTGTGCAAGATATTGTCTATTAAGTAAGGTTCTATTAAATTCAAATCATTTATGTGATACAAATATTTGGCAGTCTTATCGTCAGCAAACATTTAGCAGTTATAGTCGTCATAAATACATTTATCTATGTCTAGTCATTTGCATTTCATAGATCTGACATCATATGATACGTAACTTTAGGACTTATTTCTTCTTTTTATGTAATTGAAATAGCAATCAAGCTTAAGGCCTTCCTGATGGCGATTGCCAACCGTGAAGACATAAAGGTAAAATAGGTATAAGTCTATATGAACATAACGTTACATATGACGCTCTTTACTTGTTGTACGACAGCTTAGTGTCATGCCTTTACTCTAATGCCCAATTTACACTCAGTCCGAGTGAGCAGGGAAGTGAGCAGCGCGAGAGTGTAAACACTTCCCATGCCATTGGCTCTGCCACTCGCGCTCCCTCGATTGTCGGTTTTTCGTGCGCGAGTCAAAGGACTGGCAGCGTGTTTTTGCATTCAGCCCTCGCTCAGTTGTCGTCCGGTAATATTTCCGGCAGCGCGAGTGGCAGGGGAAGCGTCTGAATGTAAAGGTAGCATAAGATGTCGTTCATCCATCTGCTGGAGTCGCGGAATCGAATGGTGTCATGTCCGCGTACTCTATAATTTCACTGCCATATCTCACCCTTCAACCGTAACAGCTTATAAATCAAGTTGCTTGGGGGCAGAAATAGGTGCAACAGAGGCGACCACGTATAAAGTAAAAGACCAAAATCCTGTCAATATTTTATATGTAAATACACGGTAAATTAAGTTTAATTATATGTACATTTTATTTGCTCTTTTATTTTTTCGTTTGTTGTTTATATTGTATTTTTTACATTGCACTGAATAAAATATTTTTCTTTCTTTCTTCTTTCTAAATGATAGGTCAAAAGATCTCAACTGTAAAAATGAACATTAAAATGTATATCTATATCCTATTATTATTTTCAAACTCCCTCGTCGATGCCTTGTATTATTACTGAAGTGCGATGGTTATCACCTCATCACTGTAGTGTTATATATGAAGTGATGAGGTGTCGCTACTTGTTCCTGTATTATATAGGTAGGTAGTGAGTATACAGATTGAATGATTGTACTGTACTCAACAATCATTTAACATTTTCACTCTGAATTTGTATAAGAACATATCATACAAATTATTTGTGCCTCAAAAATAGAAACATGATTGAAAAGAACAAACTATTTAGCTAAAATAAAATTACCAACACGTTTAAACAAAAATTTACTTATTGAAACAATAAAAATTAATGGTCTATTGATGGTTTTGAGGTTAATGATCCTCTACCCGCTCCGATCCGACCGACCAAGTTTAAGCTACGATAGGCGGTCCACGAGTGTATCAGAATGGCAACCAGTAGATACAAATGACGAGCTGTCGCCTACACTACATAATGACCACAACGTGGAATTCTGTGAGGAACGTATCAAATCAGAAGAATGAATGGCGGATCGTGAATTTGTGGGGCCCTGAGCTAAATCTACTTAGAAGGCCCTAAGTAGATTTAGTCCAAGACCTACCTAATTATATTACTCAACTAAAAAAATACACCGACCAAAAACAAGCGACAAGAAATTCTCCGTTCCTTTCGATAGACGCGCACTTGCATGGGTTGATTGATCTCAGGGTTGCCAACCTTATGATAGCTTTTTTCTCATTCTATTTAATTTTTTATATTCTAAATATCGTGTCAGTGCGGTCTGGGGGCCCTGAGTTGCAGCCCAAAAAGCCCTTAGGTAGATCCGTTCCTAATTGTTACTAAGGATTTCATGTAACAAATGAAATCTGGATAAATCAAGTTTTGTGCTTACCGTAACATTGACAGATAACATCTCTCTGACTACCCTATCTGAAATAATAACATCCATGAACAATTCATACAGCGCCATCTAGTCCCAAGCTAATCAGAGTTGGTGTTGTTGGTAGGTATACTTAGATGTGTAAATACATACATATATACATAGAAAACACCTAGACCAATATAAATGGTAAAACGAAACCGTCAAATAGTAATATTGCTGTAGCACACACATGCAGGTTTACCCTTTATTGAATTGTTATATTGTAGGTACTTGTCATTTGATGTTATAATTAAGCCTGTATGTGTGTACTAAGATACAAATAAAAACTATTATCTATCTATCTATCTATCTAATAATAATAATCTCAGGACAATTCACACAGCGCCATCTTGACCCAAGTTAAGCTAGCTAAAGCTTGTGTTATGGGTACTAGATAATTGATACAAATACATAGATTTTTTTTTCGTAAATACATATATATTATACATAGAAACACCCAGACCGATACAAACAATCATTGTGAATAATTAAAAATAACCTATGAAAAGCGCCACCAATTTAGTCAAATGTAGTTGGTCAATGGTTAGATTTACAACAAATTCATCAATGAATATGACAACTATAAAACCAAGCCATCTAGTGGCTATTATTATAACAGTTGGTACGAATAGTCGCATTCTATGGCAATTTACTGCCGCCGGGAGTTGTGGGAGAATGCTTCATAAGACCGCTAAATATCTTCAATTTTCTTCTTGATTTTTGGCGGGGTTTTATCCCTCTTATCCACTTTTCTGCGGTCAAAAAAACTTGTGTACTTAAATACTTTAATGCAGCGAGTGACCCAGGAACAAAAAACAAAATATTTTCAAGAATATGCAATATGTAATATTGTCACAAACAAAAAATGAAGTATAAAAAAAGAATATAAGTCATATAAAAAACTACTACGGACAAATTGCCAGTAACAGCGAGGTTAGTATATCAGTACCGGCTATAATATTAGAGAGTATAATTCTATTAGCCTGAGCTCACATTTTCAGGTTTAGCAAAGAACTCCAGACTTTGCGTGTCGGTGACGCCGTTCGATTATCGTTTTTTTTAAGGGTAGCCATTAATGTGCTATTCGAATGACTCTTATCGGAAATATACGAGGGCCTTTACTTGACTCGAGCCGACTTTACTCGAACGAGCGTTACATAGCCAAACGATCGGCTCTTTTTCATTTAATGCCCAACAAAATAAAGTAGAAATTTCCCATTACTACGCAATATCCACGTTTCAACCCGTCCAACTCACGTCTGTCTTTCTTTTCTAGGGAATAAACCGAATGTCGCCAACCAATACACAGTCAAAGACGTCGGTGACGGGCTGAAACTCTTCATATGCAAGACGTGCAATCGCAAATTCGAGGGACGAAATCTTTTCCGACAGCATTATGTGACAGTGCATTTAAAACTGGGGCGGAAAACTCATTCGTGTAATCGCTGCGGGTTGCAAGTTGAGCCATATAAGCGGGCGTTGCATTTGGAGGAAGCTCATGGTGTTCCGCGGCCAACATGCAATGTGTGCGGGAAAAAATTTCCGTTTCCAAATCAGGTTAGAATCATTGACGAAATCGGTACTAAATATAGTTCTTATCCGGCAATTTATTGTTAGACTAATATCTCTAGCCCTTTCAGACCTGAAGGATACAGACGTGAGTTACAATTTTGAAAGCTTTGTGAACCGTATGCTATCCATTTTTATATAAGAAAAGAACACAATAGAACAACCGAAAGGCAAAATGGGGGTGCATATTCGGCGTACGACTAATTCCTTACGTTACTTTGTAGTCTCCGGTCGTGCCTTGTCTTCTCTTATAGCTCTTTCCATTCATTGATATTTGAGCGACAATATTAATAATTTTTCCATAATTATTTGCTTCTCGTGACTCGTATCAAATAGCCTCCCTATCTACTAGACACCTAAATATCTACCTATAACTTAAAAAACGTAGGTAGTGGCAGATTTCCGAAAACAGTCCATAGATAATAATCGTTCTAATGGTTAGATACAAATTAAAATTCAGAGGAGGTAAAAGAAAATCACAGGTTTCAAAGGGCTAGAGTATCGCAACCTCTCAGACTAGAGAAAACACTGGGAAACACATGGAGTGGTTCCAGTATCAGTCAAATATAAATTGATAAATTCTTTAGTGCCGGTCAGACTTGAACTAATGACTTTTCTATCTAAGTGGGTGACTAGTAAATTACCAGAGGCTCTTAATACAAGTAAAGGATAACTAATTTTGAAAATAGTGAAACTCTTTTAGTAGATATATTTTATCAAGATTTTCCTTCAAATTTTTGGGCCGAATTAATAAAGTTCGTTTTGCCTTAAGTATTATTATACTGTCCATAATAATAATCCAGAATAATTCACACAGCGTTATGTACACCTAAACTATAGAGAGCTTGTACAGTCTATCGATACTCACATTTTCCATGTATGTTATGTATGTATTTATTCAAATTCAAAAATCATTTATTCATGTAGGACATTTTAGCCGCTTATGAATGTCAAGTTTTTACATTATAATTTTTTTCCCTACCGTCCATTTCGGTATATAGATCCAATTGAGAAGAACTGGCAAGAATCTCAATTGAATTACTTTTTTTTTAAAAGCCAGTTTATTTACAATGTATAGGTATTTAAGTATTTCTATCAATTGTTTAGTACCCATAACACAAGCTCTAGTGAGCTTGGGATTAGCGCAGTGTGCATTGTTCAAGATTATTATTAAAAAATGTCTTCCAACTAGATTTGTGTCAAATCATTCTGCAATCAATAACTTCAACAGGTCATGTGGCATCAGAGGAAAATACATATGGGCGAAAAGAAATTTCAATGTCCCGATTGCCCATACAAGTTTGCAACATCTTATCATTTGAAAGTGCATCAGGTTAAACATACTGGAGAGAGGCCTCACAAGTGTGAATACTGTGGGAAGACGTTCAAATGGAAAAAGAGTCTACAGACCCATCTAATGATTCACATGGACGTTCGGAAGCATGTTTGTAAAGCGTGTGGAGACGCATTTGTCCAAAGCACGAGTTTGAAATACCACATAACTCGACGACATCCTGATATGGTGTGAAGAAGGGCATTGAATGTTCAACCGAAGTAGACTTTCGAAAATTGTCAGCATATGCGACGGCTTCTGTAGTCTAGCGGTTTAGCACGCCGCTTTACTTCCTACGGTTCGATTCCTCGCACGGTGCAAACATTTGTATTCATGAGTATTATTGTTTGTATCACTCTGGGTGTTTTCTATGTATATTATGTATGTATTTACAAAAAAAATCTATGCCATTTATATTAGTTTTCTAGTACCCATAACACAAGCTCTGCTTACTGGGACTGGCGCTCTGTTAATTGTCTAGGATTATTTCTTTATTATATATAGCTCAATCTTATTTATTTCAGTCGCCAAACAGCCTGCTTTGTAAGCTGTATTCCGGTTTTAAGGTCAGATTAAGCCGTGAAATTACAGGATACAGGCATACATCTTTGTCCTCTGGAATGAATGGCCACCCATTGGCGGTATCTCGAGCGTCACATGATAACGTGATGTTCATAGTGCCGTTTATGTATATAAATGATTACCACTTACTATCAGGTGGGCCGTCAGTCTGTCAGACTAGTTAAATGTAGAATGACATTAAAAAATTATGACGTAACTTATGAATGGATGATAGTATAGATTAAAAATGGTGTTTTAGATATTAAAGCATTATACTAATGTAATTCCTTTAATTTAATAAATGAAGGAAACACTTTGTAAACAACTGCGTAAAAAGGGGTTTACGAAAATTTCTCGTGCAGAGTAATATGAAATTTCAGAATGCTAATATTTATTTAAAATTAAGCATGAAAATATATTAAATCAATAAAAAAGCATTACACACAATACCACACATCATTTTGTTTATTCTTAAATCTCTATAGTCAAATTAAGAACAGATTACTATTTTTTGTCTTTAATATTATTTGTCTATGATCTGATTAAATGTCAAACTTAACCATAATAAATTCACAAATATATAAATTAATTATGATCGAATTTTGTACATTTGGCGACCACTAGTTTCTTTAAAAAATCTATTGTTTATATAATAGAATGCTAAATAAAACGGTATTAACTCAGTAAAGAATAGCACCGGAAAATCGACTTTAGTTTTAAAGAATTAAATTTCATTTAGGATTGTGTTTACTTGCTTGGTTTTAATGGCTGCGACTAAATTAGGTCTATGATTTTGCTAATAGTCTAGTTTTTTATCAACTCCATAACAGGCGCAGGTTCTATGTTAAGGATGTATGTACATCGATATACTTGTCAATTGTGGACCGATTTTCATAATACTTTATTTTCTAACGGTATTCTTAGTTATGGAATAATGCTGTTTATTATTAATGTAATATAGTTCAAAGTTGGATGTGACGTAACGTATATTAGTCAAAATATAATAAAGGTTTACTTTAAATTTGATTTGTATTTTTATTTTATGGCAACACTTGTTTTTATTCGAGTCTTCGTCTGCTTTTTAAGTAAAAGATAATCTATGTCTATCCTTGTGGTATATACGACAATCATAATCAATTTTCACGCCTGGGGCTTGTTAGATACGGGAATAATGACCCCATTTTTTATATTACTTATTTATAATGATCTGGGGTCAGAATAGATAAATAAACAGTATTCTATTTTACTTGTCATTACCCACAAAAAAGTCTGCTGGATCATGTCTAATTATTATATGTATTACATACAGTTTTTATATATTATTATATATTTTAGTATTATAATAAACTTACATTTTGTTTAAAATTCAATCAAAACATTTTTTTTAGTTTTCCATTGATTTTTTTTAATTTGACGACCTCGGTGATCTAGCGATTTAGAATACCGCTTTACTTTCGATGGTCGCGGGTCTGATTTCTCATACGGTGCACACACATATATTATATTCATGTGTATGATTATTTGTATTTGTCTGGATCTATTTCTATATCTTTACATAGTATAAAACAAAGAGAGAGAGAAAGAGCTGTCGTTGTCTGTTCGCTTATATCTTTTAAATTATACAACGGATTTGCAATGCAATTTTTAGCAGTTGATAGAGTGATTCAAGAGGAAGGTTTATATGTATGTACATGCGTGTTATAGTATAGAACAATCTGGAAAATTTAAAGATTTATTATGAATCCGTGCGCAGCCGGATTGGAAAATGTATCTACATATTTATATCAGTTGTCTAGTATCCATAACACAAGCTCTGCTTTAGCTTGAGCCTAGATGGCTCTGTGTGAATTGTCTTTGATTATTTTTTAAATATCATTAAATATCAGTTATTATTCCACATTTTTGTATGATGATAACTTGAACAAAGTTTATTTTATATATTATTTTTTTTTATATTGTAAAGTTTATTTTTTATATTATAATTTAATATCTGCTTCTTCCTTATCCTATTCATTTGTGGTCGGCATAATGTTTTTCTCTTCCATTCATCCCTGTTGGCAGACATCTCGTTATTTACTCTCTTTTTTACCATGTCATCTTTCACACAGTCCATCCATTTCTTTTTTGGCTTTCCTCTACCCTTATAATCATCCACATTCATATGTAAAACTTTCATGAAATAATTCTCTTCAATCCTACGCATTACATGTCCCTACATATTATTTTGGATAACTTTTCAAATAAGTAAAAAATCATAGTAAACATTTGCTTTGTAGATTATGAAGCAAACTTAATTTACTTTGTGTTAATTTTGATGTAATAATTAATGAAATTAATTACTTCTACTAAACCTCGCTTCAATTCTTCTAAATCACAATTTTTTAATGATAATAAAGACGCCCAGCAAACTTGATCGCCCATTAAACTAAATTTTAAATTCAATGATCGAAATATTAACAATATACCTTTACTAATTACATCCCATATTTGTAAAGATTAGAAGAACTCATTAATCAAATAAATAACGAAGCACACTTGAAAAAAGACATGCATTGTACTCATGAACAGCTTCTAAGAAGACAATTTTAATTTCAGGAAAAAACGAAAGAATACGCGAAGATATAAAGCGAGAGGACAAAATTCTCGGCGATCTCCCAACTGCCAGCAGCAAAGAGCTATCTGCAAAGCAAAGACAGGACATAATGAGACAGAATGTCATCCAAGTACTGTTAAATTCGACCGTAATGCCTTTCAGATGGCTTAAAAGTTCTTTCAGGTGCTTCTATTGTTACGACGTATTCAGAGAGCCGAAGGATCTTAAAAGTCACAATGAAATTGTACACGGTAACAACTATGATGAGATTATGAAAACGATGAAGACTTATTGGGAGCCGATAGTTTTTGTAGACATAACCAACATGACGTGTAAACTGTGCCCAGAAAATATAACGGACTTCTACAGTTTGATAGACCATTTGATGTTCGTTCATGATATATCGTTTAACAAAGATATAGGGTTTTGCATGAATCCATTCAAGTTGTACAATATATCGGCAGCGTGCGTGCTATGTGACAAAGTTTATAGTACGTTTGGGCATTTGTTAATTCACACAAATAGAGACCACAAAGGTTGCTCGCAGATTCTGTGCGATATATGCGGACAGCATTTCCGTAACACACAAAATCTACGAAATCATAGAAATAAAGAGCATGGAAGAAAGAAAGTTGTCTGCTCAGTGTGCGGGGAAAATATAAATGGTATACATAGAATGAGGACGCATATGCAGAATGCGCATAACAAGAAATACAAGTGTTTTGTATGCACAGACTTATTCGAAACGCACTATAAGAGATCATTGCATATGATGACTGTGCACAAGAAGAGAGAGGAAATCAAATGTGAGCTTTGCCCTAAAACTTTTGTCTTTAGAAGTACAATGATGAGACATTACCGAGAGACTCATTTGCAGGAAAAGAACGCTATATGCGCAATCTGCGGATGGAAGGGTTTCGGTGAGCATAGACTTCAAGTTCACATGATGAGACACAGCAACGTGAAAAATTTCAAGTGTACATTATGTGATAAAGCGTTTAAAACTAAGAAAACAATGCGTCAACATTACACTAATATACATGAGAAAGTTATAAAAGTGGAAACGACGCCACAGGTGTAAATGCAAATTTAGAGCTGTAACTTTTAGGTATCTACATTTACGAATGCTGTAAATATACTTAATATAAAACTGAAAATAGACTTCGCAAATATATTTAAACGTCCACCACTTACGAATACAGTAGTGTATTTTCTTAAAAATGTGTACATAGTATTGTGATTGAACATATACTACATACCGAAATTTTTGTTATTTCAGACGTGAAAACGAAGAAGCTACGTCTAAAAGATCAAGCACATAAGAGCACATCAACTGAAAACAAAAAGACAATATTACGCGAAACTCTAAACACGATATTAGAATATTCCACAGCGATGCCGTTCCGCAGGTACGGAAACAAATATAGGTGTTTCTATTGCAACAGCAGTTACCAACAAGCATCTGACTTGAGGATGCACACAACTGATCATCAGAATGTCAACAGATCTAAAAGTGTTAAGAAGGGTGTAACTCAACTATTAGTTAAACTTGATATATCTGATCTGCAGTGCAAAATTTGTTATCACCCGATAAATGAATTTGAAGACTTGATCGCGCATATAAAAGAACATGATGTAGACTTGAACAAAGATGTTCTGCAATTTATCATTTGTTTTAAACTATCTGATGGGGATATGAAATGTTTGGTTTGTAAAGAGAATTTTGACTTCTTTGGACCCTTGCTTTTGCATACTCATCGAAAACACAGTCGTAGAGACTATATTTGTGATACCTGTGGTATCGGATTTGGGAGTAAAGGAGCTTTGGGTCGACATTCCCAAAGCGTCCATCCGACAAGCACGTATCAATGTAGACACTGTGATAAGAAGTTTTTTGCTGTACACCGTAGGGACAATCACGAGAAAAGAATTCATAATGTAGACGAACGTAAATGCAATATATGCGGGGATGTATTAGACAGCATTTATAAAAAAGATACGCATCTAGCAAAAATTCACAACGTATGGAGCTCAGAGTTCAAATGTGATGATTGTCCCAAAAAGTTTCGATATAAGCATCTCCTTCTCTCTCACAATAGAAGAATACATTTGAAAGAGAAGACGGTAGTCTGCGATGTCTGCGGCGATAAGTTCTTCGATAGTCGTTTGTTGAAGTTGCATATGGTGAAGCATAGCGATTTGAAACCGTTCGAATGTGAAACTTGCCAGAAGAGATTCCCTAGAAAGTGTGGCTTGATGATTCATACCAGGATACATACAAATGATAGACGATATAAATGTAAACTGTGTGAGAAAGCGTTCGTTCAATACGCGAGTTTGAAGCTTCATATAAAAATACATCACAACCGAAATTCGATCACGTAAAGCAAGTATGTGGTTACTGCAGTTAACTCTTTGAAAACGTGTATATTGTACATAAACATAGTCTTTATGTCTGTCTATTTATCTGTTTGTATGTTAATGTTTCAAATACAAACGCCTGGAGAAATTAGAGAGACATTCTCAAAGAATGTTTTTAAATATGGATCAATCAAGCAATAGAAAGCTGGGAGAAATACACTAAAATAATTAAATTTGTACAGCTACCTACAATTTTAGATTTAATTTGTTAATGAAATAATAGATGGCGCTGTATATATGTTATATTTATTGTTGTGGGTTGATCATCAATAAATACAAGGTGATCAAGATGTAATAAATAATGAATTTATACTTCGTATTAACAGCTTTTGGGTACTTTATAGGCATATATAAATCATTTATAGTATATTACGATATAAGTGCGTTATTATAGTTAGAACACACGTGGCGGAATTTCAGCCAAAGCAGCAGGCGAGGGCGTAATAGAGCCGAGTGTGTTATACGCACGTATATCGTACGACGTCTTTCAACACACTTGATTTTAAATAAAATCAACTATAAAACTGTGATGCACATTGTTCATTTCCCTCCATTTTACTTTTTTAAATCAACAGCTAACAACTGACTGGCACCACGCGGCGGTCAAATTCGAAATTTGAAAAAAAGAAATAGTACATGGTGCGGTTATGGAATTTTACTTCACTATTTGCATTTATAGCGCACGCGTTTTTATCAGCAGCTATTTTTCTCTTCTTTTGTCTCTGCCGGTTTGTGTTGCCATTAGCCATTATCAGCTGCTTTATATATCGAAACCCGGTGAAATTAAATTCAATTTACGAGCAAGTGTGTTGAAAAATTTAACAGAACATTTAACATTCTTTTGCTTTACTTTTAGAACAATTATCGATATTTGAAATAGTTTTTTTTTATCTATTCGATTTTTCATTTTGGCACGTAATTTAAACATTGATTTGACAATATATATACTAATTAGGTTGCATTCCTTTCGTTTTATTTGTCAAATTTATAATGATTAAAAGTACTTTAATATATTTATGTAATATTATAGAATTTAGTTCTTTTCGTTGTAACGTGATTAAGATCCGTTTACCATCAGATGGGCCGTATGCTTGTTTGCCACCATAGTAGTATAAAAAAATATATTTTTAAATGGATTTTTATATAAATTTTATTTAATTTTTTGTTCTACATTCTTCTTTGAAACGAATAATTGTACAATATTTCTACGAAATTGATTAGTGTTGCTTATAATAATTGTACACCTACATGTACCTACATGTTTAGATTTCAGAAAGAAAAAAAATACGCGCCAAAAATTATTAAAAGTTACGATATAAAAAAAAAGTAATGAATAAAGGTTCGGGTGTTATTTTAATTCACAACCAATGTTATATAATGTATGTAATATAATACATGGAATAAAACAGCTCAATCATTCATATTCGTTTCATTGGAATTACCGACCGAAAGAGATTTGGCCAAGCAGCTTACTTTGTACGATATATTTCGTTTAAAATCTTTATCTCAGTGACAATACAGGGTAATAAGGCTAAATACTATAGTATATATATATACTATTTTATCGTGTCACAGTTTTCGTTCCCATACTCCTCCGAAACGGCTTGACCGATTCTCATGAAATTTTGTGAGCGTATTGAGTAGGTCTGAGAATCGGCCAACATCTATTTTTCATCCCCCTCAATGTTAGGGGTAGTCCACCTCTAATTTTTTTTTATTTTAAGGCAAAACAACGTTTGCCGGGACAGCTAGTATATATATACTATAGTCTCCTGGAATAGCAACGCAGAACGAACTTTACATGATACTTTGAAGTCGTAATGCTGTTTAAACATATAAATAAATAATCCTGAATATTAGATGTTAGATGTTATATTAATACTGGAACGGATAGTGCAGGCTTAGACACCCCCATCATCACTCGTAAAAATATTAAGATACGGCACTTAACTGCACTAAGCTACCTTACGCGGTATGAATTACATAAATAGTAATGCAATCCTTCGGCGAACAATACTACCAGAATCTATAGAAGAATAGAATAAAGAAATCTGTATTCAAATAAACTTAAAATATAAGCACCTTTGAATAGTCATCTACCACTCATTCGGAATGCTATCTGCATCAAGAAGTACGAACAAGAAATTTGCGTGTTGCTTTTTTAAATAATTGTTGTAACTTCACATTTTTAAGTTGAAATGTATGAATACAAACTACCAACTAGCATTAGTTCATTAGAATCAAAATATTTTTTTTTACATCAACAGATATACATACATACACATTTTATATTTTAGATAATTCATAACGAATCTTTTAGTAGTTGACATACAGAATGAAGTAATATATAAGTACTTCAACATATACATTATATAACATAGTTATCACTGGACCTGTCCTTTGTCGGATTACAAGGTCATTATATATTAAATATCCGACCCCCTTAGGCCCCCTCTATGATCCAAATGGTTGAGTAACTAAAAACGATAAACCGTATATATGAGTCGTAGTGATTAGAACAGACCAGTTACAAGAAGAAAATCAACAACGATCACATAACGCCTCCATAGGCATCAGGCGACATTTCTTCTCGTTCGTTTAAAACAATACAGATGATGATAAAAAAAACAACGCAGAAATTTAAGACAATGACGTCGGTTTTTTCATTTCAGAAGACCCTGAAGCGTTCGCGGATAAAGAATATGAGAAACAGAAAAAAATCGAGTTTGCCCTTTTGTTGAGATTTATAATTGAAAACTCTACAATCATGCCGTTCAGATGGCACAAAGGCAAGTTCATGTGCTTCTACTGCTGCGACGTATTCGATCTGAGCTCGCAACTGAAGGAGCATTTCACAAGTCACACTCACGTTGAAATCGAGGAGATTCTACTTAGATGCATGTACACGAATTACAGAACTAAACTCGACTTCTCAGACGCTTACTGCATTATTTGTCCTATGGAGATTGAGAATTTCGAAGACTATCTAAATCATATTAATGAACACCACGATTTAGTCATGAATGAAACAACAATCAAATTGTTTGACGAGTTTAAATTGTCAGACGAGTGTCTCAAATGTTCTGAATGCGAGGATACCTTCAAAAACTTCGCCACACTACTGTACCATATCCATAAAACTCACGTCAACCTTCAAACAGAGAGATCGCTTTGCGAAGTTTGCGGCAAATATTTTCCAAATGTTGACAATCACATAAAACAGATACACCGCGAGCAAAAGTGCAAAATTTGCAATAGAACTTTTCCGTCTAAATATGCGTTGGATACGCACTTTGAAAACATTCACAAGACAAATGTATTGAAATGTCCTTTGTGTCCAAAAGTTTTAGGAACCAGATACCTAAAGAAGCGTCATTTGGCACTAGTGCATGATCAGAAGAGTGTGCAGTTAACGTGTGATATCTGCTCAATGATATTCACAAGGAATAACAAACTTCAGATGCACAAACGCAGAGTACATTTCAAGGAGAAGAACATGACGTGTGAGATATGCGGCTATGTAGCATTCAATATGGAATCCTTAAGACGCCATATGGTCAGTCACGACGACGCCAGACCGTTTCAATGTGATGTATGTAAGAAAACGTTCCAAAGGAAACCGACGTTGAAAATGCATTTGAAAACTCATACGTCATAATAGGTGGTACCTTAAACAAGGCGAAATATCATTTAGTGAAAAGTTTAAAAAAATGTATAAGAAGATTAGATTTTGCGCAAATCGACGGAGTGAAGGGATTCATTAATATTTGAATAAATCCGATGTTGATAGAATATAAATACTTTATTTAACAATATAATTTCTGTGTATTTCTTTAAGAAAACATTTTTCTTCTTATAATTATATGGCTAACCATATACAGCAAACAATATTTGAAAGTAGACTGAATAATAAAATAAAATAAACGGATGCTCTCGGAGTCACGCAAAAACATGGTGGCATACATCTGCCCTCAGCGCCGGTAGATCCCATGGGATCATTACATCATGACGATCTGTCAGCGGTCTGTGTCTTTCGTGTGCCTGCTAACCGGAATTCATAGATATGTGTTGACTTTTAACGTTCAAATTAAAATTCAGAATATTCATGTAGGTCTATTACTTACGATATGTCAAATCTGTCAGTTCGGAGTGCTTTCGAGATGAATAGAACTGATAAGAAACTCAGCTCGTATTCTTTTCAAATAATGTTGTACATGTTTACAATAACACAAATTCATTTTTAAATTCTAATTTGGGAGAATAGATTGGTCTCCAGCATATGCTATTGCAATTTTGTCAAGAGCAGATAGTCTAATCAGTGTTCGTACCCCGAACAGATTAAGTTCCAACGTTTTAAAATGTTATCAAAATCAAATCTAATTTATTTTATCATAAACATTGGACTACATGTGTTGTTATTGTAAATTATAAAGTTTCATTATGATTTGCCTCATTAGGCGTGCAAACATTAAAATTATTCAAAATATTTATAGATCAATTATAAATATATACATTATCACATTATTAAGTACTTAAAAATTCGTTTAAGGAACAGAAACAATTTATAGAGTAACCAATTATTTAATTTATTTATCGATTTTTTTTATGGATGATTATAGAATGATGCACCCTCCGGTTTACGCGGACGGGGCACCAGTGGAGGATGATAAGATGAACATGAGGTCAGGTCAATTAGCCTATCGTGACAAATTCACCAGGAATTTATCACGTGGTTACCAAGGTAACCGCGTGGAGGTCAACCTGACATGGTACATTGCCAATAATGAGGTCATGAGTCCACATTACTAACAATCCCCTCCTATTTATCAATTGTCGTTTGTTATTCTCTGACTCGACAGAAAATTATATTCAATTTTGGAAATTGGTTACAAGTTATTTTAAATTTGAGCGGGAATGGCCATTAATGTTATACGATTCTAAAAGTTATTGTTTTATTATTTGAATGTAAATTTAAATATATTATAATTTAATTTTGCCATGTTTTTTAAGTTATGATTATATTGTGATACGATTCTAAATTATTATTTGAATTTAATTATAAAAATAAGGTAATAAAATATTAATGAAAAGTTCATGATTTCAGTTTTTTTTTTATTAAATATTGTTGTGGCCTCCTTGACAGGACTGCTTGCTGGCCGGTTATAAGACGTGATTAGGACAGACGAGACAATTGACAAGACAGATACGACAAGCAAAAAGACGGACAATTACATAGAAATTTTACTAATTATATTTTACATTTAAAACAAGCTTCTTCTTTCTATTTCTATTCTTTCATTAACGACATTTCTTAACGGTCGGCCGTCCAGCAGAGCGTTCAAATATTTTATCATACCTATGTATCATAAAACAGGGGTTGACAGTTTGTAGGGAAAGCCGTCATTTTTGAAGTTAGAACGATTAAACTTTTTGCTTTAGCTTTTTATAGCTAAACCACAGATAACATAATATTACATCGTTAAACTAAATAATTAAAAATGTTGTTCAATGTTATTCCACGCGGACGAAGTCCGAAAGAAAAATTAATTCAACGTGTAGATGACGTTCAATGTTTTAAATTTGAATGAAAAACTATTATTTATATGATACGTATATATTGTTAACACCTTGATACACAGATTTTATTTTATTTTTTTCTTAATTACATCTAACTACTCGTTTCAACTCTCGTCCCAACGTCGACTAACTCCCACTCACTCCCATATCGCATCATTCTCACTCTTTCACACATCCTTCTGTCTTATTCACACCTTACTCCATTATACCTAAGCATCTTTTACGCATCATTTGATGTTCATGAGCGGCTAAAATGTCCCACATGAATATATATTTTTGATTTAATTTGATTTTAATATTTCATAGCATCCATCCTGCTATCTATTAAGACATTATTTTTTAATTACAGCCTCATCACCCAGTTCTGCTGGCAATCTGCAACTTAGACGCAACTTGATCGGACTTCTCACGTTTATATTAGAAGATACAACAGCAATGCCGTTCCGATGGTGCGCCAACAAATATATGTGTTTCTTCTGCTGCAGTACCTTCATAGACAGTTTAAAGCTAAAGGAACACACCAAAGAGGAACACCAAAATCCCAAATTGAAGAATGTTCTCAGAAATTCCATAAAAAACAGCACTATAAAGTTGGACATATCAGAAATGGCTTGCAAAACTTGTCCGAAACCATTAAAAAATTTAGACGAATTTCTAGAACATGCGGCTATTGCTCACGACTTGACTTATATTAAGGAGGTCAGCTCTCAGGTATTCGCGTTCAAACTGTCTGACGAAGGCATGTTTTGTCAAGATTGTGGGCAGAGCTTCAGGTTTTTCGGTCCTTTATTGAAACATGCGCATCGATATCATCATAAATCTAGTCCATTCCTTTGCGAGATATGTGGCCGAGGCTTCATTAAGCGCGCAAACGTTGATAGTCATATTAAAAATGCGCATTCTGGGACACAGAACCAATGCAACAAGTGCGAGGATGTTTTCCCCACACTACATACTTTGAAGACACATTACGAGAGGGTTCATAAGAGAATTAAATGCCCCAAATGTCCAGAAACCCTCGACAGCAGATATTTGAGGAAGCGGCATCTAGCATTGGTGCATAATGTACAAACATCGCAATTCCACTGCGACGAATGCCCGCGTATGTTCACAGAGAAAAGCAAACTGGTCCAGCATAAATCTAGGATACATTTGAAGGAGAAGACGGTGACATGTGAAATTTGTGGCTTTAAAGTGTTTAATAATGAACTATTGAAGAGGCATATGGTTAGGCATGATGATTCCAGGCCATTCGAATGTGAAATCTGTAAAAAGGCATTTCAGAGAAAGAAGACCCTGGAATTTCATAGAAGAATACATACAAATGATAAGAGATATGTTTGCAAAGATTGTGGGAAGGCATTCGTTCAAGTGACGAGTTTAAAATTACATATTAGAGTTCATCATTCCACAATAAACGACAGTTCTAAGTGGAATTAATGTAATGTAGGTAATTATTAATTATGTTTATTATAAAATAAAAATAGTAAAACTCCTGCAAAAGTGACATTGTTTTCTTTTTATGCTACCGTAGATTTACGACGGCTCTACACCTATTATAAATCTCTGAGCAAGTAATCACTACGTTTTATGGCAAATCACGACTTACTAAGGAGTGCATATTTTCTTCTATTCTAGTAATATAGTTATCAATGATGTTACATTCCATCTATCTATCTATGACTGTGAGCATTATGTAAATGAGGACCATGCAGTAAATTAATAATGATTGAACCTTTTTTATGCTGTAGACAGTGTTTAATGCGAGAATTCAACAATATTACTACCTGTATTATTTCTTATGTTGTGATGAAAAGACAATAAAGATACATGTCGAAAATTGCAAAATAGATGTGTGCAATAAAAATAAGATTTGCATTTTTGCAAAATACTTATAGAAGCGGCTGTATAGTAGTTGAAATTGTTGAAATGGTAGATATTCCGATTGAAATGAATTAGATTTTAATGGATATTATTAATAAAATACGAACGACATGATGTTAAACGGAACTTTTAATCTATCAATATATTTTGTTACAATGACAATATTTATTAGTCAAATACAATTATGTATATGAACCTTTATGTTCATTCAACAGAAATGACGACTGACTTTCCATCGTTTGATTTGATTGTCAAAGTCAAAGTCAACGTAATAACTGTAAATTTCATTTCCTAAACTCGACAATTAAAAATTATTTGTTTATGTTTTTAATAATTTCATTGAAAATTCTTGGAATTTTCTCATGCAGTTGAAATTTAAATAATTTTATCAATTTAATAATGTTTGTTATTCGTCCTAAATTTATATTACAAGAAATTTATTTTAGAAATTATTCATTCAAGAATAATAACATTCAATGTTACTATTATTCTAAATAAATTTAAACATAGTTTTACGAAACAATTATTATGGAGATAAAGAATAATATGTTTTACGGCCAATGCCGGTGTTGTTTGGCGAAAGGAAACCACAGAGACATTATGGCAGAATATTATAGTAACGGAATTCGTGAGGTGTACTTTGATATTTTCGTCGAATGTTTCAATTTGTTTGTGAGTATTTATTGCTATTTAACATGACAATATTATTATGCTGAACTCGTGTTAATTATGTATTTCTTTTTTTAATAAAATGACAATGTTCCACCCAATTGGCGGGGCACCAGTGGATGTTGCTAAGATGAATATGAGGTCAGGTCAGTTAGCCCATCTTGGCGAATTTACCTGGAAAAATAGCATATTGGTTATCAGGGGGAACTGGAAAATCCTGGCATATGGTCAGGATTAGTATATTCAAAAGCCCTAATAATGAGCTACTTATATCAATACTACAATAGACTTTATTGATTAAAAACAATATCTGAAACTCAACTAGAGCCCTCACTGGACACTGCAAATGCAATAACCACATGGCAAACTTGGGCCTGTGCTTAACAAAAATCTCCAGTTTGCCATACTGAAGAGGAAATGCCACTACACATCCTGTGGTACAACCACAGCATGTGTAGTAGCTCACTCATGCATAAACGAAATATCTCCTTTGGAATGTATACACTCTATCCTGAGGAGATTAAAACCATAGCTCCTTAGAATATCCTTCAATTCCCATCCCTAATGGGTCTACCTAGCAACTTTGAAAAATGGTGAGCACAATAGATCTATGTAGGTCACAGTGCTACAGGTCTTAGCACCCGATAATAGTAAAAATCCTCATTAATATTAAAAAATAAACTGGGTAGTGAACTTTGAAAAAGGGCCAACACAGCATATCATGTAGGTCAAAATGCTACAGGTCTTAACAATTGTATCGTCAGTTGCTAAGACCCAAAACTGTTAATAAAATTAAAAAAATACCAGGGAAAACCTCATAGCCATGAACCTGACCTTGTTAATACCAATGTACCATATATTGCTATCAATGAGTTCATTAGTCTACATCATATATAAAAGTTTTACTTAAAAAAAAAATATCTATGACGCTTTTTGATTCTATATGATCAACAAATCTGTTTATAGTCTGGAAGACTGATTGCATGCAAATAAAAATCTGTGATGCTTAAATATTTACATCTTTCAGCTGTCGACAGATACAACATTAAGCACTCAGATTTGCTCATCATGCGTACAGAGACTCCGCGACGCAAGCAGTTTCCGGATGATGGTAGCCGCAACCGAACGGCAGCTGCTGTCGCAGTTGAATGTCGGAGATGGCAAGAACACTGTATTTGTTAATGGTAAGACTTCTGATAATTCAATAAGTAATCCAATTGAGTTTCTTGCCAGTTCTTCTCAATTGGATCTATATACCGAACTGGACGGTAGAGAAAAAAAAAACAAATTATAATGTAAAAACTTGACGTTCATAAGCAGCTAAAATGTCCTAGATGAATAAATGATTTTTTAATTTGAATTTGAATATTATGCATAGAAAACTCCCAGACTGATATAAACAAGTATTGTTATAATTCTATTATATCTCCCATTTCGACTATTAATTACCTTTTGTTTGTACCATCAGTACCAGTCGAGGATCTTGCCATACACAATGATGTGCCCATCAAAATGGAAGAAGACGATGTGAAAGAGGAGGTCAGCGATACAGAACTTGACCAGGACGAGACAATAATGGACTTCGGAGCTGATGATAGTTCTAGTAAGAAATATTTGTTTATTTAAAGTACTGGCCACGGGATTGAAATAGAAAGATGCAAAAATCTTTGAACTGGAATAACAATTAAATAAAAGAGTATGTATGTGTGTCAAACACATAGTATGGTATATTTCTAGGCTATAGCATAGCTTTTATCGCGGGCATAGAGCGCGGCAAAAAAGACTACCCCATCCCGCACAGTAGTAACAGAGTGTTTCTTTTATCTTTCTAGACTTCGAGGTAGATAGCAAGGAAGACGAGTTTCTAACCGCTGAGGCAGCTTTGCTGGCAAGATTCGCAGGCTCCCTGAAGCCGCTGCCATCCAGAGAAGACCTGTACACCAAATGCGCTGATTACGTCAAGCATTTGGATATGCTCAAAAGTATGTATTTACAGTTCCACTAAGAAATAAGAATAATACCCCAGGACAATTCACACAACGTCATCTAGTCCCCCTAGTAGGTAAGCAGAGCTTGAGCTATGGGTACTAGATAACTGATTTAAATACTTAAATTCAATTTAATAAATACATACAACTAATATACAAAGAAAACATCCAGACAAAATAGTGCAATTTTTTGCATCGTGCGAGGAATCGAACCCGCGATATGCTAAACCGCTAGTGAGATATTAGTGCATGTAAAGGAATAAATAACTAAACCTCATCTGATTGAATAAAGTTAGATGCAATGGTCTGAAAGACAATTTTATTATCACATTGGTGTCCCTCAAAACTTGCTTCCCTTGAGTCTTCCTACACACGATTTTTCTATTTCTCTATTCCCGTGATTAAAATAAAATATTATTTGTCTCATACAAATTTTAACCAATTACTTCTAAATGTTTTGTTTTTAGGATTCAAATTCCTATAACAGATGGCCTCATTTATAGCATTTTTGATATTCCAGGTATGGTCATCTTCCCGAGTATGATAGCGAAACGTCTCGAAGACGAAGGAAGAAAACAAAAAATAGGCACTAAAAAGATGTTTGTCACAGAAAAAATGGCGCTCATTACAAACGCGTCGGCTATTCTAGAATGTTCTAACATGATCCCGTTTAGAAGCAAAAGTAGGGCCGGCTTCCCATGTTTCTACTGCCGTAATATATTTGAGAACTTGGACAAACTCAAAGAACATACTAGAGAACACAAGAAGAACGAAATTAAGAAAATATTAAGCACATACGGCGCTGAATGTTTGGTAGTCTACGCTGATATATCAGATTTGAAATGCAGTTTATGCGACGGAAAGCAATCAAATCTTAATGAACTAAAAACACATTTAATTAGAGTACATAAAAAGAAGATGTACCCAGAATATAATAATAGAGTTATACCATTCAAACTGTCTCAAGATAATGTATATGAGTGTCAAATATGTGGCTTCAATTTTGAAACTTTTGGCTCTATAGAGAGACATATGAATGTACATTTTCGTAATTATGTATGCCAAGATTGCGGGACGGGCTTCGTAACGAAATACCGTTTAAAAGTTCATTGCAAGAGTATGCATGTAGGTGGGAACTTTCCTTGCGAGATCTGCAAGAAGGTGTTCACGACACACCAGAAGCAGAAGAACCATGTCGATGCTGTACACAAAATGGTGAAGAGATTCAAGTGTACCCGTTGTCCGGAACGGTTTTCAGAGTATTTCAAACGCCAGAAACATATGGTTGAGGTTCATGGTGTCGCTCCGTTGCAGTACAAGTGTAATGTATGTGATAAGTCCTTCGATAGACGATATACGCTATCGAGGCATATGAAACGTGATCATCTTGAAGAGAGAGACTTCCAATGCCAGCTTTGCGCCTACAAGTGCTTCACGAATAATGAATTGAGAGTGCATATGGTAAAACACAATGGTGAGAGAATATTCGAATGTTCAGTTTGCAAGAAGTCGTACGCGAGAAAGAAAACTCTAAAAGAACATATGCGTATACATAATAATGACAGGCGATTCGCGTGCGGCGTCTGCGGTCAAGCATTCGTGCAGAAGTGCAGTCTGAAAGGACATTTGAAGACTCATCATCACGAGTATAGTTTACAATAAATATATATAAGTTCTCTATCGAAGTTATTTATTTGTTTTTAAATATGGGGCAAGTATTACGTAAGCACTATAGGGGGGCGGGGGGTCTTTTCTTTGCTTATTTTGGATGACATGGGGGTGGGGGATAAATATATATAACACGAATTCTTGTCTTTGTTAAAAAAACAATACATTAATCGTAAGTTATTTATTTGTTTTTTTAAATATCCGGGAGTGAGTACCAATGGAGAATGATGAGAAGTCAGTTCACTTTGACGATTACGCGATGAATTGACCATAACGGTTTTACGATCCTGTATGGAGATCGACCTGGTGGTGTGTTAGTGCCATAGTTACCATGTCCCTAGCATCATTCAGCCGCGGGCGGAACGCTTGCAAGGCTCCAGTGGAAGATGATAAGATGAAGGTCAGGTCAGTTAGCCCATCGTGACTTATCATGAATTCACCAAGAATTTGTCATGATGGTTTCCAAGGAGAACTGCATGGAGGTCAAGCAATCTAAATTACACTGCGATTACAATGTTGGGTTGTCCTCTACAGTCACACCTGCTATTGGGTGGTACAGTAAACCAAATGTACTGTATTATTAAATAAAATAGAAAATCATTTATTCAAATAAACTTTATTGAAACACTTTTGAATAGTCAAACAATATTTTTTTATCTACCGCTCATTCTGAAAGCTCCATTACGTCTCATTACAAGAAGAACGAGCAAGAAACTTGTGTGTTTTAAATAATCCTTGTAAGTTTACATTTACAAGTCGAAACGTGTGAATACAAATTACCAGCAAGCATATTAGGTTAAATATAAATATACAATAAGATGTAAAATGTAAATCTATATACAAATGTAAATGTTAATCTATGTAAATAAATAAATATTTAAGATTAAATCAGTCGTAGTGATAAGAGCAGACCAGTCCAGAGTGCTGCTTGTAGGGAGTCCAGAGCAGTCCCTACAAGCAGCACTCGTTCACGAGTATGACGGATGAGCCAGCCATCACTGCGCTCGACCATATTTTAGGGAGCCCAATGAATGAATAATTCTTGGGAGAGTAAAATAATTTGTAGTAATTGTTAGAGTTCACATCAATATTGTAGAAAAATCCGATATTTTAAAATGATATTAAAAGATGTTTAGTACTAATGAAGTACCAAATGTAAAGATTATTACAAATATTGTAAATAACGCCATCTAGTATTTATAGACCGAACTAAGTTGTTTGTCATAAGATATCCATTACCACCGCTTCTCTTCCTACCACACTGATTTCGGTCTATAAATACGGAGATCGGTAGTTGAATAATCCCCTCCTCCGATCGATCCCCCGTCCAATTCAAACGGGGATCGATATTACGACGGCCCGAGCCGAGGTTCGAACCACCTAGTGGTGCCCTCAGACTAAAGTCGTAAGTCGTATTCTTCAGGCAGGAGCGGGCCTTCAGCCGCTCCATAAGTCCTTCCGCGGGTTTGGAGTGTCATCTGCACTCGCCCCCGAACGTCCGGTGAAGTTGTAAAGGCCAGCTGTGGCCAACAGCATTAGAATAGTCCGAAAAAAAATTGAATAATCCTCTTTCGTTGGGTGAGCCACGGCATTCAGTTGACGAGCGCAGGGCGTACCGGTTGTGTTTTGGATACTAAAGAGAATTGTATTAGAAATGGGTTTATCCCGGTCTTAGTTGGACCTGGGGGGAAGCTGCATATAGTGAAGGTGAGTGTAAATGCATTCTAAAAGGGCCTTTGAAACCTACACCCGTGTCATAAGTCACGGGCGCTACTTGGGGTTTCCCTTGCGGTAGCCAGCTTCAAATCCTAATATGTCATCGTTTATTAGTGCTTCTTACATATTGAAATAACCGATTTCATTTAGGATGACATGGAATGTAGTTTTTCCGTATACCATATATATTTTTTCTTTCACGTTCGTAATATATTTATAAAAAATATATATATTAAATTACCTCAACATCTATAAATCATTTCATATTTTATTCCGAACGCAAAAACATGCGGACATGGCTGTATGAGCACTATTCTCTGTCTTTCCTTCAAAGGATAAGCGGAACCAAAAAAAAGAAAAGGGAATGTCAATATGACGTTTGCGTCTAAATACAAAACTTTATTCTTGTGAATTCTACATTATTATTCTTATTAATTTTCTTTTGAAATTGTTTTTATGTGAATAATAGTTACAAAAATAGTGCGGGTAACAAATTATTTTATCACGGTCATCAATCAAAAGGAAAACAGGAAGCACAAATTCTTCACATTTCACATTCCGGTATTCCGGTTCGTATTTTGAATTTTTATTATTGTATTAAGTATATTTTTTTAAAAGGAAAAAAATGTTTAATACATTATAAATATTTTTCAACACTTATTATGGAATTAGCTATGGAAGAGTGGAGCCTCCTGACACAGGCATTTTTATGGTTAAAAAGAGACTTCAATAACCATATAGAATTTTGTAAAAATTGTGCTACCTAAATAAAGAACTTGAATTTGATTTGAACGATTGTATTAGTTCTGTGTTTAGAATATTATGTGTCTAAGTTCTGTGATTTTGTCATATTTTCATCGTATTTGCTTATGACCAGTGACAGATTTTTTGTGATTGTAGGCCACTTCACTTACTAAAATAAAAAGTTTTTCTAATTTAATTAAATCTGCCGCCTCTAGGCCGCGGCCTATATGGCCTATTTATAAATCCGGGACTGCTTATGACATATTTTTCCAAATGAAATATTCTCATCCTGCATACTATAGGAATTTTTATTTAATAAATAAAAATTCCTATAGTATGCAGGATCTTTTTAGTCAGCCATAATTATTGAAATACTATAATATTTTTTGCAATTCATGGTTTTTTTATATCATATATTTCAATTACAGCAGAATTCCTATTATTGTTATACTATGATGAATTTAAAGTCTTATTAGACTTATTATTTAGTTTATTTAGTTTATTTTTGTTTAGAAAACTATTTAATTTCATCAAAATATACATTGAATTTTCAGATCCTTTGCAGACTCCAAATAAAACTAAAACAAATTAATAGGTCATATTGTAATAATTGCAAATAAGATGTGACACACACATTACAATCTGCAAGAGATTGCTTTTAGCGATAAGACCACATTTTGTAATTACTTTACTATTTCCTGTATTTTCTTATTGTTTCATCTCTGTATACATTAAAGAGCTTCATTATTATTATTTCTTAAACTTCAAAAAAAATCTTATCTCCCCTCTTAACAAGAGGAGATGGCAACTTACCCCCGGCAGAAGCACAGTCGGCCGGGGTTCAGGGCCCCAGGGAGAGTAACCAGCTTACATTATTATTATTATTATTGCAATTAATACTACATTTTATAAGATTTATCTCAACTCTTATGATGACTCTTCTCTTATATGTTATGAATATAGTCAAATATATGAAATAAAGTAGTTTAATACTAATAATGTTATGTTCTAAGTGAACAAGAACAGACTGAATCTATGTAAACAATTGCTTAATGTTATATACTAATAAAAATAAAAAAAATATATAAACATTGGATATATAGTTTTAATATAAGATTTATGTTGTTGTAAACGAAGTAAATTGTAAATTCTGGCAAGCATGCAGGAACCATTTTAGATAGGACATAAAATGGATTCATATATTGTCACTAATTATGGACAATGCCGATGTTGTTTATCAAGAGGAAACCACAAAGATATGATGAAGGAATATTACAAAAATGGTATACGTGAGGTGTATATAGATTTATATACAGAATGTTTTGGTGTATATGTAAGTATATAAACATTTGGTTTGAAAGTAATACTGGGTACCATATTTCTTATAAGACGCCTTACTTAGTACCGTACCTAGGTATGCCTGTAGTAATTTTATTTAGTTATCTTCAGGCATACTACTACTATTGTGTCAAAAAGAACATTCTAAGTAGATGTAAATATTAAAAATACAAAAGACAGATTATGTCTGTAGCGCTGAACGCTGTCACAGATTATACCCGCCAATATTTTTAATCAAATGTAGATTTTAAAATTGACTCCACCCATCCTTTGTCACGTTTTGACGACCATCTACCTACCTAGGTCCTAGATTTAAAGACAAACTTGCTGTTAGTAAGTATCATTTAGAATTATGGGAATGGATATAAATGTTACAATAAGATAACCAATACTAGTGTTACCTTTAAATAAATAAAACATCTGTTAAATCATATTTATTGAAATAGTTGTTCCTGCTTGAAATTTTCATTTAATGTTTGACATAGCATATAAGCAAAGTAAATAAACTGGCTATAAAAAAAAATTCAGTTCAGTTTTTTGCTAGTTTTATGAATGTCAAGTTTTTTTTGCAATCAAACAAGTAATATTTTTGCATTACAGCCAACTCGTAATTCTAAGATAACAACATTAATATGCACAAAGTGTGTAGAAAGGTTGAGAGACGCCAGCGAATTCAAGATGATGGTCATAAACTCGGAGAGACAGCTGATGGATGCTCTTAACAATATCGATGAAGAAGACAAAATGTTTGTATTTGCTGATGGTAAATATTTATTTATTTATATAACTTTAACCAATGTAGTTCATAAAGAACTTCGCAAGCTGACAGTAAAAGAGTCCAGTCCCCACCAAAATGCTGCCCACCTGGCCGAAGGGGCTGGTGTATCGGCGCTACCGTGGCAGATTGCCATCGTCAGTGCCTTTGCCACAAAATAAATTTCAATATAATAATTTTATAATATTAATTCATATGTATGTTAGTCTATAAGGTATTTATAATATAGGCGTAGTAGCCTGAAGGAAAGAAATAAATAAAAATAAAATAAAAAAGAGGAGATACTAAACTTTGAAATTATATATAAAAAGTGCCTTTGTAACCACTTAAATTATCTGACTACTCAACTATTAGAACATCACTATCCTAAGCGCCTAAAAAGAAGCGAATTGTGCAATAATCTTAAGGGGCAGATGCTCCCGCTGGGTGGATACTCCGGTATCAGTTCACACACTCAAAAGATCTACTTATAGTTCCAGGACAGATTGCAGATAGGAGAAATTTTATATGCATATGAACAACATTATTTTGTACTTTTTTATAATGTGGCATTAAAAAACATACAACCCTAAATTTCTACCCTTCTACCATTAACCCCTATTTTTTATAGCGTTTTTAATTTATAAAGAAAACAATGTTTGCGGGTCAGCTAGTATGTGTATATAATTTTCATACACATAATTTGCCTTCAATTAAGATCCATAAAGATAACGCTATAATAAAAGGCGTTTGTGGTAATCTAGAGGCAATGGGATTTGTTTATCTGAATCTTGAATTTCAGAAACTGCAATTTAGACAAAAGTTTTATGTATTTAAAGAATTACAGTGCAGTTCGCATGGTATATTAGGAGAAGATTTTTTAATACAATTTAAAGGTATTATAAATTTTGAATTGGGCTGTTTAAGTGTAAAGCCCCACGGATCACTTGATCCCATTTTTTCTTTTTTGAAAAGGTATACGGACCCTCCGTATACCTTTTCAAAAAAGAAAAAATGGTATAAAATATGTTAATTTTCCTAATAAAAGGAAAACTGATTATATTGTCGAAAATGGAAATTGTGCGAAAAATAGAACAACGGACCAATTATCGAAAATAATTGTAACGTCCGATGAGTTAAAAGAATTAAACTCATGCTGTTCAAGCGTTATTAAGCAAGGTCCAATTAAAAAAAATTCATAAATGTTCTCAAGTGAAAATAAAATCGAGTCCATCAAAGATGGTACAAATTACTAGAAAATCACAGTTTCGTGTGAAAGTAAATATTTGTAATAAGGAAACATTAGGAAAAGTGTTAGGTATGCATAATATGCATGATAATGCGTGCAATGTAGTTCTATCCGGATCTATAATATATTTAAATCAAACGTCTCTATTAACAAAGGTGGGCGTAAATGAATCATTAAGAGAACTTGTAGAGATATGCAAGGATCATAATATTATGGAAGTTATAATTATTAAAAATATGTACAATAAGTCTCAAGTTAATAAGTTCTGTCGGTATATACAGAAGTATGATGAGTTTTTACGATTATGTAGGTATACTGTAAAATGTATAGATAAGTATAGTAAGTCAATAAGTACAGATAATGAAGTGAGCATTGTCACATTGGCCAATAATGTAAAGCATAAAATTTCTTAAAATTGTTATAGAGTAAAAGGCCTAATTTTAATTTTTGGTTACTACTTGTTTAGTAGAAAACAAGATCTGTTAGATGATGACAAATATGTATTAACAATACAATGTAATTATAAAAGTTTGTATTTTTTTTGTACTCAGGTATGATATACCTTGAGAAATTGTTGAGTTAAATTAATCCTTAGTGCTGTTTTTTTTGTCTTTTTGTATGTAAATGTTTAAATAATAAAAATTGTCCTTGTAATGTTAAACTTTCAGAGGGAGGGGACACCCTCACCATAGACACCCTACTTTTCAGGGGAGGTGTGATATAGTGATGCAAATCAGCACGTTCGATAGTAGATTGTGCCAGTGTACGTTTTGTATAACGACACGTAGGTCACGCAGTACCTCATATATATAGTTTATGTAATTAGTCTAAGCTAGAGTAATTCAAGATGTAACAGTTAATATACAAGTTACACCCTACTGTGTGTGTTTACTCTCACCACCGCTCCTGTCATCACAGTCTCAGTGTAAGCGCGATCCGATGTGCACGTATTATAATTATTTTATTTAATATCGTAATTGCTCAGCGCGGCATATATCGAAGTTCCAGCCATGTGTGACAAACTTGTGGCCAACGAACTCACCTGCAGCAGAAGCTGGACGTAATGGACGAAGTAAGTGCAGTCCAGATCTGTGTGTCCAACTTCAGCCAGGACGACATCGCGAGAGCGAAGGCTCTGCTCTTCGAGTCCCTAAATAAGACTGATCAGATGGTGTCTCGTAGACGTGACGGGACACAAAAAAGCGTACAGGACATTATAACGCTGCTGAAGGAGACCGATCCAGACGACGTGCCGACTTTTGTGGCGAAGGATTTAAACAAACTTCCTCCAGTCACATTTGATCACGTCGATGTTACCAGCCTACTCAAGGATATCGTGTCCTTAAAAAAGAGTTTGGCAGATGTGACGCTACGTTTCAATGCGTCAGAGCACATAATTAGTGAGTTGCGCAAGGAAGTGGACAGTTTGCGCGACTCGCGAAAAGAAACTAGGTCACTTGACGCTACGAACATCAACACGCGCCGTGGGGCATGCCGCGATGCGTTCACGGCGGAGTCAGCGGTTTCGGCGTCGACACTGACGTCACCAGATGTGGTGTCATGCTCCCCGCCCGCAGCTCGCGAGCGCCGATACCGCTGCATGTGGAAGCAGCGCTAACAAAATCCTCGGTGCAACCACAGCGTCGAGATTTTGCCGCCGTCGTCGCTAGCAAACCGGCTGCTTCAGTACAGCGGCGTGTGCCAAAAACGGCACTGAACATTGACCCTACGTGTGCTGCCACTGGGAACCGCGACGATGATGGCTTCGTCGTGGTACAAAAGAAGAGGCGCACAAACAGGGTCAATAGGAATCATTGTGGCACTGCACTCACTGGGCCCAACTTTCTGCTGCGTGCTGCTACACCGACAACGACAATGTACCTGTCCCGTCTACATTACGCCACTAAGGAGCAGGACATTGTCGTTTATATTCGTACCAAGAGTAACCTGACATTGAGGGTGACGCAGCTGAAGTCGAGTCACAACGCGAGTTTCAAAGCGTTTGTGGCCCTGGTCCCCACCGACTTGCTGCCCACCTTCATGAAAGAGGACTACTGGCCGAAAGGTGTGGTGTATCGGCGCTACCGTGGCCAGATTGCCGTCTTCAGTGCCGTGATCACACAGACAATATAGTTGTATTGGTTTTTATTATATTATATGTATGTTAGTCTATAAGGTATTTATAATATGGGCCTAGTTGCCTGAAATAAATGAATAAATAAAATAAAATAAATAAATAATTTCAAATTACATGTGGCTGACTTAACACCGTGCGGTATTTCGCGTGAAAGTGTAGCAAACATCCATCGACACTCACAAATTTCCACATCTATAATACTAGTAAGATTGAAAAATACATAGTGTACTAAATAATTAAAAAACATATTCTTCAATTACAGTGAATGAAGTCAACAATGATATTAAGCATACACTACCATTGGCTGTGAAGGAAGAACTGTCAGATGCTCACAGTAATACATACTCAGATGACTGGACAATTGAAGGTGTGTATTTTCGTCACTAACCTCCTGTTTTAGTTGTGTTGAAGCAGCCAGGTTTAGTACATTCAAATGCCCTAATAATGGCCTACTCGAACAAATACTCCAATAGACTTGCTATTTAATGAAAACAATATAAGCATCATGACTAGAACACTCACTGGATACTGCAAATTGAATACACACAAAGTTGGGCCTGTGCTCAACAAAAATCTTGCCAAGCTGAAGAGGAAACGTACACATCCTATGAGGTTGTAGACCACTCATGTTTAAACGAAATATTTGCAAAGTTTGCACTCTAGAGGAGATAAAAACCATCGCTCCTAAGTATATCCTTCAGTTCTTGGCCCTGACGCGTCTAGGCAGCGAACTCTGAAAAAGGGCGAGCATAATAGATCTATGTAGGTCGCAGTGCTACTAGTCGTAGGAGTGGAGTGGGAATAAAACATCAAAATGTAGGACCCTTCCCATGGTTAAAATGTGACTTACTGTTACACTGCTAACTGGATGTAGGGGAAAAAATTCAAATTATAATATAAAAAATTTGACATTCATAAGCGGCATAATAATTAATGATTTTAAAAATTAGAATTTTACAGGGAGAGGTAAAAATGAAATTGGTGTAACATATTTTATAGAAGGCCACATATTAACAATCATATCCTTCTATTCAGATGCTGGAGATTCCAACCACAAACAATTAGTGGAAGGAGAGGCAGAGTTCCTGGCTCGGTTCACACTTGATTCATTAAAGGCTCTCCCCACACGATCGTCATTAAGAGATTCGTGTGCTGAGTATTTCAGGCATCTGGAATTATTGAAAGGTAATAATTTCTTGTGAATTGATATAATTCATAGCAAACAGGGTGTCGATCTACCTGAGATGTGCGTGAATAGCAACATGGATCACTAATTTTATTACATCCGGCTCGAAGGACCACTGTATGGCCTATACAATGGTATTCTAAGGGGACATACATAAATTACGTCTTAGGAAAATTTTTAAATCTACTACTACTAAGTTGTGCTGCAGCGCGACAGTAAATTGACCACTCTGAGATTTAACTTCCTGTAGGTGACTCATAGCCCACTCTACTATATTGTTGGACAGATATTTCCTATAAATTATGTGGTTATATTCATTATTAACAGGTATTATGAACATGGACGAAAGTGTCATATTAAAAACATATTTTTTTATAGGAAAGGTGATATCTGCCAAAATGCTTCAGTACCTCATAGAAGAGCCACCGGACAACATAACGCCAATAGATATAAATAAAAAACTTAAACACAATTTAAATAAAGAAAAACACGACGAAACCAACTACACTGGCGCCATTTCAGAGAAAATGGCGCACGTTGTCAACATTGCAATTTTACTGGAATTTTCAAATTTAACCGCCTTCAAAACCAAATACAAAAATGGCTTCCCATGTTTCTATTGTAACAGTATATTTGATAGCTTACATATTTTACGAGACCATCAAACAACACATTACAAAACTAATATAAAGAAGTTAATTCTAAAAAAATATAGGCCAGGCAGACCCGACTGCTTAGTGGTGTATGCAGACATAGACAATCTAAAATGCACGATATGCAACGAAAATATAATAAGTTTGAACGATTTAAAATTACATTTAATTAATACACACAAAAAGAAAATGTATACAAACGTCACAGACAGGGTTATACCGTTCAAAATGGCGGGAAATTGTTATAAATGTCAAATCTGCGGTTTCGACTTTGAGACGTTTGGCGCCATTGAACGTCATATGAACACGCATTATAGGAATTACGTTTGCAACGAATGCGGTTCTGCTTTTATAACGAAACAACGTTTAAAAGTACACACGTACAGTTTACACGCCCACAGTGTAAAAATAACGTACTGTGACATTTGCAAAAAGGAGTATCCGTCGCATAAAAAGTACAAAATTCACTATGACGTTGTGCATAAGATGCTTAGAAAAATTAAATGTTCGAAATGTCCCGCCAGGTTTGCAGACTATTTTGTAAGACAGAAGCATTTAGTCGACGTTCATGGGGATACGCCTATATTGTATACTTGTAAAGTATGCGATAAGTCTTTTACAAGACGGTACTCTCTCTCCAGTCATATAAAAAAGGAGCATTTAGAAGAGCGGGATGTACATTGCTCGCTATGTACACACACGTGTTTCAATAGTTACGAATTAAAGGCGCATATGGTTAAGAAACACGGCGAAAGGTTGTTCGATTGTGGCGTTTGTAAAAAGTCATATGCCAGTCAGAAGAGTTTGGCTGAACATCAGCGGATACATAACAATGAAAGGAGGTTCTCGTGTGATAGTTGTGGACATACGTTTGTTCAGCGAAGCAGTTTGAAAGCTCACTTGAAAACTCATTATTATGAGGGTTAATAAATATTGTAATACCACTTTTGTTTTTTTTTATTGCTGACTACCACTTACGTCTTTAGAAGGCACTCTAATAAAAAAAAAATATGATAGTCACTGATTTTTTTTTAAGTAACTGGAATACCAAACAAGCTGACCTGATGGTAGGCGGTAACTGTCACCTATATAAAGAGCAATCAATTTTTTTAGATATATCAATTTTTTTTTTCACTACTCTAATACTGTTGACAGCAGCTGGTCTTTACAGCTTCACCGGACGATACGAGGACTTGGACTGAAGGCCAACTCCCGCCTGACGGATACGACTTTAGTCTGAGGGCGCTAGAGGTTCGAACCTCAGTTCAGGCCGTCATAATATCGATCCCCGTTTGAATTGGACGGGGTATTGATTGGAGGGACGACTGGGGGTACCGGTGTAGAGCGCCCGGTTGATTGCACGGTATGGCGTGTTTGGGGTCGTCGTCTTCGCCGGCGAGGACGGGGTCGTCGTCTTCGCCGGCGAGGACGGTGTCGTCTGTGTGTGTAAAAGTGTGGTCGGGACGGATAAGGTTATCATGTACTGGTGATACCATCCATGCGTTGCCATTTCAGTGGACTAACATATCATTTCTTTTATCCTGTAATTTAACTGCCTTTTTTATTTGTGGAAATCCGTAGTTTTTGCGTGAAAGCGTAACAAACATCCATACATACTCACATACTTTCGCGTTGGGGGGAAGGTGATTGTTAGTAATAAGGGCTACTAACTCTATTGCGAGCATTGTACCATGTCAGGTTGACCTCCACGTGGTTCCTCCTGGAAACATCGTGATAAATTTATAGTGAATTTACCACGATGGGCTAACTGACCTCATTCTCCTCTTATCATCCTCCACTGGTGGGGGTGGGGGTGTGGTGGGGACCAGCATAAACTGTTAGCGCAGGTACGTGTACCATTCCATTATCATCCATAATTAAAAAAAAACTATCGCGTTTATATCAGTAAGATATATGTTACCATCAAGGGCAACCGTCCGCCAGCGTGCTTGCTAAAGCAGATTTCAGTGTCCATAATCCATTTGTATTCATAAGTATGATTGTTTGTATCGGTCTGGGTGTTTTCTATGTATAATATGTACGTATTTACGAAAAAAAATATCTATGTACTTGTATCAGTTATCTAGTACCCGTAACACAAGCTTTAGCTAGCTTAACTTGGGACTAGATGGCGCTGTGTGAATTGTCAAAAAAAAAAATAGTACCATCTTGTGTGGAGAGCCCAGTTCGGTTTAATCGCTTGAAGTGAAAAGTACATATAAATGAATACGTGTATCGTTGCTGCAGCCGCACCGTATTTTTTATTAGGTTGTTTGGACTATTGTCAGGTGGCTGTAGCACTGCGACCTACATAGATCTATTGTGCTTGACGTTTTTCATTCGCTACCTAGACCCGTCAGGGACAAGAATTGAAGGATATTCTTAGGAGCGATGGTTTTTATGTTAGCAGATATATATATATATGTATATATATATAGTTATAGATAGTTTTACGGTGTTATATGGTTGTTTTTTATTGTAAAGTAGCTGTTCCCGCGATTTCATCCGCGTGGAATTATACTTTATTTATCTAAAATAAAAGTAGCCTAAGTTACTACTTATTACATTAGCTACCTGCCAAAAAAAGTCCCGTCAAAATCGGCCCAGCCATTTCAGAGATTAGCCGGAACAAACAGACAAAAATTTTTAAAAATGTTATTTTTGTGTATGTACTGTATTTATTTTCAGATGCATATAATAAAAAACGGTTATTTCAATATTACAAACAGACACTCCAATTTTATTTATATGTATAGATATAGATAAGATTGTTCCTTATTCAGATAAATGTTAATTAAAAATGCATTACACAGTTTAAAACAAAACATTTATTTTGGAAACTAAAAGTAACATAATCTAGATGAATTACTAAATATTAATGACAACATTGCAATATGGATTTATACGTAACTGAAAGGCTAAAACAAGCTGACGGCACACCTGCTGGTAAGTGGTAACCGTCGCACATACATGAACAGCAACAACTAACTAACATTACGGCATAAACTCCAGCTTCTGTCTCGTATTAAATTATAATCATAAAACATAAATTCATTTGACGGCCTCGGTGGTCTAATAGTTTAGCACACCTCTTTACTTTTGCTGGTCGCGGGTTCGATTCCTCGCACGTTACAAACATTTGTATTCAAGGATGTTTGTTTGTATTGGGTGTTTTCTATGCATATTATACAGTGAAACCTCGTTAATTGGGATCTCAAGGGACCGAGAATTGTGTACTTATTATTAATAGGTTCCATTAATCTAAATTTCCAATTGAGTAGGTTTAAAATTATAGTTCTCTCGTTTATAGAGGCCCCCGCTTATGGAGGTCGAAATGTACCTTTATTCCATTCTTAGAGGTGGAAAAACCTAAAATAGTTTTGACAAACAATGCATGAGCGAAAGACATGTTTATAAACGAACATGTCCAAACCTGTCCCAATCTGATTATTTTGTCTCAATTTACAGGGCAGGGATGTTAGGGAGCTCTGTAACCGTAACCGAAACTATCGGATATCCGGTATAAAAAATATTCGTAGCCGTAACCGAATCCGAAATAAAAGTTTAGGATAATATCGGATAGGGGCGGAGCCTAATAGAGACACGTTATGTAACCATTTTATTAGCTATTTGTAATTAACTATTGAAATTCCTTAAAAAAAATAATACCCGTAACCGAAATTATCCGAAACTAACGGATAATCCGAAATAATTTCATATCCGTATCCGGTATAACAATTATTCCTATATCCGAAACCTATCCGTATCCGAAATTTCATATCCATAACATCCCTGATACAGGGAATTGAGCTACAGAGTCCCAATTATAGATGTAAACATTGGAAAAAACCTTAGAATTCAAATCTCATTTAACTAGGTTCAAAAAGTCCTATTAACAGAGGTAATTCAATAAAAAAAATACCGGGACTTCACTGAACCTCTCAATAATAGAGGTTTCTCACTGATCCAGGTTTCACTGTATATATACAAACTAAAAAATTATTTATATTAGATGTCTAGTACCCAACCGAAGGTCTGCTCACGGGACTAGATGGCGCTGTGTGAATTGTCCAGAAATATTATTATAAATTAATTTTAACACAAAATAATAACGTTAAAAAATTATCAGAATATCACAATATTCCCTTATCCCTTATTTATAAAAACTAATACATTAAAAACCCCTTTTTCGTTAACAAGTGGCAAAATGCTGATGGTAAGTCTTACCCTATCTATATACATAAACAATACTACGGATAACACGTCATCATGTAACGACCGTGATATCATGATGAAATAGAAATAATCTTAATTCAAATAAACTTAATATAAGCACGTTTGAATAGTCATATTATATATTTTACTAGTTGTGTTAAAAATATAGCTTGTATGTTATTGACGCATAAGCTATATTACTGTAAAGTTTCATAAAAATTCGTTCAGTAGTTTTTGATTGAAGGAGTAACAGATATCCATACTTACAAACTTTCGCTTTTATAATATTAATAAGATTAAGATGCTCTACTGAGTCCTGATAATTTGCTAAAAATTCCGTTCCCACAAAATCTATTTCATTACCGTTTCCCAAATTATCCTTGGCAAAAACACTAATATCCAAGCCAATAAAAAAAAAAACTGGCACTACCGTTAAATTTCACTGCCATAAACTCTGACCAAAATACAGCTTCGAAAACAAGTTGCTTGGCGTTGCATTAAGACAGAAACGACTTTTCAGACTACCTCCATATAGTCTGTTTTTAATACCATAGACAAATTTGACCTTCTTATGGTGCTGCCTATTGAAAATATTTATCTGTTTGAAAAAAAAAAAAATTGTTTTCTAGCTTAATGCTGTAAAAATTATTTGTATTTAAACAGTTGTATCGACAGTAATGGAATCTCTTGTATATGTACCTAATTATTAAAAATCTGTTGTGTAAACGTCATTTAAAGCTTTAACTAATGTTAAAATAAAAGCTTCCGATTAAACAAATCGGTATAGCAGGTACACCACTACTCCGCTATAGATGGTAACACTATTTGAAAATTTGACATTTACACCTTGTCAATTTAGTCTCCGGTATTAAAAAACAGACTATAAAGCAAATTTGTTTTTAGAAGTTTTAATTGCGCTACGAGTCAAATGCGGGCCGAATAACTACTAGACCAGGCGGAGTCTCCATCACGGTGATCAGGTTCTTGTGTGTTCTTGCATGACTCCTCAGTTCTGCTTTCGTCACGAACTTCTTATCGCAATGTTCACACTCCACTCTCTTCTCCCCAGTGTGGCGCATCACATGCATTTTAAGATCATAATTGGACACGTACGATTTCATACAATAAAGGCATTTGTATTTCTTGTTATCGTTGTGTTTTTTCCTTATATGCGCCATGTAGTATGGTCTCCAGGTGAAGACGACCCCGCAGTACTCGCAAGTAATTGATTTCACCTTCTCATTATGTTTCTCCACGACATGCAGGTGTCGTTCGTGTTCTGCGCTGTACCTTTCGTCGCAGTACAAGCATTTAAACAACTTCTCGTGTTTATGAACGAAGTTTATATGTTTCTGTCTGTACTTCTTCAATGTGAATACCTTCCCGCATTCGTTGCAGGGGTATTTCTCGTTGCTGTGAATTAACCTGTGCTTTTTGAGTCTACATTCGGAAACGAAGCCGTCTCCGCATTCCGCGCAGACGTAGTTGTTGTAATGCGCGTTCATATGCGAGTCGAGGAAATGGAAATGCTGGAAGGTCATCGAACAAAGTGCGCATTGAACAGCACTCGTTAGCTTGAAAGGAATTACTCTAGTGTACGCTTCATCCAAGTCTATATTGTGTGTTTCATTCAAATGTTGGAACAGATCGTTCCACCCTAGGATCTCTGAGGAACATTCTTCGCACTGCAAGTTTTCTATATCTATCCTGATGACTTCGTTCATCCAATGAGGGCGCAGGACAGAGTCCAATTCGCTTAATATCTGGTGTTTATGCTTATCTAGGGTGTGGGGCCTTAGGTCTTCTGGACTCTCGAATATAGGGCTGGGGTCACAGAAGGCGCAACATAATCTCGTTCTTTTTACCTTGAACGGAACGGCGTTCGTATAGGTAAGGATAATCTTCGTTTCTTCTATGAATTTGAATTGCTTCTCAAGGAACTGCTGTCTATTTTCATTCTCTTCTGAGTCTGGAACAGAAATATTAATGTAAGTATATTGTTATGAGGAAGGGGATTTTTAGAGATGTGGACCGTTTGACCCTATAGCAAATGTACCATGTCAGGTTGACCATGCGATTCCCCTGGAAACCATCGTGATAAATTCTTGGAGAATTTGTCACAAAGTGGCTAAGTGACTTGACATAATGTTCATCTTATCATCCTCCACTGGTGCCCCGCCAGCGTAAACCGTTTGCGCAGGCGAGTGACCATTCCATAATTATCTATTAAAAAGTCTATTGTTATTCGGTGACGTATTTCTAGGTGCTCCTGAATACATTTTTAGAATTGACGGCCTCGGTGGTTCTAGTGGTTCAGCACACTGCTTTACTTCCGATGATCGTGGGTTCGATTTCTTGCACGATACAAACATATATACATGACTACGATTATTTGTATCAGTCTAGGTGTTTGCTATGTATATTATGTATGTATTTATATCATTTGTCTAGTACCCATAACACAAGCTCTGCTTACCTTGAGACTAGAGACCTCATTTTAACATAGGGTAGGTAACGACTGTACTGTTTTTAACGGGACTTACACTCACGGATAGCTAATGTTATAAGTGGAACTTTTATTAAAAATGTTTTTATTTCAATTAAATTATTTTAATAAAAATAGAGTAGTTGCGGGTAACTGTTAGTCAGAAATATATATTAATATTTGTTTTTAATGTAATTTACATGTCAGATATTCTGAAGAAGGGTAAGAGAAGTAAGAAACAGAGTATACTAGAGAGTAATACACAGAGAAAATACTTATATGTTTATACTTTATTTAAATTATCGTACACAGAAGTAACGCTTGGAATTACAAAAAAAAAGTATCTAAGAATTCATATCAGTCGCCTAGTACCTACTGCTTACCGTACTAGATGGCGTTGTTAATTGTCCAGAGTTATTAATTATTTATTTATATTCATATATAAATATTATGTTTCAACATCATGTGTCCTTTTAAAGTACATTTTTGAACGAACCCTTTATCACATATTTCACACTTAAATCTTCTATCGTTATTATGAATTCGCATATGTTCCTTCAACGTAGACTTCCTTCCATACCGCTTCAGACAAATATCGCATTGAAAATTTCTTTCCTGCGTGTGTTTTAGCATATGATTATTCAAACCTTTCTTCGCGTAAAACCGCATATCACACTCTGTGCATTGCAACCTCTTTAACATTAGATGACATCTATTTATATGTCCAGTCAAGCAGAATTGGCTCGTAAATTGTTTGTCACAGACATTGCAAGGGAATATCTCTTGATCAGCCCCGTGATGTTCCACCTCGTGTTTGTTTCTTTGGACTCCACTCATGAATCTCTCATCACAATATCTACACTTCCTAGTTTTACTATTATGTCTATGCAATACACGTTCATGAGCTTTTACATTGACGCGAGATACGAACTCTTTCTCACAATATGAGCATTTATACACACCTTTATCGTGTCTAGCCTCATGGTAAGATAACGTATGCTTATTTATAAATCCTTTACCACAATGAGAACAGCTATATATACTATAATGTTCAATCATATGCCCCAACAATAATTTGAAGAACGTATACTCGCTTCTACATAACAAACATCTATAGATATTGTCGGTGAAGCTGAATGGTACAATTTGGTGTTTGATATCCGTATACACGAGTTTACGATGGGACTTCAAATGTGCGAATAGATCCTCCATGTTGTTGATACTTTGTCGGCACAATAAGCAGTTCAAACCGGTTATATCCAGTTTCAACAGGAAATGCGTTAAATCTTTAATTTGGAACGAATCGAATACATCGCTATGAGACCGCGTGTGCGTTTTCAAGTCGGCCGGCTTATTGTAATCTTGTTTGCAGAAGTAACACGTGTATTTCGAGCCGCCCGGGCCAGCGAATGGTGTTGCGTTTGTATATCGTAATATGGCCTTTATGTTGGCGACGTGTTTTTGTAGTAGAACATTTCGTGTCCGCTTCGACACTCGTTCATTTGTAGGGTGATGTTGGCTCTCCCATTCATCTATAAACAACAGATTTTCTTTTACATTCTGCGGTGTCTTCACATAGATAAAGTAACAGATTCTATACAGCTTTGATTGTATTACGTGATTCACAGAGTAAAATAATTACGCATAGGCGTTAAAGACAGTATTTCAGATATATTGTCCACCATTTTTTTTTTGGGTTTTGGGTTATTGTCAGGTGCTAAGACCTGAAACACAGCGACCTGCATAGATCTATTGTGCTCGCCCATTTTCAAATTTCACTACCTAGACTCGTCATGGACAAGAATTGAAGGATTCTTGTCCCTCACGGGACTAGGTGCACTATATAACTTAAGACTGCATATCCCCGACTCTTCTCCATACAAAAGGAGTTACTATGAATTTTATGTACAATAAATAATTTACCTCGACGAAATTTTATAAGGCAAATAACATCAACGTTTCACATTAGTCAAATTTTCATTAAAGAAGTTGGTATCATAATTACACGTAACTAAAATAATCGATTTCCACAAAAATGGACCTATCCTTTGTTTATTCGCATGAACAATCTAAGATAGTAAAAGATATTGAATATGTGCAAGACATTGGAAATATAACGAATATTCAGACGAAACGAAAAAAAAAATTTAATTACATTTATATTTTAATGGAATAAAGTATAAAGACAGTTGACAGAGTTGATTTTGTTATGAGCAACCTTCGGGACCCAGAGGTCCCAGAGTTTACTGTAGACACCTATTAGAGAATTTCTTTCACTGTTATTATCATTGGAAACGCGTACATTATTCTAGAGTGCGGTAGTCTATATACTATGAGAATATATACAAAACTCAAAAAGTTATGAGCATTCGGACAAAGTCCCGTCGGACCTCTAGTATTTAAAGTAAAATCTTTATATATAAAAATTACGTGTCACGTTATCCGCGATGGACTCCTAAACTACTGAACCGATTGCAAATTTTATTTGCACATTGTGTGCAATTTAATCCAACTTGAAAGATTGAGTAGCTTACGTCTCAATTTATAGTCGCAGTATTATTTTATTTAAGAAACTTAGCCACAGCAACGCGTGGCCGGGTCTTCTAGTAATAATATAAGAATTGGAGTACAATATATATATATTAAAATTTAGTATAAAATAGTTTTACTACTAGTATTTTACGTTACGTGTTTTTTTAATGCTTATTTTTCCATTATTCTTCCATGTTTGTATCTCAGCATATTGCAAAATTTCCTCACGTTATTTTTATATAATCTTATTTTGGTTGTAATATTAAAAGAATATACAGGATGTTTGGAAGAAGGGTGCTTTAAAGGCAATTAATTGCGAAATTTGGGGTTTTTGCAACAAAAATTGTAAAAATTCGGTAAATAATAAAATCATACGTCACAAACGCTAAGCATGGTCAAATACGGTTCTAAATGGTTTATACTAACAAGGCGTTAAAGCTGTGCACCCATCTTCCAAACATCCTATATGTATAAGTTATATAAATATTTGTGATATTGTCTGCAATTATCTATTACTGCCTTTAGGGCTACGGTTGCAAGTAAGTTTAACAATAAATACTTAATTATTTATATTCCTCATTTAGATAAGGATTTCGTTCAATCATTCATAATTTATGTGCTCTTGTCGGTGAAGCTCTCGTCACCTTCCACGATCTTCTATCAATCTTTTTAGTTGTTGATACGACACGGACACCAAGGTCTAAATTTATAATAATCCTTACTAATATTATGAATGCGAAAGTAACTCTGTCTGTCTGTCTGTCTCGCTTTCACGCCAAAAGTACTGCACCAAAAGTATTTCAATAAAATTTGGTATACAGACAGTCTAGACCCTGAGAAAGGCCATAGGCTACTTTTTAATGAGAAGAAAGGATTGTAAGGGGTTGAAAGGGAGATGAAACGTTCTATGGAAGTATCGTCATTTTAAAGCTAGAAGCTTGAAACTTATTTTTTAAGCTTTTGACTCTCAGCTTATATAAATGAGACAAATATAATTTTAAACCTGCTTAATTGGAAAACTGAATTAATGGAAATCCTTAATAATTGGTACATAATTCTTGGTCCCTTGTGATCCCAATTAACCAGGTTTTACTGTAGTTAGATTTTTCTTTTGTAAATATATACATTACAAACTTTCATCCCCTATTTGGGGGTAGAATTAATCAAAATCCTGTCTTAGCGGATGCCTACGTCATAACATCTATCTGCATGCCAAATTTCAGCCTGATCCGTCCAGTGGTTTGGGCTGTGCGTTGATAGATCACTATGTCAGTCACCTTTGAGTTATATATATTTAGATATACTTAGAAAACATTCAACCTGATACAAACGATCATACTCATGAATACAAATGTTTTTTTTTTTAAACGGTGTGTTCATGTATACAGGCTACTGTCGCTTTTTATCATCAGGCGGGCCGTCACCTTATTTGCAATTCCAGTAGTATTGCCAACTTTAAAATATTAACCTTTTATAAAGAAATAAAAAATCTGATAATATGTCGTACACTAGCTTCAAATTCGCTCTCTAACTTCGTATATCTCTTAAAATCTCGTACAAACCTGTACGAATATGATAATGACCTCGTACAGAAGGTACAGTCTCGTTTTTGAACTAGCACTTTCTTACGGTTGGCGTCATTGGTAAAATTGGCCATCAGATAATACCAATCAGTTTTCCAACAGGTTCTTACACAAATCTTTTTTAAATAATGGTTATAGATTGGTCGTTTGGGCAAAATTGATGGCCTAATGTAATATGAATAATATCTCGGAACAATACACATCGCCGTCTAGTCTCAATGTAAACAGAGCTTATGTTATGGGTACTAGAGAACTGATATAAATACATACATTTTTGTAACTACATACATACCTAGAAAACATCCAGACCGATACTAACAATGATACTCATGAACACAAATATTTATAACGTTGAATTTTGCAAGGAATTGTTGCGAGGAATAGAACTCCCGACCTTTGTAAGTAAGGCGGTATGCTAAACCGAGAGACCACCAATACCGAAGTTATACGACGTTCCTCGGATTATTGGCCTTACTAGATTCTAGTTACGTTAAATTAAAAAAAAAACTCACCAGGTTTGCTTTTCATGTATGTAAGTCTAGCACTTATGGTCTTCCGAGGTACATTGTACTTCTTTGACGCTTCCATCGTAGACAATTTCTTCTGCAGAACAGCTTCGATACACTTCCTCATGTCTGACTCCGTATAATTCTTGTATTTAGTTTTGAGATCTCCACTCTTCTTCTTCTTCTTGGGCCACTTCTTGACTGGCGCCTTTTCAGTAGATAGTTTTGGTTTCATTAACTCTGGAAGAAAATTTTTTTTAATGATAGGCTAATGCACCCATAAAGGGGAAGGGGATTGTCAGTAATGTGGACTAATGATCCCATTGCTAGCAATGTACCATGTCAGGTCGACCTCCACGCGGTTCCCCCTGGAAACCAATATGATAAATTCCCGGTGAATTTGTCACGTTGGGCTAACAGATCTGACTTCATGTTCATCATATCATCCTCCACTGGTGCCCCGCCAGCGTAAACCGTTAGCGCAGGCGGGTGCACCATTCCATTATCATCCTCTAATATAATATAATGCACCCGAAAATGATAAATTTGCTATGTTACAACAACACAAATCGGTAGTAGCCTAAATAATAAAAAAATTTGACCAAGAATTTAAATTAAAAAATAATTTATTCATGTAGGACATTTTAGCCGCTTATGAACATCAATTTTTTATGTGTGATATTATAATTTTTTCCCTACCAGTCTAGTTCAGTATATCGAATTGAGAAAAACTGGCAGGAAACTCAATTGAATTACTTTTTTTAATCCAGTTTATTTAAAATGTATATTTATATATGTGTCTATGTCTAACATTAAATGAAAATCCTGTGCATGATTTGCCATGCAGCCTCGTCATTCAAGTAATCGTTTAGTGAATTAACAGGTGTTTTGAATGTATAGGGTAATTCCAGTATATTCTTTGGTATCTTATTGTAAATTTTCTACCTATTCTCATAAAAGACCTATTGACATTTTCTAAACGATACTTGGGGACAGCAAGTTTGTTTTTAAATCTAGTAAGAATAATAGAGACCTGAGAAAGAAAAATAATAGGAAAAATCTATTTTTTGTGACATTGATACTTGTGGAGAGATGTCATGCCTCTGTCGCTACCTATACTGGTGTAGTCGGGTGGTATCCTATACCCTGTAATTTTATAGCCATATCTCAACGTACAGCCAAACTACAAGTTACAAAGATGCTTTGCGGCTAAAATTCATCTACTTCACTGAGGTACCCATTCAAATTGGCAAACATAGTGTAGAATGCTTCGCAGCTAGGTGGACCGAAGACATAGATAGGGTGCAGGTAGTAACTGTAAGAGAAGGGCTGAAGATCGTGCTCTATAGCATGCCTTGGGAGAGGCCTGTGTCCAGCAGTGGACTGCACTGGGCTGATGATGTTAATGTTTTCTTTTTTTATTTATTAGGTCTATAAAAGTGGATGTCTTACAGAGAACATAACTTAACACAGATAAAATAAACTATTTAAGTAATACATCCTACTAGATGTAGACACAGCATGCATAGCTTAATTATACACACAAAATGGCACTATACAATAATAATTTGTATTAATGAATAATTACTTTATAAAGCTTTCTGTATTTCAAGGACAATTTAGTGTCTGTTTAATCATCTCAGCCCGGATGAAGTCCACTGCTGAACAAAAGTCTGAAAATCAGGGATGTTATGGATATGAAATTTCGGTTACGGATAGGTTTCGGATGTAGGAATGATTTTTTTATTTCGGATCATCTGTTAGTTTCGGATAATTTCGGTTACGGATATAAAATTTTTAAGGAATTTCAAAAGTAAAATACAAATAGCTAATAATATGGTTACATAACGTAATTAGGCTCCGCCCCTATCCGATATTTTTATTTCGGATTAGGTTACTGTTACGGAGCTCCCTAGCATCCCTGCTGAAAATATCAAATAAGTGTCTGACTTCATAATGTATTTTTACGATTTTGTATGTAAACCTACATACAAAATCGTAAAAATACATTATGTTTGTAGGTAATAACTGGAAGAGAGCTGAAGATCATACCCAGTGGCGTGCCTTGGGAGAAGATGTCCAGTAGTGGACCGCAGTGGACTGTTGAGGTACTTCATACCCATTCAGACAATTCTGTATTAAGTCTACCATTTACCTGTAGCTATAACAGCTTCATCTTCTTCTAAATACTCAATTTCTTCGTATTCAGGCTCAATTTTACACAATGTTTGTGGTTCTTGAATATCATTATCCTCATGATCAGACATCTTGAAATCCTCTAAGAATATAGGCTTCGATTCTTCTAAATCACTCTCTGGAGATGATATAAATAAATATGAAAAAAACATGTAACTAGGTATAACTAAAGAGCTAGCAGCTACCTCGGACAAAGAATTAGTCTAGCCATTCAAAGGGGGAACGCTGCCAGTATCTTCGGAACCTTGCCTAGAGGGTCTCCTTTTAATAATATATTTTAGTTATATTATTTTTTTAAGTTATGTATATATAATTTGTAATTAGGTATTTCTATCAGTTGTTTAATACCCATAACAGATACTCTGCTTAATTTGGGATTAAATGATGATGCAAGAATTGTAAATAGTTGTTATTATTATTGACTAGCTGTTCCCGCGACTTAGTCCGCATGGAATTTAACTTTATTTTTCTAAAATAGAAGTAGTCTAAGTTACTCCTTATTACATCAGCTATCTGACAATAAAACTCCCGTCAAAATTGGTCCAGGTATTTCAGAAATTAGCCGGAACAAACAGACAGACAGAATTCCTGGTGAATTTGCCACGATGGCAGTTAGCCCATCCTGATCCTATCCTCAATCTCATCTTATCATGTTCCACTAGTGCCCTGCCAGCGTAAACCGTTAGCACAGACAGGTGCACCATTCTGTTATCATTAATTAACAAGTTAAGACTTGCGTCTATAGCCCCATCAAAGCAAAGTTCACTAACCAAACGGTTGTTTTTGGACACTGCAGCTATAGCGGCACAAATGTGCATTTACCGGCGCACAAATAGAAGCCTAGTGTCATATTTTGGAAACAATTTTTTAGATTGAATTTTGTTTTCCATCTGTTACACAACTTGCAGCTTCAGTACGGACGACAGAGCAGTGCAACTGTGTTTTCTCTTGAATTGTGTCAAAATTAAGTTTATTTAAGCAGAAAAAGTAAAACATATAGTTTGTCTAATATTCTAAAAATTATAAAATGGTGTTATATTTGTAAATTCACTTTATCCTACTGCCCATCAATGTGTTAAAAGGAAATATGTACCATCACTGATGTAGTCATCCAGTAACATTCCTAAGGATGTCTGCACCTCCTTTTTGAAACTAAACGACTCCCGTAAACGCATTATGCACATTTCACAGATATGCTCCATTTTGTCTGGTTGGTTACACTGAAACATTGTTAAAAGAAACTATTTATACTTATACTATACATTATATATTTTGATAAAGAGCTCGAAGTTTAATATTTATGTAATTGTCTTAGTAATATGTATAGTATAAGTAAGGAGCCAACAGAATATTAGCCCTGCAGTGTTATCTGTAGCATTAGTTACAGCTTAGCTGGAGCTAAGCTGTACCTAGTTCAACTAGAGTTGAACTAGGTACAAAATTAGCTGATATTACATCGGAAAGTAATTTATAAAGAACTATAAAGAGAAAAGGGAAATTATGTGTGTAGTCTGAGTATGTGAGTATACACTTATGTGTGTCTCTACATATATATGTGAATGTGTGGGTGTAGAAGGAAGTTTGGGGGTGTATGCATTTACATAGACTGTTCATCTATAAGTACTTGATCAACATTATGTATATCACATTATCATGTGATACCTGTGTTACCAGTCATTCATTGTCATTCTAGAAGTTTACAATCTTACCATACTTTACATATATGGTAGATTTCTATTGAAAATGTAACCTGTATTAGATTGAAGGTAATAGATAATGGCGGGAAGTTATTGATAATAGATATTATTGACGCCATTGCTAGCAATGTACACCAATACAGGTTAGAAAGCATTCTGTTAACATTTCTATGCTAGATTTAGGATATTGAATATCGATAAGCGAGAAGCACGTGTGTTTTGGTTTGTAAAATTTTACCGCCAATTCCGTTATTATCCATGAATTGCACAGATTAATAAAATAAATCTACAGAATTGTTCATGGTTGATTTGATAACTGTTTGTAAAAGCTTAGCTTGAGTTCGGCTAACGTTAAATCTGTTTTAAGAGTGACGGTGACTTACGACTATGGAGAATGTCTCCATTATCATCTCCCCATATACTTCCCGTTCTCCTTCAAAAGAGTGTTCGGTCCACATATCTTTCATATACCCATATTCCATACAACAAAGACATCTCCCATAGAAAGTCTTCGTTTCAGTGTCGTCCGAGTCTTCCATTTTTGAATACAATTTATTAGGTTTATAAAAAGTATATAATTGTATAAAACATAAATAGCTAATTGAATACGTATCAAGGTAAGTTCGTTAAAATTATGTAAACATTTAATTTGAATTCAGAAAACTAAAATATTTCTTTTCCAAGACACGAAACGAAACCACGGACACATTTTTTACTGATTTGAGCACAGACCAACAATTCCTGACTCTGAGTAATTAAAAAAAAAGTACTCTGTGTTCTACCACAGATGCGTTTATCAAATTTAACGTGTTCTGAGTTCTAGCTATGAATAGGGTTCGAATAAACGAAAAACGAAAATTTATCTCAATAAATTGTTCTAATTTTATTCACAATATCATAAAACTGTACAATAATATCATACATGCACAACAATAGCTTCATAAAATTGATACAGTTTTCTTTAGAATGTCGGAATGTAATTAAAAAACAATTGAAAATTTATTACCAGATCTGTTGTGCTATAACTAAACGCATCCGGTTATTGACATTTTGTCAATCAAACAAATCAAACTCTCCATCGCCATTTTTTGTTTAGATGAATACATCTTTCTACTTTTTTGTAGTTTGTAAATAATGTGAAAATTATTACAATAACATTGAAAATTAAAAATCGAAGTTTGTGCATTGGAAAATGAGCGCTCCAAAAAACAACGGACCGATAATAGACCCAGCTATCTGTAGGTGTTGTCGAACTATAAAAAAATGCAGAATACTAACATCAGAATATACATGGATGGACAAGAAAGAGGTTTACGCTGATATGGTGATGGACTGCTTCGGTATTCTAGTGAGTGTTGATCGTTGTTAATATTTGTCAATATATTTCCATCCAATAATTTTAATAAAATATATAAAATCAGTAACATTAGCGGTGAGTACTCTTACAGTATGGTTGCTCTGAGTCTCTTAAAAATTAATTCGTTTTTTAAATGGAAAAATATTTGTTTCTAAATTAGAATAAATATAAAGAAATTATACTCTATTGTTTAGGCTTTAGAAGACATATTGACTGCATTTAATCTAGTATTATAAATACAGTTGCGAGTGTACGTCAGGCTCTTATTTTTTATGATCGACGCTTGTTATTTTTATTGTATTATAATGGAATGGCCCGCCGAACTAATAGTAAACTTGACTTATCATAAGTGCCTGGTCACAACATTCTCCTTAATTTAATTTAAACACGACTAAATCATGTACAAGACCAGTCCCAGCAACAGAGAAACAGAAACTCATTTGAAAATAATGAGAGCCGAGTTTCTTGTCAGTTCTCATACCAACAGCAATGTCCAAATGACAAAGGAGTCCAAAACCTATCTCTTAGAGCAATATTATACCAACAGTGATGATAGACAAGTACAAAACTTACCTCTTAGAGCAATCTCATACCAACAGCAATTATAGAGGAGTCCAAAACCATACCAACAGCAATGTCCAAATCACAAAGGAGTCCAAAACTTATATCTTAGACCAATCTCATACCAAAAGCAATAACCGAATGACAAAGGAGTCCAATACCTATCTCTTATGTTATATTTACATTCAGCCGCTTCCCTTGCCACTCGCGCTGCCGGAAATATTGCCGGGCGACAACTGAGCGAGAGGGCTGAATGCAAAAACGCGCTGCCAGGCCTTTGACTTGCGCACGAAACACTGACAATCGAGGGAGCACCAGGCAGCGCCAATGGCATGGGAAGTGTTTACACTCTCGCGCTGCTCACTTCCCTGCCCACTCGGGCTGAGTGTAAATTGGGCTTTAGAGCAATCTCATATCAAAAGCAATGTCCAAATGACGAAGAAGTCCAAAACCTATCTCTTAGAGCAATCTTATACCAACAGTTATGAGGAGTCCAAAATCATAAAGTTCCTATAATATACTTTATAAATGGCCTCTTACAAAAAAAATCTTAGAAACCTTCATCTTAATTCTACCAGACTTCAACAACCTGGCATAAGCTGGAATATCTGAGGCTGAATTCTCAATGGATAATCACCTCTCATGATATAAGATAATCAACTAATAGTCTGGAAGACTGATTAAAAAAAAAAAATAGAATTCATCATTATCATTACCTAATATAAAATAAAGTCGCTGTCACTATCTATAAAGTGACTGTTCCTATGTATGCTTAACTCTTTAAAATTACGCAACAGATATTGAAGCGGTTTTTTTTAATAGATAGAGTGATTCTAGAGGAAGGTTGATATATATAATATATGTATACCTGGGCGAAGCCAGGGCAAGTAGCTAGTGTAACATAGTTTATAAAGGCCCCTTTTCATAAAATATTTTTTCCCAGTTATCACACGTGGATGACAATGAGAAGGACAGTGGAGTGTGCGCTACTTGCGTGGTGCGACTGCGGGATGCATGTGCCTTCCGCCATCAAGTGCTGCAGTGCGAAGAGCTGTTCCTACATGCCAAACTCGAGGATAAGGAAGCTGATGGTATACATATTTTTATTGTTCATAATGTATTGGAGGATGATAGGATGACCTGACTTGATGTCAGGTCTTATGTATGATAATGGAATGGTGTACCTGCCTGCGTTAACGGTCTATGCTGGGCACCAGTAGAGGATGATAAGGTAAACATGAGGCCAGGGTAGCTAGCCCATCGTGGTAAATTCACATGAATTTAAGGGAACCATGTGGAGATCAACCTGGCATGGTACATTGCTAGTAATAAGATCATCAGTCGACATTACTAACGATCCTATTTCCCCCCAATCAGTTGGAGGTTAAATGTTGCATTTTAATATAAATAAATTCAACAACATCAAAATATTTTTTTCAGAAATAAAGAAAAATGTAGAAATAGAGTTGAAAGCGGAGCCTAAAGATGATATAAGTGATCACAACTCAATTGGAGCTGACCACGATGATGGAATGTCTATGGATTACTCTGTTGATGATCAGCCACTTGATAGTAAGTTATATTCTTTTTTATACTTCAAAAACAGCAAAACTATTTTCTTTATTTTTTGGATGATAAATTTGACTAAATGTTTTGTTAGTTTTATATTATAGTACATAAATTATGTTGTAGTTTTTGTATTATTATGACATCATTCTTTTTTTTATTATTGTTTGACATTTAAATTTAATATTTTTTGCATCATTTAAGTATATTGTATACCATCTAGGCTAAACATGTCGGACAAATTCTTTTTATATGTATAACATCTCCTTGTGTAATTACACATGTTTTACATATAAAGAATCTTGAATCTTGAATCTTTATATATAGTTGGGACAATCACAAAAATGACGACACAGGGGTGGTATCACGGGCATCACGTGATGACGTGATTTATATAGATAGACTACCTGTACCCACGACTGCATCCGCGTGGACTTAACTTTATTTTCCTAAAATAAGTTTTTTTCTAAAATAAAAGTAGCCTAAGTTACTCCTTATTACATCAGCTACCTGTCAAAACAAGTCCCGTCAAAATCGGTCCAGCCATTTCAGAGATTACCCGGAACAAACAGACAGACAAACAACAATTTAAATAAATGATATTTTGGTGTATGTACCGTATTTATATTCATATGCATGTAGTAAAAAACGGTTATTTCAATATTACAAACAGACACTCCAATTTTATTTATATGTATAGATGAAAAGTATGATATGATATAATGATATGACTGTGGATGGATGTAAAGTGAGGGGACGCCCTAAGAAAGATGGATGGATTGTGTGAAAGATGATATGAATAAAAGAAGAGTATGTTTAGATATGACGACCGATAGAGAGCAGTGGAAGAGAATGACATACTGACCACAAATAATGGGATAAAGGCAAGGCAATGGTGATGATGATGATGTATAGATGAAAAGAATACACCGACGAAAAACAAGCAACTAGAATCGCCCTGTTCCTTTCGATAGATGCGCACTTGAATGGGTTGATTGATATCAGGTTTGCCAACCTTATGGTAGGTTAACATTCTAGATATTTTTTTATATTCTAAATATCGTTTCTGTGGGGACCGGGGGCCCTTATTAGCCCAGAGCCCCGAGGATACGGGCTCTGGGCTGTAGCCCAAAAAGCCCTTAGGTAGATCCGCTCCTGGCTTATATTAATAGTAACGGCTGAGCGATCGGTTTCGGAAACTATAGCTAGAACAGAACAATCGGCTTCGACTAAAATTTGATCTTCAGTCGACAGTCGGCCGTAGATTGTCAAGTTTAGCAACCAAAGCTCCAATCGAGGAGCGTTATCAGCACGGGCCGTTCTGACCATTATTATTAATGTATAGTAACCATTACTCTACTATTAACATACTTCTTTCCAGGCATAAAACTTCCAAAAAAAGAAGAAAACGACAAACTGGACTCAGTACCATTACAAGATCTCATCTCGAAATCTGATGTTGAGAATGAGAGCTATTCTTCGTCGGATTCAGACAAACCGATTAAGAGGAAAAAGAGCAAGAAAAAGAAGACGGCGAACGGGACGCAGAAAAAGAGGAAATCGCTGAAAACAAAACAGAAAGCAGGTTTGTTTTTTAACTAAACGACGGCTTCGGTGGTTTACATGTTTAACACACCGCTTTACTTTCAATGGTCGCGGGTTCGATTCATCGCACAGTGCAAACAATTGTATTCATGAGTATGATTGGTGTTTTCTATGTATATTATTTATGTATTTACAAAAAAAATGTATAAGTATTTATATCAGGTCAACAAATGTTTGTACCGTACGAGGAATAGAACCCGAGACTATCGGAAGTAAAGTGATCACTGAGACCGGCACTATTACAGTAAGATTAAAAAAACTACGTAGACCTATTGAAATAAATTATTTATTTCGTTTTAAAGGTACATCAAAGAAAGCAACAAAAGTGCCAAAAAAGGCACCCGTCGAGAAGAAAAATAACTACGACCGAGACTTAGACTGTATGTCCGAGGAGAATCTACTAACAATAATACAGTATTCATATGTATGTCCATTTAAGAACAGAAGAAATAATTACTATTGTTTCTATTGTAAAGACTATTACCCAAAACCTGAAGATCTGAGGGACCATACAGTGACACACGACACGAAGCCTTTCCAGCTCCTCATGGGGTACAAGAAGATGCCAAAAATCGATATAACTAGGATAGACTGCAGACTATGTCCAGCCAAAATTGATGATCTGAATGTCTTCAAGCAACACATCGACCAAGTGCACGGCAAGAAGATATACTTTGAAGCTCCAGACAAGATGCTTCTATACAGACTTACGTGGAACGATCTAGTGTGTGTAATGTGTAGTGATGTATTCGAAGACTTTAACACTCTGAACACCCATATGGTGGAACATTTCAGTAACTATACATGTGATATTTGTGGCGTTTGCTTCCTAGAGAAGCCGAGGCTGGATGCTCATCTCAAGAGACATAAGGACGATGAACGGCACACATGTGAGATATGCGGTAAAGTCTTCAAATCAAACCATTATAAGGATATGCATGTCGATGTAGTTCATAAGAAGAAAGCTATAATAAGATGTCCAAGATGCGACGAGTGCTTCATGTCTTACGCATTGAAGAATAAGCATTTAACAGAAGCCCACGGTCAAAAGAGAACATATCCATGCAACTTGTGTGATAAAGTGTATAACAGACAGAAAACATTGACCGAACACCAACGTAGAAATCACCAGAAAGTTCTGAAGCATCAATGCGAGTACTGCGACCAGAGGTTCTACCTACCTTCGAGGTTGAAGGAGCATATGGCCACGCACACCGGGGAGAGAAACTTCAGATGCGAATACTGTGATAAAAGCTATCCCAGACTCAAATCCCTACAATATCATATAAGAACTCACACTAATGACCGCAGATTCAGGTGTCATATATGTGGACAAGCGTTCATACAAAATGCAAGCTTAAAATCTCACATTAAAAGTCATCATCCCGAGTGTGATATAGAAGGATGTTACTTTTAGTAATTGTAATGTATTTATTAATTTATTATTAGACGTAAGTCACATTGTGGGCTCAGCGTAAAATGATCTTTATGTTCACAATATGAAGCAATAAATTAGATAAGACGGAACAATATATAAATGACAGTCTTTGTATGACATATTCATTCACGCGCGATTTATCGTGGGAAAGTGCGTGCAATTGTGGACGATTGTTTTTATCTGTATTTTATTCACGCGTTCGTGGGCGATTGCTCCTTTCGTATGTGCATTTGATTTTTATAGTCTCCAGATTTTATTTTACAAAGACACGTCTAAGATTTATATCTAAATTAACAACAAAGTACTTAAGTCTGCTCTATGGTCACATAGCCGCCATCTTGCGGTGATAATTATCTATTACAAAAACGCGCGAAAACACGCACGTTTGAAGGGAGATTGCGGAGCGCTCTTTTTCGTCTTCTCTTCGCGCTTCTTATCTTTCTCTGTGTCTATCTTCTATCTTTACATGCACACTCTTTCCTGCGTGAAAGCCGTTGAAGTGAACATATTTTTTTAAAATACCCATGACTCATGTTCAGTATTATTATCAAAAGAAGAATATTTTCCATTATAATTGTGTAGTAATAATTGACCTACAGTTTTGTATATTATATTGTATAGATTTCTTTTAGATGGTATACTTATAAGAATATTTATCCAGGTAGACTTTGTACAGACTCTACTCGGGTAATTTCGTCGCAAGCCAGCTTTATAAGCTGTTGTACCAGCTCGGTATAGGTGGTGATAATAACATCACCTCAGTCGTATTCGTGGTCTCTTGTTTTGGCACAATTTACAAATTATATTCATAAAATTATATGGTTAGTGTACAAATTAATGAGCAAGTCGTATGCAGTGAGTGAGATGACAATACTCGCGCGCTCCCTCGCACTCAAACGGGGATCGAACCCCTAGCGGTACCCTCAGACTGAAGTGGTATCCGTCATGCGGGAATTGGCCTTCAGCCGCATCATAAGTCCATCCGCGGGTTTGAAGTTCCATCTTTACTTGTACCCTATCGTCCGGTTAAACTGTAAAGACCAGCTGCGGCCAACAGCATTAGAGTAATCAGAAAAAAAACAGCTCTAGCAGTTAGCTGAGAAAAGAATGAGAGAAAGCAGATGCAAGTATAATCTAATTTCATTTTAGAAACGGCGATGGCACACTACACGGCGTTCGCGTTTGACGAAAAAGTCATATCTTACTACACCCCCGAATGGATAGACGTCGTCAAAAGCGAATAAACTAAGTTCTTCGGCTGTCATCGTTGTCGATGTTGAAGCTTCTTGGTTTTAAGTTTCCATTTTATTTTCATGGTGGATGTTCATTTCAATAATTCTCTTTATTGTACGGCGTAAAATAAGTTACTGAAGGTACCTGGAGCTTTTGTTAGTAAACATGATTAATTCTGTTTTGGAAGGATTGACGGAGAGTTCGTTTCACACTATCTCTCTATTATTCTGAAGGCTTCTCTCATGCGGTCGCGTAAAGTTCACGCAAAATTTTCTGATAAGTACAGCAATATCATCTGCGTATCCTATCGTGTCGAGACCGTTGTCGTTTAGCTCCTCAATGAGTTCATTAACAACTAAGTTCTAAAGAAGTGGTGATAAGACCCCTCCATGTGGACACCTCTACTCATGATACCACGTGTGGTAGTGTTTACGGTAAACTGAATTGCACGGGTTTTTAGCATGTTGTTTATCTACTGTGTGATAGTTACTCCATATATGGCAAGAGCCCGACTAATGCTGGTAAAATTCGTTTTATCAAAGGCCTCTTCGATGTATAAAGGCAAGGTAGGCTGCTTTGAATGTAACCAATTACCAATGCGGATTACCACACTATGGAGTGACTATACTAGCTTTTGCCCGCGGATTCGCTCGCATTAAGTTATCCTCTTAGGGGTGGAATTTATCAAAATCATTTCTTAGGGCATGCCTACGTCTTAGTAGCTTTATGTATGCAAAGTCTCAGCCCGATCGGTTTAAAATTGACAAAGTTTCATACAAACTTTCATCCCCTATTTTATCCACTTGGAAGTAGAATTAATAAAAATCCTTTCTTAGCGGTTGCCTACGTCATAACATCTACCTGCATGCCAAATTTCAGCCCGATCCGTCCAGTGGTTTGGGCTGTGCGTTGATAGATCACTATGTCAGTCACCTTTGAGTTATATATATTTAGATTATATTTATACATTCTCCAAGCTTTTAATGATTTGTTTTGCAGCCGTTTACTTGGCTTGATCTCATATTTGATGTCGAATTTTTATTTACTCGTCGACTCAGGTAGACAATTAAATAATTCGAATTTAGAAATAAAATCCTATTTTTAATATTTAGTTTTGTTTTTTGATATTTTTAAAGAATAATGACCAAGGACAATTCTGACAGTGCCCTCTAGTCCCAAACTAAGCAGAGTTTGTACTATTTTAAAATATCGGAAACAGTTCACTTAAATAAAAAATCAAAATATCTTTATTCATGTAGGTCTATTACAGACTTATGTCAAATCTACCGTCAGTTGGGAATGATATCGAGATGAGAAGAACTGACAAGAAACTCAGCTCGTATTCTTTTCAAATAAATGTTATACATGTTTACAATAATACAGAATCATTATAAATTCAACTTTGGAAGAATAGAGTGACTACCATTTGCTATTGCAAAACCAAAAAGTTTAATCAGTGTTTCTATAGGAATTTATTTAAAGTAAAAATATCTATGAGTAAAACAAGTGAACGTGTTTGACTTTATCCTCTGAAGTCGAGTGACCAGCTTCCCTCTGAAATCTGCCGCTCCTAGGACGCGGCCTATATATGTTAGAGTTCACATCAATATTGTAGAAAAATCCGATATTTTAAAAAGATATTAAAAGAAGGTAGTTTGTGTTTAGTACTAATGAAGTACCCAATGTAAAGATTATTACAAATATTATAAATAGCGCCATCTAGTATTTATAGACCGAACTAAGTTGTTTATCATAAGATAACCATTACCCCCTTATCTCCCTGCTGACTTCGGTCTATAAATAGGGAGGTCGGTAGTTGAATAATCCTCTTTTGTTGGGTAAGCTGCGGCATTCAGTTGACGAGCGCAGAGCGTGCCGGTTGTGTTTTGGATACTAAAGTGAATTACTAGAAATAGGTTTAGCCCGGTCTTAGTTGGGCCTGGAGGGAAGCTGCAAGTAGTGAAGGTGAGTGTTAATGCATTCTAAAAGGGCCTTTTAAACCTACACCCGTGTCACAAGTCACGGGCGCTACTTGGGGTTTCTCTTCCGGTAGCCGGCTTCAAAGCCTGAGTAATCATCATTAATTAGTGCTTCTTACATATGGCCTATTTATAGATCCATGACTGTGCAGACGGGTACAACATGTCATCATCCACTATAAAAAAAATCACCATTACTAACGATCACTTTGCTCCACACTTACAATATTATTTAGGGCTCCTTACATCTGTAGATAGTTTTACTACACTATGTTTAAGAATGTATATATTATTATAATTATTAGGTAAATTTATATTTAAAAGAATGATATTATATAATAATGAAGTATTATAATTATTTAAGTGGTAATAAATTATTAATTTTTATAATTAATACTAATTTTATTTTTTTGATAATTCACACAGCGCCATCTAGACCCAAGTTAAGCTAGCTAAAGCTTGTGTTATGGGTACTAGATAACTGATACAAATACATTGATATGTATTTTTTCCGTAAATACATACATATTATGCATAGAAAACACACAGACCAATACAAACAATCATACTCATGAATACAAATGTTTGTGCCGTGCGAGGTATCGAACCCGCGACCATCGGAAGTAAGGCGGCGTGCTAAACCGCTAGACCACCGAGGCCGAATCTAGTTTTATTATTTACGTTTAACGAGGTAGTTTGTAAAGGCTGCGTGGGTACCTCAGTCTCACCTATTTCAGCCGCCAAGCATGTTCCTTCAAAGGCGGTGTTTCTATGTAGGGTGAGAAAAGGCAGTCAAATTAAAGGATAAGAGGCATGACAAAGCTAGAATGTTGATTGGTATCACGAGCGTCACATGATAACGTGATGACCATAGTACTATTCGGGTGTTTTGGCAGAATAAATATTTAGGATTTGGGGCGGGGGAGGGGATTGTTAGTAATGTTGACTCATGACCCCATTACCAACAATGACCATGTCAGGTTGACCTCCACACGGTTCCCCCTGGAAAGTCTATAACGCCTGTAGAAGTGGTATTACCGTATCAATAATTCTGTTCATAATCTAATGTTAATAACCATTTCTTAAGATTGTTTTTTACCATATGATGTGTTTGACAATTTTTATTTTTTGTTAATTTTATTAAACATATATACACACATGAAAAATTGTTAGTCTTACAAAGGCTCTACGACATTTGATAGGGACGCAAACATTAGTTACAGTGCGTTTTTGTTGTTTTCATTTGTATTGTATGGAGTTATGTTATACTGTTTTAAGGTCAAATGAAATATTTATTTATTTATAAACTATTTATTGCATCAACAAATAATTAAATAAATTAATACATAACAATTATACAGAAAAGAGATATGGAAGTACAAACTTTACCTACCTTTAGGTAGAGAAAATACAACAAAAATATATATAGTTGTCTAATAGTTAGTACCTGACATTTTTCGTATAAGGCTTGTGGTGAATTTACTATTATCGTGCGGCAACACCAGTTGCAAGTTGACAGAGATACTGGCAGCCTACATTAATTTGTTATAGAAAAATAAATAAATGTCAAAAATTACTACAATAAAAAATTATGTTGGAATCAGAGTATGTAATATCGTTTTATTAAATTATATCTCGCCGTCAATATACCATATATATAATTTAAAGACCGCACAATACGATTTTCAACAATTGACAACCCTGCCAGGGTCGCCAATTATTGCCTAATTACGATAGAGCCAGAAAAATAACGAGGCTGTCATTCGAGACCGAATCGTCTCGTAAATATACTTCTTATGTATCTATAAGTATAGTATAAGCACAGATAACATAATATTACATAGTATAAGTAACCAACAGAATATCAGCGTTGCAGAGTTATCTGTAGCATTATGCTGAGTTGACTACCTTTTCACTTTTGCGGCACATAAACGCACCTACATTTCTTTTATTAATTCGTTTGTTTTTGTAATACTTTATTATACAATAATATTATAAATAAAACGACACAATTGACTTAAAAAAATAAAATTCGTACTATGGCGGGATTTATCCCAAAAGAGGGATTCCAGTCAACCTTTGAGTTACTAAGAGGAATTGTGGAGTGGTGGAAATAGGTACAATAAATAATACGGGTCACAATGAAATATATATATATATATATATATATATATATATATACACATACATCAGAAAGGAAAAGAGAAATAATGTAAATAAGTGGAGCATTAGCTATGAGCATTATTATTAGGGGCCAGTAAAGTCCTCGAGTGGCGACCACGGACCGGAAGACGCAGCGTGGGAAGGCCTCCAGCAAGGTGGACCCACGATCTGGTCAAGATCGCTGGAAGGCATTGGATGCGAGCAGCGCAGGACCGATCGTCGTGGAGATCTTTGGGGGAGGCCTATGTCCTATGTCCAGCAGTGGACGTCTTCCGGGCTGCGATGATGATGATGATTATTATTAGCGTGTTTTTTCTTTATCTCATGTATGTTATGTGTCTGTAATTGTGAATAAAGAATTTATCTAACTATGTATCTATTGAAAATACTTCGTTAATATATATATATATATATGTAAATAGTCACCTCCCTCCTGGTGCTGCTGCTACATGAACACAAGACACAATAAACGTAAAGGCTTTTGTAGGGAATCTATAGTGACTGAAAGTCATTGTTTTTAGTAGATATCTTTGAGCTCGGTCTAATGGGATCACATGCGTTTTACAAGCTCTATCCCAGACTAATACAGTAACCGAATACTGACTGAGCCAGGTTAATATTGTTTGCAATATATTGAAATCTGTTACATATCTCAATTTATGTATATAGATATAAATAAAATTACAATGTCTATTTGTAATATTTAAATAACCGTTTTTTACTACATGCATATGAATATAAATACGGACATACACCAAAAAACATTTTTTACAATTTATGTCTGTCTGTTTGTTCCAGCTAATCTCTGAAATGGCTGGACCGATTTTGACGGGACTTTTTTTGGCAGGTAGCTGATGTCATAAGCAGTAACTTTTATTTTAGAAAAATGAAGTTAACCTCCACGCGGACGAAGTCGCGGGAACGGCTAGTATAATATAAGTTTCCTAATGCGCGAAGTCATAAGGTTAATATGTAGTCGCCAGTTTATATTACTATGTAATATTATGTTATCTGTGATATTACTATCCAGTATCACACCCAGGTAGCGTATCTGAGATGCAGTGATAGCAAGATGGGAGCAGTTTTTTTGAGATACGATTACGTCGCAATAGTGAATCCTTAGATGTATGTACAGTAGGAAATAGCAAGTATTTCGTTTTAGATAAATTTAGAGTAAGATAATTTGCTTTAAGCCAAATAGCAACCCTTTGGAGCCCCATTTCGGCCTGCTGTTTAGCTTCTTACCACGTATCTCCATGGAATATTAGGGCTGTATCAACAGCAGAACTTACGATTTTTTCATTGTCTAATTGTTGCCGACATAAATCTGGTATCGTGGCAGATTGTCGTCATCAGTGTCGTGACCATAGAGTCAATTTTATTTACATATTATTATTTCTTCTGTATGTTAGTCTATAAGGTATTTATAATATGGGCCATGTAGCCTGAATTAAATAAATAAATAAATAAATCATTTATATATATTAGGAATAGAGTTGGGGAGGGGATACTTCCTTGACATTAGGTACATGTTACAGGGACCTCACTGCTAATATATTCGCCGAACTTTTTGTTGTGTGCGATCGGATATAAAATCTTTGAAAATCATAAGAGCACTTCCTCTCACTCCGATTCGCACAAGTTTGTCTAAGAGCATAGAAATTGAAACTGAATTTTTCAATTGGAACCAGTAGTTCCTGAGGTTAGCGCGTTCAAACAAACAAACTCTTCAGTTTTATACGGGTGTATATGTATTATATATATATATAATACTTCTTCTTGAATCATTCTATCCATTAAAAATCAGCCTCAAAATCCGTTGCGTAGTTTTAAAGATTTAAGCACACATAGAGACGGACAGACATTATATATATATACGATATATATATATATATATAAAAATAATTTATGTATTTAATGTTATTATGATGGGACTACTATTATTTATTACTAGCTGTACCCGCGACTTCGTCCGCGTGGAATTTAACTTCATTTTTCTAAAATAAAAGTAGCCTAAGTCACTCCTTATTACATCAGCTACCTGCCATTAAAAGTCCCATCAAAATCGGTCCAGCCATTTCAGAGATTAGCCCAAAAAACAGATAAACAGACAAAAATTTTAGAAAATGTTATTATATGTACCATATCTATATTCATATGCATGTAGTAAAAAACGGTTATTTCAATATTACAAACAGACACTCCAATTTTATTTATATGTATAGATGTATTCTCTCTTTCTTTCTTTCCTTCTATTCTTGTGTGTCAGCCGGAAGATGGAAGGAAATGAATCGTAGAGCTATTTACACATGTATATTTATTTATTTACTAAGTATTTACAAGTGATATATGTACATACGAAGTATATTTACAACATTAATATTTCTATAAGTTATCTAGTATCTGTTATGTATGTTCGTATAAAGGAGACGTCAATCAAACAACTGTGCTGAGCTATGACTGCTTTATTTCTCATATCATTCTAATTAAGTACCTCCCATATTATAATAATCAAAGTACCCACAATCCCCTTATCAAAATTAAATTTTCGCAGTAAATTTTACAAATAATTTTTTTTATATCATATAACAATAATTGGATCCATAAAAAAAAATAAGATACAACTTATTATTTCTAGAATCATCTATATCATATATCAATAATTTATCTATTCATGTTTTGAAATATAAATACATGCAAATAGATATTCAATTAATTATAAAAACTTAATATAAATTGATAAATTTAAATTAGAATAATAATACTATTGAATTGAATACAATAAATCACATAAAAAAAATCTAAACAAATATTATTATTACAACGTAAGTAACTTGATTTAATACAATTCAATAGCATACATAGGTATTTATAATTTCATCATGCAGTTCATAATTAAGATTTTACATATTTATTTTCTATGAAAAATGAATTAAGCAATATAAAATTTAGACTATTATTTAAATATCAATAAATTACATTTCACAGTAGGTAACAGGTGTACGTGTTACTCTTAATTGTTGTCATGTCCTATCAATATCATGACCTTGAAGCGTTTTCCGCGGAGAATCCCCACCGATCAGGAGGCCGAACTATCCTGCCGAAACGAGTACCTACGATAACAATTATTATAATCTAATGGTGGATGGTCAGGTGACGGTACGTTGGAAGTGGCCGTAGGCATTATATCATCGTAAGAGGGATAACTTATGGTAACATCCCTACTATTCGAATCTATTATAATGTGTTTTCTATTGCGCCTAATTATACCCCCTGAAAGTAACGTTATGCAATAAGATCTTGGATCTACTATGCCTGAAATTGTACCTGGTATCCAGCAATTGTTCAGACGAATTTTCACTTTCTGTCCAATACAAAGTGGCTTTAATAATCTCGCAGTTCTATCGTACACGAGTTTTTGCGAATTTTGCCGAGTTTTTTCTTAATGACATCGTGGTTTATCTTTGGCCTATACATATTTGGATTACAAGGAATAATACTGCGTAGCTTTCTATTATAAAATAACTCTGCGGGTGACGGTATATCCTTACTAATCGGTGTATTTAGAAACTCTAGTACTGCCAAATTAAAGTCAGTACAATTATGCAACGTTTTTTTCATGATGTTTTTAACCGTTTGGATCGCGCGCTCGACTTGTCCGTTTGACTGTGCATACCTAGGCGAAGACGTCACGTGGTCAAAATTCCATTGACGAGCGAAATCTCTAAATGACATCGACGAGAACTCTGGTCCGTTATCAGACATTATGATCTCTGGAATACCAACCCTGTTAAAAATTAATTTTAATTTATTGATTACATGATTTGAAGTTTGATTCTGTAATTCAATTATTTCAAAATATTTGCTATAATAATCTATTATTATTAAAAATGTTTTATTACTAAAGTGAAATAAATCTACTCCAACTTTATACCAAGCTCTCTCAGGTATCTCATGAGGAATTAACGGCTCTTTAGTATTTTGATTTTTATATGTTAAACACGACTGACAATTTGATAAAAAATCTTGTAACTGTGATGTCATATTCGGCCAGTACATGGTTTCTCGTGCTCTAAGTTTACACTTCTCGATTCCTAAATGTCCTATGTGTATCTTTTCAAGCATCTCCCGGCGCATACAGTTAGGTATAACCACCCGAGATCCCTTCCAAATTATGCCAAAATTTACAGACAATTCATCCCTGCTATCCCAATAACATTTTAATCTGTCTTCTAGCTTACTTTTATCTGACGGCCATCCCTTTCGTATTATACTAATTAACGCCTGTGAGATATCGTCATTTTTAGTATATTTCTGAATTTTTAAAAAATGAGAGTCACACAACGGATTACTTGCAGTTACCATACACACTTGCGCTTGGGTTTCATAGTAATCGCGCGCGGGGGTGGGGGGGTCAGAGTTTGTAGCGACGGCACGGGACAGCGCATCTGCAATGTACAGGTACTTGCCTGGTTTGTACACGATTAATTAACCTTAACTGGAATGTACATTAAACAAATAGTGTTATTTGTAATTCAAAATCCAGATATATTTCCTAAAAATAAAGAAATGAGCCAAAGAAGTCAAAGATCGAGAGTAGGAACGAAGCTGTACATACATGGAACGAAATTAAGTATGGTCAAAAATAATGTCTTCCATATGGCGATAAAAATTTATAATAAAATACCAGATGATATAAAGACACTTCCACGAGGACGATTGACATATAAATTAAATAGTTGGTTACTCGACAAATGTTTTTACTCCGTAAACGAGTTTTTAAATTAATAATAATGTTATAATAATAATATGTATTTATAATTCTCTGATGACAATTGATTTAATAATTAAATAATATTTAAAATTTATACATTTTGCATGCCTAATGAGGCAAAACATAATGGGACATTATATTACAATAACAACCAATGTAAATCTATGTTTAGTGCAAATAAATTTGATTTGATTTGATTTGATTTGATTTGAGTACGGTTGCAATCGTAATAACATTCGTTGCAGACGGGCGGGGGCATTTGCTAATGGTTTCTTTATAATGCTCACTAGTGGCTTGTGGTCGGTTTCAATCGTTATATCTGAGCGGCCGTATATATACGTATAGAACTTCTCACAAGTGAAAACACATGCATAAAGTTCTTTCTCGATTTGAGCGTACGATTGCTCGGTTTTCGTTAGGGATTTCGAGGCGTAACACACCGGGTTATTATTCTAATAACGCTCCCATTCTCGACTCAAATTTCCGGAAGTGACATTAGTTAGACTATTTTCAAAATCAAATGGCTGTGGAGGTGTAAAGGCAAGCTCCATTTCAATATAATTCACGAACACACGCACTAAGTCTGTTCACTATTCAAAGTTTAAGAGCTATATGTATAATATTTACTTTTTGACCGGCTGCGCCATGTTATGTATGTTCGTATAAAGGAGACGTCAATCAAACAACTGTGCTGAGCTATGACTGCTTTATTTCTCATATCATTCTAATTAAGTACCTCCCATATTATAATAATCAAAGTACCCACAGTATCCATAGTACAAGTTTTACCTAATTTTGGGGCTAGATGGCGCTGTGTAATTTATTATTATTATTATTATTATTATTTATCTAACTATACAAGAAGTGGCCAGTATTGTATGTGTGAAATGGACACTTCTCAGCATCATCATCATCATCATCGCAGCCCGGAAGACGTCCAAAGCTGGACATTGAGCGTTCGCATCGCTCGTGGTCTAACACAACCATATTTTGTGTGGATGAAATTAGAAAATGTATTAAGTACTGATTATATTTAATTTGCAACTCAACTGGTAGCGGTGTATTATAAGGGTCATTACAATTTAATAGAGCCTGTATAGTATCGCAAGTCTCTTTAAAAAGCCTTTCATCCGTGCCTTCATTGAGACTAATCTTATTCTGCCATCTTCTGAAAATTTCCGTTTCTTCAGCGTTTAAGTTAATCTCTGTTGGAATGTTTTCACCCTTACAAATGCGACACTCGCATGCCAATTCCAAGTTAAGTGATTGAGCTTGTGATTCCCGACTCATAAGCTTTTTATGCCAGTCAATATCTCTGAAATGAAATATAGATAGAGGTTATTGATGCGGATAAAACTCCATGCGAAACAAATATATCTAAATACTATGCAATAAAAACAAATAAATATTAGTGTTATAAACTCTTTTGATTATTAAAATACATGATGTTTCTCTGAATTGCATTGTCATTGATTGATTCAATAAACTAACTTGCTACTAACAATAAATCAGCATTCTAATGTATAAAGTGTTGGCGACGAGGGTGGGATTCAAAATGTTCTCGGTAATTGCATTCTTTCCAAGTGTTATCTTTAGCTGAACATTAATTTATTTCATGTATCTCTCGCTTTCCGCAACGACGAAAATTACTGTTATAGTAGAAATACAGGATAAAGACTGGATATTTGTGGACGTCACATAATAAAGTGTTGTCCGTAGCAGTCCGATGCTATCCCTACATATAGGTGATGGTATGGTTTGCATTTGAGATTAATAAGATACATCTCTTTCCTCTTCGTAAACTACATTTATAACAGTAACACAGCTTTCAAAGCATCATACTGGCAGTACAATACATTTTTATCAATCAAGCCTCGGAAGGAACGGTTTTTTAAAAGTGTTTCATTATAAAAGTGTTTTATTGGCCAATAAAGTTTATTATTATTATTTCTTTATAGATATATATAAATATTATATATCTCCCTTTGATGAGGTAATAGACTTATCATTGCGGGTAAAAATCACCAAACAATGACAGTATAAATGATGAATGATGAGGATGAATAATTTTTAAGCGGAAGACAATAATTTGCGGACTATTACACAAGTAAATCACGAAACTACACCTACGTTTAGCTTATCTACAGGGCTTCACCTTCGTTTGAAATCCTATAATTCAATTAAAAGCTGTTCAAGGCTTTCCACTTAGGTTTAACTTAATATTAGATCAACTATGTACTTTAATAAAATTATTTGTTTTCTTTTCATAGACTGTGATGATTGATAATCAGATGGACCAAACACGCCGTCATTCCTGGACACTACGGCTATTAACTCTCGGTCAATTCCCCACGATGAGATAACTGACCAGATTTCATATTCATCCTATCATACTGCACTGGTGCAAGAATGGACCACGATGTTTTCAAGGGCGACCGCGCCCTCTTATGCAAATGTATAATTCTGTATTAAATTATTATTTAGGTAAATAATAATACTTACCGAAACGACATTGTTAATTCTGTTCCTTTTTTTATAGGCATTTCAGCTATCAAGCATAATTTATTGTGGAGTCCAAACCTCTGCAGGTTTGCCTCACATGAATGCTTCATTTTGCTAGCAAAAGAAAAAAACCCGTGATGCTGCGCTAATTGAGTAACATCTACGAGACGTTGACTGGTTAGATCGCGTACAATATTCAACATTTCTACCTCTAATGGGAACGTAATATATAAGTGTAGCATGATTCTCCCCAGAGCATGCATAGCCTCCAACTGTTCATTTTCGTCAGTTGGGAAGTAATCGGGTATATTACTTAAACTGTCTATAACGGTCGCAAATATGATGCTTTGGTTAAATATTTTGCCATGAATTAAATATTTATCATCATTGTAACTCAGAATTGAATGCGGATTATTACAGTCGAATATCTCGTCGTCTGAACTGTTCTTCATTCTTTCAGTGCCGATAGTCCGTGAAGCTGTAACGACATCCTCCCAGCTCTTGGACATTTGTCTAATCTTCAGAGCTGTCATCACAGACAATCTACACCTTGCTGTAGTCGCAACGGATTCAAGAACGTCCATTATCTGGCATTCGATTTTGTGGTAACCTTCCATGCATTGCTTCCTGCATGCTTCATTACAGAACATAGCGTAACAACAAGTCTCACACGGGATAAGACTAGGAGTAAATTTAAAGCAGTTGTAACAAGATATATAGCGGTTAGTATTATGATGCACAGCTACAAATGCAGGTTCAATCGCTACGAGTTCTCCGATCCGTATATCCCGTGCTGCAACCACTTTGGGCACGCCATCTTCTCTCACGATGCTTATATTTGCACTTGCATGTGGTATGCTCTTGTTACGGTTCTCTTTGAAATTAAAGTATTTGATACCGTAGTCGCTTGTTGTTTCGGCGTTTTTATGTAGTTTGTTTAATGGTTCACACTTATCTCGTAATACTTTTAAATTGTGTATTGTAAGTCTAACGTGATATGGACCTACAAGAAATTGTTGTTCCTGTTTTATTAGCGCAAGGCCTTTTTCCGTATCATTCAAGCTCAAAGTTGTTTGTCCTAATTTAAATAATAATACAGCTCTTTGATAGTATGTATTGGCCATAATATGTTTATCCCTTTCTAAAGCAGAGAATGGAACATATGAAAGTCCTGTGTTATAACATTTTAGTTCTTTGCCATTACAAAAACTAGGGGCTAGAATTTCAAATGTCTTAACTTTCTCATAATCTTTTTTTATTTTTACAATCTCTGGTTTTATATTTAATTGACGCGCAATATCTATGGCAACCATCACCGCGTCTGCAGTGCCTCTGCTCACAGCGTCGTACATCTTATCGAGGAGACCATTCTTTGCCAACTCATCAATATATTCTTGCAGTGACTTATTAAAAATTTTTATCATCTTGTTGTAGGTAGACCTGTGAACAAGTAAAAGTTACTGAGCAAATTATCAAGTCGAAGTCAAATAGCGGTCTATCTGTATCGAATTTTAATGGAATATGTTGGTAATACATCTAAAAAAACAACATCATCCAACCTATGAAGTTAAATATGCGAGACGTATACCGTGGAATAATGTCAGAGGCAGCTTTAGATGCACTTAAGTTATTGTTCTGGTTGGTAACGCATTAATTGAAGTTGATTGTTCTTTTTTTGTTATTATTTAGTATAGATACGATAGGAATGTCACATTTAGTGAGCCCAAAAAAAAACGAGCGACCGCAGCATCGGTAACGAAATCGGAAAGTTTCACCATCTATTAATTTTTAGCATTTTATAACCGACTAGCTGTGGCCGCGACTTCGTACGCGTGGTTATCAAAAACACCATAGCCATTATCTTTTATTTCTCCCCGTTTTTGCAACATTGTTAATTGATACTTCGCTTCTATTGGTCGTAGTGTAATGTTATATAGCTTAAAGCTTTCCTCGTTCCTAATTATAGGCAATTAAACTACTGTGGTTTAAAAAAGAGATAGCATCTAAAAAGTTTGAAAAAGCAAGAGCCAATCTGTTTCTTCCTATTCTTTTGAGGCTGCCATTCACAACATTATAAATCTTATTTGTATGTAAAAACCGACCAAATGCGATGGGGTGTAATGTTACATTATCTGTAGGATTTGTTTCATTTTTTTTAACATGAACTACAAAAGGTGCTACATCTTCAGTATTGTACAAAGTCCTATTTACAGAAGTGGGTGAAGGAGTGGCTTTTTTGGATGTATTATTATTTTCAACTACTGTTATTACATCTGAATTTTGATTGTCAATTACAGGTATTATTTCTAAATTATTTTTTTCCTCTTCGACACATTGACAGTCACTGTCTTTTAATTTTGTCTCGGTACCTTTTTGATGTCTCCTACGCTTTTTATTGCAGTGTTTGCAAATGCGGCGTTCGCCCCTTACTCGCTTACGTTTTGTGGTTGTAATATTAGACCCATCAGTATCCATACTAGATTCACATAAAATATCAAAAGAATTGTTAAATGGAATATTTATATTTGCAGACACCTGGGGGACTGTTCCCCCGGGGTCTATAGGCGGGTCCATTCTCAATAGATATTATATATTAAAATTACTTACCAATATTTGCAGCAACTGCTACTACTATTAATAAATATATAATTAAACAATTAATCTAGTCTACAATATATAAATAAAACTAATCCTTATATATAGTAAAATTAAATTAAACAAAAAGAAATCCAAAAAACACTCCCGGCGTTTTGAACGTTTCCCGCGCTTTCTCCGGGTAGCCCTTCACGAGAATCGGAATGGAAATAAACGTTTTTTTTATTATGGCTCCATCGTAGAACATTACCAAATTACGGCCATATTAAAGGAAGTGCAATTATTAATTATTTTTGGAGCGAAAATTTTCTAATACATAATACATCATACATATACAATCTTTGAGGACAATATTGTTAACATTACCTTGAAATTTACATATAATTTATATTAAAGGGGAAAATATCATACCGTAAAAAATTAAGAAACCTATGTCAACTGTCACTGTCAATTGTCACTACTCTATGCAATTCTCAAATATTGATTACATTACTTCATTTCTTGTTTTGTTTTGAAAAGTTTTGATATAGTTTCGAATAGTATCCTATAATCTAAAATCAATATTTATTATGGAAATATGATAATGATTGTATAATATTTGTTTTGATTATCACGCATTTGAACTGCATAATGAATTCAAACGGGACAAAAGTGACCAAAATTTGTCGTTGTTGCATGAAAACCGGAGATTATAAGGATATCACAATGGAATACGAGTATTCTGGACAGAAAGAAGTATACGAGGAAATGTTAAGAGAGACGTTTAATATTCAGGTATGTTTCACATTAATAGTATTACAGAAAACAAATATTGAATCACTACCAAATATTTATTCTAAATCCCAGCCCCGGATCTAAAGGGGGACAACACGAGGCCCGTGCTCCATAGCCAGCAATGTACCAGGTTGACCTCCACGCAGTTTCCCCTGGAAACCTTCTTGATAACTTCCTGGTAAATTTGTCACGATGGGATAACTGACCTGACCTCATGCTCATCTTATAATCCACCGGTGCCTCGCCAGCGTATACCGATAGCGCAGGCATTCCGATAGGGCAACTGACAGATGGATGTTAAGTAAATTGTGTTCAATGCATTTGAAAATGACAATTGAATTGTATTCATAAGCCACAATTATTAACAGCAATTGTAATGTTTTCTATGTTAAAATGATAGATATATAGGCAATAAAATACCAAAGGATATACTATTTTCTTTTCCAAAACATCTGTTAAATCTTATCTCTGAGCAATGTTAATATATATTTATTGTATATATATGGCAATAGTTGTTCATGTTTATTTATGTTAGATGTAGACACATATATAAATATACATTGTAAGCTAAAGGTTTAAATAAAAAGTAATTTTGAATGCGTTTTTCTCAATCTCATTTGAAAAATACTGGTTTGAGAAAAACTGAAAAATTCTTTTTGTGTTGGATAGTCCATTTGTTGAGGAAGGCTTTAAGCTATATAACATTACACTACAACCGATAGGAGCGGAGCTGCTATGAAAAATGTTACAAAAGGTAGGGAAATGAAAAGCAGACGGAGATGCGCATGTCAGCTAGTTACCTATATCACAAGCTCTGCTTAGCTTGGAGCTACATGGGGCTGTGGATTGTTTAGGGTTGTTATTATTGTAGATTTCAGATGATGATGGACATCAGCAGATTTGTGAGGACTGCATCTTAAGGTTACGAGACTCGACTACATTCAAGCAAATGGTACTGGAGACTAATAGAATGATTCTGGAGTATATACAAACATCACAGTCAATAGGTTTGTATATATTGAAATATTTTATTCAATATATTTATAGCTTTACTAGCTGACCCAGTGAATGTTATTCTACCATATAAATTAATATCTCTATTAAAAAATAGAGGATGGTGATAGAAGGGTGAAAATCAAGCGTTGTATGTATTTTTTTAATGCCACATAATAAAAAATAAAAAAAAATTGGGCTGAGCTACCCTTAACACTTAGGGGTATAAAAAGAAATTTGTTATAAACTTATTCTCAGACCTTATTATATATTGAGTAGGTCTGAGAATAAGTTTTTAAATAATTTCTTATATGTATAAAATTTCATCAAAATCGGTCAAGCCAGAGGTGTATAAACACAAAACCTGTGACACGAGAATTTTATATATTAGATACTTGATATGCCTGCGAGTTCGCGTAAATTGTCGATACTTCCATATAACATTTCATCCCCCCTTTCAACCCCTTACAATCCTTTTTTGGGATTAAAGAGTAGCCTATGTCCTTTTTCAGGTTCTAGACTGTCTGGTGCCAAAACTGCTGAACTGATTTAAATGAAATTTCATTTAAATCGGTTCAGTATAAATGGTATGAAAGTGGCACAGACAGACAGACAGAGTTACTTTAGCATTTATAATATTAGTAAGGATATCATCATCATTGCCTTGCCATTATCTCACTATTTGTGGTCGGCGCAGTATGTCTCTTCCACAGATCTCTATCTGAGCACACTCTTCTTTTATTATTCATCATATATCATCATATCATCTTTCACACAATCCATCCATCTTTTTTTAGGGCGTCCTCTCCCTTTATATCTATCCACGTTCATATTATACACATATATATATATATATATATATATTATATGTATTTGTATATATATGCATGTGTTTACGTACTTGCTTTTACTATACACTTTTTATGACATTGTTTTTCTAATATATTTGCACCGCCTACAATTTTTTCTGCACAACATGTGGTTTGTAGTTAAAGTTAGTAAAATTTCACCATCATCATCATCGCAACCCAGAAGATGTCCACTGCTGGACATAGGCCTCCCCCAAAGATCTCCACGATGATCAGTCCTGCGCTGCTCGCATCCAGTGCCTTCCAGCGATTTTGATCAGATCGTCGGTCCACCTTGCTGGAGGCCTTCCCTCGCTGCGTCTTCCGGGCCGTGGTCGCCACAAAGCCTTAGTGAAATACGTACGAACGTGCAAATTGTGAATTTATCGTAGTGTATTGTGGTGTTTTATTGTGTTCTGTTATTATACTAATTTCTGATTTTATATAAAGTGTTTTCTGACCACTATTATTTACTGCGCAAGCGACGATTTGGAACTCATTATGTGGTATGATTTATTTTAGGAGATTTGAGGACTTTATTGCCCCAACGGCCACGTGTCCTACGAGCTCTGTGCCCTGCCCATTGCCACTTCAGTGTCGCAATTCTTCGGGCTATGTCGGTTACTTTGGTTCTTTTGCGGATCTCGTCATTTCTGATTCGATCACGCAGAGAAACTCCGAGCATAGCCCTCTCCATTGCCCTCAGAGTGACTCTGAGTTTATTCATAGTAAAATCTACATTGAAAATTTTACATTTACACCTATCAATTTAGTCTCTGGGATTAAAAGACTGACTATTGCTGTAATTAATTTATTACTTATTTCTTTATAGATGATAAATCATCAATAACGAACATCAAACTGGAATCAATAAAAGTTGAGCCCCCGCCAGTTACTGATGCATATGGTGTTGATGGTGTTGATGACAACTTCGATGATAATGGTCAGTGATTATCTATGCCTCTATACATCTATATATATAAATAAAATTAGAGTGTCTTTTTGTAATATTGAAATAACTGTTTTTTACTACATGCATATAAATATATATACGGTACACACAACAAACATTTTTTACAATTTTTGTCTGTCTGTCTGTATGTTCCACCTAATCTCTGAATTGGCTGCACCGATTTTGATGCGCCTTTTTTTAGCAGGTAGCTGATGTAATAAGGAGTAACTTAGGCTACCTTTATTTTAGAAAAATAAAGTTATTTATAAAATAACATAAGACCACCAAGGTCGACATATCTCATTATTTAAAGCTTTTAAAGATACAGGGTTAGTTGTAAAGGGCATACCAAGCTAGTTGATTAAATATATATATAGGTGTTGACAAAATATCTGCATTCTCTAGTATTTTAGCATTGGCCTTACATTCTATAGCCGCGGGTTCAATTCCTCGCAAGGTACTAATAATAAGTATGTATTTACGAAAAAAATACATTTAACTATTTATATCAGTTGTCTAGTACTCATAACACAAGCGCTCACCTTGAGACTAGATAACATTGTGTGAATCGTCCTGGGTAATTATTATTATTATTAATTAGCACGATTATATAAAAAAATGTATTCCTATGAAGTGCTAATATATTGATAGTCATTGCTGGATTAAACCGGCGCGCCAATTATGTAATAGTTTTATAGCAAATCTTAAAATTCAGTTAAAAAATAAACAATACTTGCAAACGGAGAATCTTTTACTCAGTTTAGAATATATACAAAGGAAAATAAAATATTGGTGATTAAAAAACTTTGTGTTATTATTTTTTGTTATGTTCAGAGAGTTTTAAGTGAACTCGCTCACTTACTTGATCCACACCCCGTAGCTTTTGCTACAAATTTCATCCGGCAGTGTTGCCAGTATTTTATAATATATTATCTAACGAGTACTTTTTAATGAATAGAATGGAATAGAATAGAAAATTCTTTATTCAAATACTAGCTCGTCCCGGCTTCGCACGGGTGTATATGTACTATATACATAAATCTTCCTCTTGAATCACTCTATCTATTAAAAAAACCGCTTCAAAATCCATTGCGTAGTTTTAAATATTTAAGCATACATAGGGACAGACAGCGACAGCGACTTTATTTTATACTATGTAATGATGATCCTGAAATTTAAGCACTTATACGCAGACTCATCACAAGAACAACGAGCAATAAACTTACGTTTTGCTCTGTTAAATAACTGTTGTAAATTACAATTTTTAAATTGAACCGTGTAAATATAAATGTTGTTATGTATGTATGTTTTTAGAGATTCTTGCAAATATAAAACTAGAGTTGACTGGAGACAGTGACGATGAACTTCCCGAATCCAAAGTGGAGACACTCAAAACGAGTGAAACAGTTTTGACAACAAGTAAATGTAAAGCCAGCTATACTGATACAGGTAAAATTATCTAACTCTATGGTTTTACTTATTGGGGATGATAATGGAATGGTGTTTTTTTCATGGATGATAATAGAATGGTGCAACCGCATGCGCTAACGGTTTGCTCTGGCGAGGCACCAATGGAGGATGATAGATGGTTGTGAGGTCAAGTCAGTTAGCTCAGCATGACATATTCATCAGGAATTTATAGCTATGATCTACTCAACATGGTACATTGTTTTCATTTATCAATAGAGTCAACAGTCCATATTACTAACGATCCCTTTCCCCTACCGAATACTGTTGTTAATGCGCTTTCCCAGCCATTGGGAAATGGGTCTGTAATGTTTGATCTTCTTAACCAGTTTCCGCTTTATAGTAAACGTCTTATGTGCCAACATTTTGCACGGAGATGCTGTGTAGGACCCGTTCCACCTTTCTTAAGGTCTCAGATATGTTACAAAATGCGACAGGGAGAGCAGGGAAAGAAATTACTGTATTTCTTTGGATCAGCTTTGGGATCATAAATATGGATGCTTCTAAAGCTAATTCTAAGAATTATTTAAATTAAAGAGCCTTCCGCTGAATGAAGAAACTTCAAAGAAAATTCAAAGTTTTCGCATCTCTTTTGAGTACCTCTAACGCATCATTTTTTAGGGTCTGTAAAAAACTCCTCAACTATGTATATACAGTGGTTCCTATATACAAGTTTAATTCGTTCCGTAACCTTTTTCCCCATTTGAAATTTCATCTAAAGATTGTTTAAGAAAACTGCTAAGGATGTTTGTTTCTTCCTCCATTCCATGATATTGTAGAAATGAATTAGACAAGTTTCGTTGAAAAACTTGCAGGACTAGTTGCAACTTTTTGGGGTGCAATTTTAATCCGTCCACTCTACAACTTTCATCCACATTCTCAAGATCTCCTTTTCTATCTCTTATAGAGATATTAGGAATCTCCTCCTCCATCTCTGACACACACTGCTGTAGTGTACGATGTCTCGTATCTTAAAGCATATTTTGCTTTGAGATACGAGGTGAACTTCGTATTTAATTTGTCTCGTATATCCACAGATAACCCACAAAAGGACTGGTCTAAAATAACGGAGAGACGCGGCACCGGGCCCATACTCAGGGAAATATCCTTAAAACTCCTCGCTAATTCCACTATGTGTGTATTCCAATGGCATAAGAGCCGATACCGATGCTTCTGCTGCAAAGAACCCTTCGCAGACATGGATTCCTTAATGAACCACACCACAGAGCAGCACACACTAGCAGATATAGAAAAAATAATAATTCTCCAACAAAATAGACTTGTCAAAGTGGAAATCTCTCGCCTGCACTGTCGTCTTTGCGAAACACAAATAGACACTTTGGAAGATTTAAGAGAACATCTAAGCAAGACTCATGGAATACAGTTTAGACTAAAAGAAGACTTGCTCGTACCATTCCAAATTCAAAATGGTAATTTGCAATGTCAAATATGCAAAGAAACGTTCAATACATTCCGACTGTTGAATATACATATGAATAAGCATTATCAGAAGCAAGTGTGTCACATATGCGGTGCAGGCTTCTCAAATTTGGTATTCCTAAATTTACACAAGAGCAGATCGCACAAACCTTTGAGATGTAAAATTTGCGAGGTGCTGTTCACGACGAAAATTGAAAAGAAGCAACACGATACCACAGTGCACGGGGTGAAGTTTGAGAGGAAAAAGCGATTTCCGTGCCCATATTGCAGTGATCGATTCTTTCAAGAGAGTTTCAAGATGCAGCATTTAGTAGACAAACACGGTATGGTGAAGCCTGAATATGCGTGTACCGTGTGTTCTAAAGTGTTTATAACAAAGAGTCTACGTAATAATCACGTGAAGAATGTACACATGAAGGAAAAGAATCACGAATGCAATATATGCCACCATTTCTTTTATTCCAAATCGGACGTGGCGAGGCATAGAGTCACGCACACGGGGGAGAAGAAATTCTCTTGTGCAACGTGTAATGGACCCTTTGCAACAAAGGATTCGCTCAGGCGACATATGAAGAGAATACATATGGTCTAGAATTAAATTATAATTAACATTGTTTAGTTTTATTTTTGTCTTCTCAGGTTTATTCATGAGTTTGATTGTTTGTATTGGTCTGGGTGATTTATATGAAGTTATATTTAATGTGTATTTAAGTATTTCTATCAGTTTTCTAGTACCCGTAACACAAGATGTGGCTTAGCTTGGTTATGGGCTAGATGACGATGTTTGTTGATCATTATTATTAACAGAGGTCGCCCAGTTGTCTAAAATCGACCATAATTAACTTAACATTCAGTAAGACTTATAAACAAATAATGTTAAAGATAATATTTATTTCACCACAAACTAACAATAAACAAAAGGGTATACATGTGTGTGTGTCACATACATGGTAATATGTGTAATGTTTTTATAAATTGTTTATTATTTATACACAGTTTTGAAGAAAATGTACTATTTTATTATAAATAAACCATTAAATAAATACCTTATTCTCAGGAATTAGTCTTATAAAACTAGAGTTAAAATTTAGAAATAGAAATAATCTTTATTCAAATAAACTCATTACAAGCACTTTTGAATAGTCATATTTTGATTCTACCACTCATTCGGAATGCAGATTCATCACAAGAAGAATGAGCAAGAAACTTGTGTGTTGCTCTTTTTAATAGATGTTTTTTTATATAAATAATTACAGTGTAACAAGTAAGAGGCATGCGACAATCAACATAGAAATCGCTACGCACTCATTATTAGTGTAATCCGATAATACTGCCAATGCTATGTATTTAAAATTTTTCTACAAAAACATTATTATCGTTAACGAATTCTTCAATTTTATAGTAAGCTTTTTTGCAAAGGAAGTGTTTTATTTGACATTTAAATCTTTTTTCTGGCAGATTTATAACAGACTCTGGTATTTTATTGTAATTGCCATAAAACGAATTACTAACTTTAGCCAAACGACAGTTAGGTAAAATCAGTTTGTTATTGTTACGTAAGCTTTTATTAGTGCAATCACTAACTCTTTTGAAACTGTCTATATTCTTCCTGGCATACATGATATTTTCATAAATATATTGAGAAGCAACGGTGAGGATATTTGATTCCTTAAAGCACTGTCGCAAAGAACTGTGAACTGTGGAATCCATGCTATAAATGGAGCGAATGGCCCTCTTTTGTAAAATAAATATTGTATTTATATCAGCTGCTTTGCCCCATAATAAAATACCATGCGACATAATGCTATGGAAATAGCTAAAGTACACAAGTTTAGCCGTTGCCACGTCTGTTAATTGTCTAAATCTTCTTGCCGCATAAGCGGCAGAACTAAGTCGACTCGCTAATTTAGTAATATGAGCACCCCATTGCAACTTGGAATCTAATGTGATACCTAGAAATACAGTATCATCCACAAAATTAATAGGTTTATTGTCCAACATGATTTTTGAATCTACCGGCCTTACATTGGGGAGAGTAAATTTGATACATTTAGTTTTATTTGCATTTAGTAACATATTATTAGCCGTAAACTCTTTTAAAACATAAGAAAGAGCACCGTTTACTTCGTCCAAATTATCAATATGTCGATTGACTTTGAATACTAATGAAGTATCATCAGCAAACAGAATTATGTCAGCTATCTTTTCTACCATATAAGGAAGATCATTTATGTAAACTAAAAATAAGAAAGGACCTAAAATAAAGCCCTGAGGAACACCCATTTTAATACTAGTTCCCTCAGACTTTACACCATTTATTTCGACAACTTGCATTCTATTATTTAGATAGGATTTCATCATGCTTTGTGCTTCATATCTAATACCGTAATGTTCAAGTTTGAGCAAAAGTGTTTCATGTTCAACGCAATCAAATGCTTTTGAAAGATCATAAAATACACCGACTGCATCCTGAGACCTCTCCCAAGAATCAAATATATATTTAATGAGAGCTACACCGGCATCAGTAGTTGATTTACCGGCCGTGAAACCAAATTGTCGACTGTGAAGCAGTTTATTTACTTTAAAGTGTTGCAGCATTTGATTGAGCATAATTTTTTCAAACACTATACTCAATACTGGTAAGATAGATATAGGCCTATAATTACCTACCACAGTTTTTCCTCCTGACTTAAAGAGTGGAGTTATTTTGCTATGTTTCATTAAATTGGGAAAAACACCGTCAGAAATACATTTGTTGAAAATAATTACTAAATATGGAGCAATAACATCTATAGCGGTGTTAATAACTTTAACAGACATGCCCCAATGGTCTTCAGTATTTTTTAAATTTAATTGTTTAAATGTTTTAGTAATTGTAGCAATGTCAATAAATGTAAATTTAAATGTAACCGGACAAGAAACAACATTGTCAATAAGGAATGATTTAGCTGTACTAGGAGAAGAGTCCAAAGAGGAAGTAATATCAGTTGGTATATTAGCGAAAAAATTTCCAAAATATTTCTTTTGTGGACGTTACTAGTTTATCATTATAATTTAACGTAAAATCGTTATATGGACTTTTAACTTTGCCAGTTTCTTTGTTAATAATATTCCACACTGTCCTTATCTTATCCTTGGACTCTTTAATTTTTTTATTTAGATAATTAGACTTTGCTACATTACATACCTTTTTAAAAGTTTTTGAGTATCTTTTTACATAATTTACGAATGTACTATCGAAACGGTATTTTTTTTGAGCATATAAATAAAATAATATATTTCTACTTTTAAGAATTCCTTTTGTAGCCCATTCTGAAAATTTTGTTTTGTTAATAATACTGATAGTTTTTTTGTTAAAAGCCTTATTATATTCGTTAGAAACAATATTGAAGAAATCTGTATAAAGTTTGTTAGGTTCATTAGATGGAAGATAAAAATCTAATTTACTACGAACTGATATTTTAAATTTATTTATCTTATAACTAGTCAAGTCTCTTTTTAATAAATTAATTTTACCAATTTTGTTTAAGTGATTTGGAAAAATAACTATTTGACCACAGTGATCAGAAGGAAGGTTGTTTATTATTATTTTATCTAAATACTCACTGTTGCTAAATATGTTATCCAAGCAAGTAGCAGACGTGGCAGTGATACGAGTGGGTTCGTGGAAGACATTACTCAAGTCAAAGGATTGAAATAAACTCATTGATTTAGTTTTTGTGGTGTTATGTGATAAAAAGTCAACATTGAAATCACCACACACTATAATTTTTTTGTTAATATTAAATACTCTTTTTAAAATATCCTCCATTACCTCTTCAAATAAATTATAATCACTATTTGGAGGTCTATATACACATATAACTATATAATTGTCTAGTTCCACACAGGAAATTTCAATACAACATTCAACAGAAAGATTGCCAATATCACTACGTTCTTTTACTTTTATATTATTTTTCACCAATATCATAGAACCTCCTCTATTTACTATTTTTCTATTAAAGCAGCTGACAATATTATAATTGTTTAAGCTGAACATCATATTGCTCACTTTGAGCCAATGTTCAGTTAAACATAGAACATCTATATTATTTTTTTCTAAAAACAATTGAATAATTAATTCACAGCCGAGAAAACTTTGTATGTTCTGGTGAACAATTTTCAATTCTGATAGCTTTCCCTTTGTCTTTTTCAGCAGTTTAAATCTGCAGTCATATTTAAATTTTTGTAAATAAAAGGATTCTTACTAGAATCAATATTTATGTCAATATTTTCAGTATGTTTAGTATTAACATTAGTAAAAGTACTACTAATTGGATGAATGCAACCCGTTATATTACTTATAATGGGGTCATTTATATTATAAGCTAGTAAACTAGCTATATTTGTTATTTGTTTTTTAGGCAGATAAAATCTATCTCCAGTCATACAAAAGTTTGTAACAAATTTGTTACTATCAAAAAATAAAAAGTCATTATGACGACATGTCATATTATAAATTAAATTATTAATATAATATATGAACTTATTTTGTCACTAACTTTTCTGACTTTTTAATAAATTTGTTTATTTTTATATATTTTTTTAATTTATTGACACTATTAAATTGACTAATACAACTATTTGAGCTGGGTGTATTAGTTAAATCTATGGTCACCAACGGCTGAGTAGACTTTTGATCACAAGTGACATTTAACAATTCTGTATACAGATCTAAGGTGTTATTGTAGCTACTCACCCGTTTGTGTTCCAACATAGATTCACTATGTGCTTGTGCTTCCTCAAGGTGTCTCTCGAGGTGAGTGATACGCTGGAATTTCCGAAACAACTATAAAGTTTTGATTTACAACAGGAAATATAAAAAAAACTACTTCGTCATATCTTGTTTTATAGTGCGATAAATCGAAAATATTTTTCCTGATAATTGAATAAAGCATAATGTCATATACAGGCTGTCCCAGAACTCAACGTCAAGCCGAAATGGGGTGACCGGATTGATTGTAACCACCATGAGAACTAAACTAGGTCAAGATTTATCATTATTTTGTTAATTTTACTTTCTTTTGTTGACTTTGGTAAAAGTGGCGTCAATATCTGTCTCACCCACTCATGGCAAACGTGTCCACTATCCATTTGTCATCATGCCGTAGAATTAAGCACCTACCAAGAGCTAGTGGAATAAAAAACATTTGAACTGAGTAAAATGGGTTAGCAAAAATCGGGTTACTTGAGGTTTTTATTACTTTTTTTATTTTTTTTAGTATGAAACTAACAAATATTGCAATCCTGACTAAAAGTTCGTGCATTTAGCACGAACTTTTAATGACACTTGCCAAGGCACTTTAATACATTTTTTTTAAGTAGGGCCTTAGAACAAATGTTGAAACAAAAAAAATTAAATTAATTTATATTTTAACAAATAGTTCTAATTCTAGAAAACTTGGGGCAATTATGTCATTATTTTTGACTGTGGTTCTAGAAATGTTATTTAGGGTTACTGTTCCTAAGTTTAAATGAACAAAAATAATAAAAATTAACCACAATAACCGAAATATGGCCACAGTTTGACCGGAGAAACCAACCCAGGATTCTTCAAGTCTATGGTGAATAGATTTCTTCTGGGTAAGCGCGCTACATCCTAGGTCTTGCCATCATTTACCATCAGATGAGGTAAGATCAAGCGCAATCCTATTAATAATAAAAAAAAAATTGTAGGTTTTCCTTAAATGCCCATAATTTTCAAACTGCATTGGATAGATTTTTTTCTGATTTTTCTCATGATGGTTAGAATCAATCCTGTCAATTCGGCTTGACGTTAAGTTCTGGGACCCCCTGTATATAGATTATGATATCACAGTATCTAAAATACCTACATAAAACACTTTCTAATCTGATATATATCTGATAATTCAAAGTAATATATCATTCATAAGAAATATGTAATACTGTACTAGATAATACTTCTGCGTAATATTTGTTGCCACAATCAAATATTATAGTGATAACTTTTATTCGATTATAATATTCATCATGAGCCCACTGTAGTCCACTGTTGGACATAGGCCTTTCCCAAGGCACGACCTTCAGCCTTTCTCTTCCAGTTACTACCCGCAACCCAACGTATGTCGTCGTCACATAGCTGCGGGGCGTCCTACACTACGTTTGCCAATTCGCGGTCCAATCTAGATCACGTCTACTCCAGCGAGCATCGGTTCTGCGACAGATATGACAAGTCCACTGCCACTTCAACTTGCAAATTGACAGGTGTAAATGCAAAATTTTCAAATAATGTTACCAGCTGTAGCGAGGTAGTGCTGTATCTGCAATACTGATTTGTTGAATTATAATTAATTTATTTTAGATTTCTATGTATGTATTTGTTTCGAACATCGTTTCATAATTTACGTATAATAAAATAAGTTACGTACACTAGTGATTCCATTACTGTCTTTGTATTAAGTTACAGTTAATTTTGATACAACAACCCTATATTTGTTAAATAGGTAACATTTTTAATTTAAATTAATATTATGATAATGCGTGTTAAATTAACACCCTAATTTCAGTGTAACCGATATAAATCGCCAATTCATATTAATTTCCGATTATGAGATCATTCTAACTTGTTTATCAACTCACACAAACATAGAAGGGTAATATTTTGTTATCTGCATACGCAAAGGATTTTTACGAAATATAGCGTTTAGTATATAACGACAGGCTCCAGAATTTGCTCGTGTTAATGTTCGGTTTATTGCCAAGAGTACCAACAGATTTACGGATAGTAAGTTGTCTTGATCTCTAAACTTATATTGAAACTAGCAACTCGCCTCTACTTTGCTCGGGTGGCACTATTGTAGGGTTCTCTAATTACATTTATACAAAAACTATTTGTAGTTTAAATTTCTGTACTTATTTATTTATTCATCCAAAACAAATCCAAATTGCGTAGAATAACATAATAGTAACATTACAGTAAATTTTCGTCAACAACATAATAGCAAGTTAAATATTAAATCTCGGTATGTCAGCTAGCACACTGCAGTAGGTCCTTATATAGTAAGTCTTTATGGTCATCATTATAATAATCATCTACGGAATAGTAACATTTATTTAATAAAAATGTACTAAATCTAGTCTTAAACTATATGGTACTAATGGTAAATTATTAAACAATTTTACAGATTGATATTTCGGACTGTGTATAACTATTGTGAATTTAGGAATTAGGTATTTGGAACTGCAGATCTTTTCTCCTAGTTCACGGATGAATCTTTCTTCGTTAGTTTTTATCTCAGTTAAGTTTTTCATCAAATGTCGACAAATAGTCGCCAAAATTTATAAACAAGGTACTGTTAAAATTCTTAACTCATTGAAATAATTTTTCAATGAATCCGTTTCTGAAATACGCATTATTGTCTTAATTGGTCTTTTTTCCAATTTAAATGTGAGTCTATGAATACTCCTAAGCACTTAACTGTTTCTACTAACTCTATTGGTTTACCATTCGTCCATCAGTTTTATGTCCATCGTGTCTTTTTGTTTTATTGTTGACTTAAACAAAATTACATTTGTCCTTTTAGTATTAACTTTTAAGTTGTTGCCTGTGAACTACATATTAAATAATTTTAGTGACTGATTTGATGTTATTCTAATATTTGCAATGTATCTGTAGATAATACAGTATTTGTGTCATCTGCAAATACTATTAAACTTAAATCAGATATTAAATACTGCATGCATATCATTAGTGAAAAGAAGAAACAATATTGGCCCCAATGTAGAACCTTGTGGCACACCACGTTCAATAAATGTCAAATTAAAACTATATGGCATTTCATGCTCATCATCGACATACGATAAGCTTATTTCAACATATTGTTTTCTATTTTTAAAATATGGATTTATTAGTTTTAAGTCATCGTCAAATATATTATAATATTCTAATTTTTTTAAACAGCTTTTCACTACATTCATATGAAAGTACAATATATTTTATACTTTACCTACAGTCTGTTTTTTAATCCTGGTAAATGATTCATTGTCCCGACTTACACCGGCAAGATCGTGGAACTTATAACATAACATATAACAATAAAATCAAATACAATAATCCCAGCTACAAATAGCACGGTACTCTTATAACGCATTTTCATATTTCGCGGATTTCAATCCCCCATATAACACGGACATTATATTTCTGCACTGTGAAATTTATAATGATTTGTTCATGTTGGTTTGTTTGTACAGTTCGTAATTAGTTTAATGCGTTCTTCTATAACGAGGAACTAATCTGCCGTGTTATAGAGGGAATACTGTACTCCTTTATTTAAAACTGCTTAGGAATCACTGGGCTAATGAAAACTTGTATCGATGTTAATAGCCCGCCATGGCAGAGTGCGACCCGCTTTTTCTACAAAGCATTCCACTACACCTACGTGGAGTCTGTTATTATAATTGTAATAGCTGTGCACGCAGTTTCACCCCGTGAAATATATAGTCTATGTATTATTCTGATGTATAAGCTATATTATTATATTATAGCTATATTATTATGTATAGGATATATAAAGTATATTATTATGAATTTTCATTAAAATCTATTTAGTAGTTTTTGCATGAAACAGTAACAAACATACATCCATCCAAAGTCACAATCGTTTATAATATTAGTAAGTTTTATTTCTAATTATTCTACCACAGAACCCCAACAAAATGAATGGATTATTTGGGAAACCTTTGAATGTACAAGTCGCTATTTTGGCACAGAATAATTTACTCGACAAAATGTACGACAGCATCGGTAAGGACGGCACAAAAGATGCAGTAATGGTCGCCCTTGATATAACACGCCAAATGAACATGAAACCACAGATAATACAACGAAAAAAAGATTTAGAGAAATGCCGGTATTGGAGAAACAAAGCTAACTCCGAAACTTCTGGTCGAGCAATTAAATGTTATAACGGTTCACTTTTGTACACTCCGATTACTCATTCTAAGGAGTTGATCTCCACATACCGTAAAAGAGCTGAATTGTTATTCAAACTCGAAGAAGGAAGCTGTTGTATGAATGATATTGACATTATAACTGCTATGGGATGTCCACCTGACAAGAATATCAATATGCTACGACAGCATTCTCAACAATTAATACCATTGGATCAATTAGATACTATGACTTTTCCATATTTTCAGTTCCCTGCAAAACGTAACAAGAGCATACCATATGCAAATGCAAATATAAGCATCGTGAGAGAAGATGGCGTGCCGAAAGTGGTTGCAGCACGAAATATACGGATCGGAGAACTCGTAGCGATTGAACCTGCATTTGTAGCTGTGCATCACAAAACTAACCGCAATATATCTTGTTACAACTGCTTTAAATTTACTCCGAGTCTTATCCCGTGTGAGACTTGTTGTTACGCTATGTTCTGTACTGAAGCATGCAGGAAGCAATGTTTGGAAGGTTACCACAAAATCGAATGCCAGATAATGGACGTTCTTGAAAACGTTGCTACTACGGCAAGGCGTAGATTGTCTGTGATGGCAGCTCTAAAGATTAGACAAATGTCCAAGAGCTGGGAGGATGTCGTTACAGCTTCACGGACTATCGGCACTGAAAGAATGAAGAACAGTTCAGACGACGAGATATTCGACTGTAATAATCCGCATTCAATTCTGAGTTACAATGATTATCAATTTTTAATTCATGGTAAAATATTTAACCAAAGCTTCATATTTGCGACCGTTATAGACAGTTTAAGTGATATACCCGATTACTTCCCAACTGACGAAGATGAACAGTTGGAGGCTATGCATGCTTTGGGGAGAATCATGCTACACTTATATGTTACGTTCCCATTGGAGATAGAAATTCAAAACTGGCAACGCAATTGTATTAGTGGTTTTACAAATATTTACACAAACCCGCATATCGGGTTTTTTCTTTTTACTAGTAAACTTAAACACTCTTGTGAGCCAAATTTATTGGAGATTGGACTCAATAATAAGGTAGGCTTAGTAGCTATCCGTCCTATTAAAAAAGGAACAGAACTAAATATTAACCACAGGTAAGTACTGTTATTAAAATTATTAACACGTAGTTTTCTAAAAATCATGTTCTTTTAATATTGATATTACTTAGGTACATTCAGTTCAATATTTATTAATGACTAGCTGTGGCCGCAGTTTGACCTGCGTGAAAATTATAGTCAATGTGTTATTCTAATGTATAAGCTATATTATTGTAAAGTTTCATCAAAATTCTTTCTATAGTTTTTGCGTGAAAGAGTAACAATCATCCATCCATCTATCCACTCATACTCGCAAATTTTCGTATTTATAATATTAGTATGATTTCTTTAACATTGTTTGTATCCAATTGCCGTTTTCCCCCAAACAACAGCAGCAACATACTTTCTACACGTGCCGTGCGATAAGGATTCTAGGAAGTTGCAAGGACGTGATGTGGCGCGTGTAGAAAGTATGTTGCTACTTGCTACACATGGAAGCATTTGTGGCGATGAGGGGAAATTTGGGAAACAAATATTAGGGGGATTTTACTAAAAAACTGTACAAACAGTAATAGAGGACTAACTAAATATATTTATTTCAGGTGCCCACCGGGCGTGAAAAATGATGAACTGCTGAAAAATTTTTTTATTAATAATGAATTTAGATGCCATTGTTCACAAACTGCCAGGGACGAAAGCATTCCACGAGAAATCAAGTTTAACAATAAGCAAGTGAGAATCTACCGAAGGTGGGAGAGTAAAATTAAGAAATTGACTAAATTCATTACACACTCGTCTGGGATTATGAAGGAGGAAATATTTGAGTTGATATTTAAAGAAACGTGTGCCACCCAAAATGCTTTAACTTCATTTAATCACAGTTCTTTACCTGACCCAATAATGTACAACTTTATGCAATGCTTAATACATTTTCTAATGCCCTATACGCAGAATATAATCTTACTATAGTAGAATAGAATAGAAAATTATTTATTCAAATAAACTTAATTTAAGCACTTTTGAATAGTCATAACAATTTTTTTTTCTACCGCTCCTTCCGAAAGCTGTCTCATCACAAGAAGAACGAGCAATAAACTTGTGTGTTGCTCTTTTAAATAATTCTTGTATGTTTACATTTACAAGTCGAAACGTGTGAATACAAACTACCAACCAGCACTATTTTTTTGGGTGAAATATAAATATACAATAAGATTAAATCAGTCGTAGTGATAAGAGCAGACCAGTCCCTACAAGCAGCACTCGTTCACAAGTATGACGGATGAGCCAGCCATCACAGCGCCCGACCAGATTTTAAGGAGCCCAATGACCCTGCCCACCACGCCGCCACATGTCTGGACATTTTAATGAGCATGACTACTCATTCCGCTCGACCACGTCACAGCTACTTAAAATTACTATATGATAGTTACAGTACTCGCACTTTACATGAGGATGCATGCGTCAATCACATATGTATCAAGAAAGCAGTATGAAAAACAAATTATAACGTTGTCCGCAAATAAACTTATTCTTGCCAGATATTATTATCATCTATAAATTCATCTATCCTATAATATGCTTTTTACATAACATTTATTTAATATAAAATTTGAATTGCCTCTCTGTTAGATTTAGCGTAGATTCTGGCAGTTTATTATAGAATTTTACGCAATTACCATAGAATTAATTACTAACTTTGTGTAGACGGCATTTAGGTAAAATTAGCTTTTTTTTATTGCGTAAGTTTCTACTTGTACAGTCTTTAAGTTTCTTGAAACTATCTAAGTTTTTCCTTGTATACATAATATTTTCATAAATGTACTGTGAGGCAACGGTGAGGATATTTGATTATTTAAAGCATTGACGTAATGACTCTCTTGAACCCATACCATAAATAGAACGTATGGCTCTCTTTTGTAAAATAAATATAGTATTTACATCGGCAGCTTTACCCCATAGCAGTATGCCATATGACGTAATGCTATGGAAATGGAAACTAAAATATACAAGTTTTGCCGTCGCCACGTCTGTTAATTGCATAAGCAGCAGAACTAAGTCTACTGGCTAATTTTGAAATATGGGGCCCCCATTGTAACTTCGAGTCTACTGTTATTCCTAAAAAAACTGTATCATTAACAAAATTTATTATTTCATCTTTAAGCAATAGCTGCGTATTTACTTGTCTTACATTAGGAATGGTGAATTAAATACACTTAGTTTTGTTTGAATTTAATAGGTTATTAAATGTGAACCAATTTAATAATAAATATAGCAGAGATAGCATAATTTACGTCGTCTAATTGATTACTTTGTCGACAAATTTTAAACACTAACGAAGTATCATCCGGAAATAACACTATATCTGCAAATTTCTCTACCATGTAGGGAAGGTCATTTATATAAATTAAGAAGAGAAATGGGCCTAAGATTGAACCTTGAGGAACGCCCATTTTAATATTAGTTCCCTTAGACTTTACACAATCATATCAATATCTACAGTTTGCACCCTATCCTCTAGATAAGTTTTCATTCAATTTAGGTCATTATCTCTAATACCATAATGTTCGAGCTTGTACAAAAGTGTTTTATGATCTACGCCAAAATCAAACGCCTTCGATAGGTCACAAAAATGCCGAGAACATACTGTGAGTTCTCCCATGATTTGAATATATGTATATGTAATAAGCGCTACACCTGTATCAGTAGTAGACTTGCCAGCAGTGAAACCATATTGCTGACTGTGGAGCAGTCCGTTATCCCTGAAGTATTTTAACATTTGGTTAAACATAATCTTATCAAATACTTTACATAAAACTGGCAAAATAGAAATTGGTCTATAGTTGCCTAGCTCAAATCTATCTCCTGATTTAAACAGTGTTTAATTAATTAGCTAAATTATTATTAAACAGTAATTAGCTAAATTTCATTAATTGAGGAAACACGCCATTATGAACACATTTATTAAAAATAGTAGCTAGATATCTATGAATGAACTAACTACTTTAACGGACATGCCCCAAAGTCTTCAGTATTTTTTTAATTTAACTGTTTGAATACTTTTATTATATGAAAAGGGCTGACATGTGAAAATTTAAATGTTAAAGAGATAGATAGATAGAATATACTTTATTTGTAACACACAGTAAAGAAAAGGCATAAACAATATATTAAAGGATATGTATAGTTATAATAAAGAGCAAGGGCCGACATTAGCCTCTAGTAATGTTTTTGCTCGAATTGGATATGAGTCTAGAGAAGATAACTTTTGTCTAGTCTGTTTTAATATCGAAGACAAAATTGACACGCATCAAATTTTCTAATAATGTGACTGATTTATTGAATCGTACTGTTTTATTTTAGAATATTAGTTTTAGAAGCTTTCTAGGTAGTTTTCACAATACATTTTCAGCTTTACATACGCACACTAGTCCATTAAAACAAACAATAAATTCTATCCTCTTATAATATGTACAAAATTGTGAGGCAGTAATTTTTATATCTTTATTTTTAGAAATACCTTATAGTCTAACATACATATAATTTAATATTTAAAAACTAATATATTGATATTGTCTGTGTGGTCACGACAATCTGCCCTGGTAGCGCGAGGTATACCACACCTTTCGGCCAGTAGTCCTCCTTAATAGTAGTAGCAGTAGTATGATGATGGGGATCCGGGTCACAAAAGTCTTGAAATACGCGTTGTGCCTCGACTCCAGCTTCGTCCCCTCAATGTCAAATTACTCTTGATTCGTACATAATCGACAATGTCCTGCTCCTTGTGGCGTAATGTAGACGGGACAGGTATGTACATTGCCGTGGTTGGTGTAGCAGCACGCAGCAGGAAGTTGGGCCCAGTGAGTGCAGTGCCACAATGGTTCCTATTGACCCTGCTTGTGCGTCTCTTCTTTTGTACCACAACGAAGCCATCATCGTTGTTTACCAGTGGCAGCACACGTAGGGTCAATGTTCAGTGCCGTTTTTGGCACATGCACTGCACTGAAGCAGCCGGTTTGCTAGCGACGACAGTGGCGAAATCTCGATGCTGAGGTTGCACCGAGGATTTTGTTGGCGCTGCTTCTACGGGCAGCGATGCAATTTTATTTAATAAATACATAAATATAAACGTTTAATATTAACAATTTTGTCGATATATATAAACAATATGTCCTTGGAGGAACCAACACCTATTGTTCAATCCGAGCTATTTAGAGTCGGAATACGCGTTCCTCCATTCTGGCCGGAAGAGCCAAAGATATGCTTCACGCAAGTAGGGGGACATTTCGAATATCACATCAGATTTGACAAAATCTAATTACGTTATTGGCCAACTGGACCACTAATTTTCAAAGAATTGTACCATTTAAGGGGTAAAATAAAATAGGGGATGAAAGTTATTATGGGACTTCGTCGAATTTGAATAGATAGTATATAATAAATGTATTAATAACATAATTGTAAAGATATTAAATGCTGTTCTTGAAGTTTATTTGCTTAATTTTTAATAATTTATAATTTTGAATTGTAAATCCTAATTTATTCTATAATCTCTTTTTGTTTTCACCGAAAGATATATTTTTAACATTTTATTTATTTATTTATTCATTTAATTCAGGCTACATGGTCCATATTATACATACCTTATAGACATTGTTAATACTCATAGTACTAACATCGCGCAAACTGCCATGGTGCGCTCATCAATCCTACTACGGCTGCACGCCGTCCGTATATTTTGAATCTGTGGCGCGTTGCATTTGCGCGGGAAACTATCTACAATTTAACTTCTTCTACAGACATTCTTCAACTATTGTACTTCTAATCACTAATTTTTGTATACTGTTCTTCATTACTATATATAGCTGTACATTACTATTATTAGAATAAACTTCTTATATACAACCAAAATTGGCATATAAATAAAGTCTATATAAACATATATAAAAAGTAAAAATAAAATTGTCTCCACAAGGCAATCTCCCACGGTAGCGCCGATAGACCACCCCCTTCGGCCAGCAGTCCTCCTTCATGAAGGTGGGCAGCATATTGGTGGGGACCCGGGCCACGAACGTTTTGCAGCTCGCGTTGTGTCTCGATTCCAGCTGCGTCACCCTCAATGTCAGGTTACTTTTGGTCCGGATATAAACCAGCCGGTATACCTATGACGAGCGTCATTTCCGGAGTCATGCGGTTGCGTTTGGCTGTTGTTTTCTTATGGATGGAATTGTGCAACCCTCCTTCTCCCCTATCCTTCCTACACTAACGGTATACGCTCTCGTAACAAATTCACCAGGAATTTATTATGATCGTTTCCAGGGTGTCCTTCCCTCAAGGCTGTTGTTAGGGTGTCCTATTTTACTCTATCTATAGATTATTATATTACAGTACTATCTAAAATACCACTTTCTAATCTGATATAGTTCTGATAAAACATCAAATTAAAACATGCTTAAATAAATTTATTATTTTATAAAACAAATATGTAATTATCTGTCAGATAACGTTTGCAAATACGCGGTCTCCACTCTAGAACAGGTCTACTCCAGGGAGCATTGGTTCTGCAACAGATATGATCAGCCCACTGCCACCTCAACTTGCGAATATAAATAAAATAATCAAAATATTATGTATTATGTAAAAAGGGAAACATTTATAATCTGTTTTTAAATCTCAGAGACTACATTGAAAAGTGTAAATATCAAATTTTCAAATAATGTAGCTGTAGCGAGATAGTGCTGTATCTGCAGTACTGATTTGTTGAATTATAATTAATTTATTTTAGATTTCTATGTTGTTTCCTGAACATCGTTTCATAATTTACGTACGTACCTACACTAGTATTTCCATTACTGTCTTTGTATTAAGTTACAGTTACTTTTGATACAACAACCCTATATTTGTTAAATAGGTACCATTTTTAATTTTAATTAATTTTGTCATAATGCGTTTTAAATTAACACCCTAATTTATTTGAGTGTAACCGATATAAATCGCCAATTAATATTAATTTCCGATTATGCTGAACACTGTTAAAGAATCCCATAAGCTGGCAACACAGGTAATGTCAAAGTTTCCGATTATATTATGTGTACAAAAATGTGTTCAACTGAAGGACTTGTTTCCATGGCCATGAATAAATAATTATTAAAAAAATAAATTCTCCGAGGTGAAATAACTCGAATTAAGCATAGCACAACTCGAGTTAAATGAATTAGTTGACACATCACTAATTTGGTTATCAACTCACACAACACAGACGGGGAATATTTTGTTATCTGCCTACGCATATTTTTTAAATAATATATAATTATATGTATAGCGTTTAGTATATAAAGATAGGCTTCAGACTTTGCTCGTGTTATTTTCTTTGTGTTGATTGTTCAAGAAATATTATTACCGTGTTAGTGTCGTGTTTATTGGCACGAGTACCAGCGGACTTACGGATAGTAAGTTGTCTTAATCTCTAAATTATATTGCAACTAGCAACTCGGCTCGACATTACTCGGGTGGCACTATTACAGGGTTCTCTAATTATATTAATACAAAAAAATATTATATTGTTTATTCGTAGTTTAAATTTTTTTATACAGCTTATCACTAGGTACATTCATATGAAAGTATGTTTTATAAGTTACCTATAGTCTGTTTTTTTAATGCAGGAGACAAATTTGACATTACCGATGTTGCCAGGATTTGGCATTTTGTAAATAGGATTGGGACACTATTGGGAATTAATATTAATTACCTACCCATTATTATAGGTTATTCGGAAATAATGTGTGAATATTTATTTAAAACGCATTATCTCACAATTAATAAAATATAAGTGTTAATAAATATATAGTTGATGTATCAAAATAGATTTTTTTATTTTTCACTAAAATAAAGAACAACTGCCTTTTTTATAAAACAAATTACCTTTTCTTACAGACTAATATATATACACCTATATAAAATATTTACCTGTTTGAATAAAAAAAATGTAAAAATTTGCCTAATATAAAAATAAGCTTAATACCTACTGTAAAAATTACTATTTGTACGGAAATGACAAACATGTATATTTATGTTGTATAATACAACGACAGTATTGGAAACACTAGTATATGTACGTAAATTTTTAAAATCTGTTGTGTAAGCTTCATTTAAAGCTTTAAAACTAATACGTTAAGTTTTAAAATTTCCTATTATATAAATCGGTATCGAAGGTACACCACTACTTTGCTATAGGTGGTAACATTATTCGGAAATTTGATATTTACACCTTTCAATTTAGTCTCCGGGATTAAAAAACAGACTATACTTAGATAAAAAAAATTGTCTCTGAAACGGTAATAGGAAGTAACTTAGGCCACATCTAAAAAAATAAGAATTAAAAAAAAAATTGGTTCCGGTGAACCAAATTTTTTTTTGAGACAGTTCCCGACTCACGCCGTATAGATCATGGAACTTACGAACAACAAAATCAAATACAGTAATCCGCCCTATAACCCTGTAGGGGTTATACGTGGATTTCAATCCCCGTATAACAAGGACATTACCCCATATGTACGCAAGAATTTGAAAGAAAGAAAGAATAGAATAGAATAGAATAGAAAATCATTTATTCAAATAAACTTACATTGAAGCACTTTTGAATAGTCATTACATTTTTTAATCTACCGCTCGTTCGTAAAGCTGTCTCATCACAAGAAGAACGAGCAAGAAACTTGCGTGTTGCTCTTTTAAATAATTTTATTATTACTTTACATTTTTAAGTTTAAGTGTGTGAATACAAACCACCAATTAGCACTAATTCAATTAAATACTCAAATAGAAAAAATATTGAATATATAACCAACTGGTTAAACAATTAATAAGAGGAAATCAATCACTATGACTAGAGCAGACCAGTCCCTACAAGCAGCACCCGTTCACGAGTATGACGGACGAGCCAGCCATCACTGCGCTCGACCATATTTTAGGGTGCCCAATGACCCGGCCCACCACGCCGCCCACAAGTCTGGACATTTTAGTGAGCATGACTACTCAAAACACTAGACTACGTCAAAGAAAGAAAGAAAGAAAGAAAGAAAGAAAGAAAAAATGAAAGAAAGAAAGAAAGAAAAAATGAAAGAAAGAAAGAAAGAAAGAAAGAAAGAAAGAAAGAAAGAAAGAAAGAAAGAAAGAAAGAAAGAAAGAAAGAAAGAAAGAAAGAAAGAAAGAAAGAAAGAAAGAAAGAAAGAAAGAAAGAAAGAAAGAAAGAAAGAAAGAAAGAAAGAAAAAAAATATTTTATTCAGTGCAATGTATATAAACAACAAACGAAAAAAAAAAGAGGAAATAAAATGTACACATTATATATCTGTAGGTACTCTAAAATTTATAATGATGTGTTCATGTTGATTGTGTTGATTCGATTTGTACAATTCATAATTCGTTTTTTTTTAGTTCATATGCATGAGTGTTTTATTTAGAATGTTTATAATTTAGTTTTGATTTTAATAAAACTTACATATTTCGTTCATAATATATACTTAACACATCATACGAGGTCGTAAAAACTCGTAATATACTAACTCGGGAATACTCCTACAACGCGTTTTCCTATAACGCGGAAACAATATACCGTGTTATAGGGGGATTACTGTATTCCCTTATTTAAAAACGCTTGGGAATCATTGGACTAATGGAAACGACGCCAATCGGTATCAATGGCCCGTCTAGACAGAGTGCTGGCGACCCGCTTTTTGTGCAAAGCGTTTAACTATACCTACGTGGAGTCTGTTATTATAATTGTGATATCTGTGCCCACAGTTTCAAACCCGTGAAATTTATAGTCTATGTATTATTCGGATGTATAAACTATATATATATTATTGTAAATTTTCATTAAAATCTATTTAGTAGTTTTTGCGTCAAAGAGTAACCTAACATCCATCCATCCAAAGTCACAATCGTTTATAATATTAGTAAGATTTAGTAAGATAATTATTCTGCCACAGAACCCCAACAAAATGAATGGATTATTTGGGAAACCTTTGGAAGTACAAGTCGCTATATTGGCACAAAATAATTTACTCGACAAAATGTACGACTGCATCAGTAAGGACGGCACAAAAGATGCAGTAATGGTCGCCCTTGATATAACACGCCAAATGGACATGAAACCACAGATAATACAACGAAAAAAAGATTTAGAAAAATGCCGGTATTGGAGAAACAAAGCTAACTCCGAAAAATCTGGTAGAACAATTAAATATTATAACGCTTCACTTTTGCACACTCCGATTACTGATTCTAAGGAGCTGATCGCCACATACCGTAAAAGAGCTGAATTGTTATTGCAACTCGAAGAAGGAAGCTGTTGTATGAATGATATTGACATTATAACTGCTATGGGATGTCCACCTGACAAGAATATCAATATGTTACATCATCATTGTCAACAGCAACTAACACTGGAGCAATTAAGTATTACGACGTTTCCATATTTTCAGTTCCCTGCTAAACGTAACAAGAGCATACCATATGTAAGTGCAAATATAAGCATCGTGAGAGAAGATGGCGTGCCCAAAGTGGTTGCAGCACAGGATATACGGATCGGAGAACTCGTAGCGATTGAACCTGCATTTGTAGCTGTGCATCATAATACTAACCGCAATATATCGTGTTACAACTGCTTTAAATTTACTCCGAGTCTTATCCCGTGTGAGACTTGTTGTTACGCTATGTTCTGTAATGAAGCATGCAGGAAGCAATGCATGGAAGGTTACCACAAAATCGAATGCCAGATAATGGACGTTCTTGAATCCGTTGCGACTACAGCAAAGTGTAGATTGTCTGTGATGGCAGCTCTGAAGATTAGACAAATGTCCAAGAGCTGGGAGGATGTCGTAACAGCTTCACGGACTATCGGCACTGAAAGAATGAAGAACAGTTCAGACGACGAGATATTCGACTGCAATAATCCGCATTCAATTCTGAGTTACAATGATGATAAATATTTAATTCATGGTAAAATATTTAACCAAAGCTTCATATTTGCGACCGTTATAGACAGTTTAAGTAATATACCCGATTACTTCCCAACTGACGAAAATGAAAAGTTGGGGGCTATGCATGCTTTGGGAAGAATCATGCTACACTTATACGTAACGTTCCCATTAGAGGTACAAATTCTAAACTATCAATACAATTACAGTGACGGTATTATTGGCACAGAGCCTCATATTGGGTTTTCTCTTTTTACTAGTAAACTTAAACACTCTTGTGAGCCAAATTTACTTGAGATTGGACTCAAAAATAAGATTTGCTTAATAGCTATCCGTCCTGTAAAAAAAGGGACAGAACTAAATATTAACCATAGGTAAGTACTGTTATTAAAATTATTAACACGTAGTTTTCTAAAAATCATGTTCTTTTAATATTGATATTACTTAGGTACATTCAGTTCAATATTTATTAATGACTAGCTGTGGCCGCAGTTTGACCTGCGTGAAAATTATAGTCAATGTGTTATTCTAATGTATAAGCTATATTACTGTAAAGTTTCATCAAAATTCTTTCTATAGTTTTTGCGTGAAAGAGTAACAATCATCCATCCATCGAGTAAGTATTGTTGTTATAATTA